GGGATCCCAACTAGGATAGAATGATTTAGGGTATTGTATATTGGTTCCATCAAATGGTATTGGTAAATGTTTGGAGTAGAAACAATGTAAGTTGATTAGTGTTAATCCTGGTTAAGACATAATGGCAGCTGTGATACCAGCGACACCTAATATCAAACTGACACAAATGGTAATTTTACACGCAACTCTTTCCCATTGTTTGATTGTATTTTTGCAGATACGCAAATAGAATAAACATGGCAATATCAAACAGATTGTAAAACATAAACCTGCACCAAGGAATGCTATTAATTTATCGAACTTTGGAAACATAATTGCAATAATTACAAACACTGCATTAATGAATACACGATTGAAAAATTGGATAGATTTAGCAAACATTAAGCTATTACCCTTGTAGTCAGTGTCTGGATTCTGAACTTTAAACATAAAATCTAAAATAGATATAATAGGTCTAGCATTTAATGGAGTTTTGGAAATTGGAATGATGGACATCAATGCTGAAAGTAAAATATACACAAAATTAGGATAACCCTTTTGTAACATAACATTTGTAGTAATTTCACCCATAACCAAATCACCAAACATTAAAAAACCAATTATTGCAGTACCAATATCTGTAGTAGCAGTTATTTTATAAGTAGTTTTTAAACAATCTTTAAACTTTTCTGGATGTCTCATATCGGTCTTTAAGTTTGGGAAGACAGCATGACCACCCCAACATGCGCTTAATAAGCCAATAGATAAACAAAAACTTTTGAAACTAACAGGCCATAGGTTTGTTGGCATTGTATCAATTAATGAACCTGGAGCATCTTGTTTATATAAACCACATAAAAGAACCACAACCACAGTACCAATAGTGGACATAATACCTAATAATGAAATGTTAGATAATACACTTAATGGCAAAAACACTGGTGGAGTAATGACAAAAAAACCTAGAATTTTGAAGAAAGTAGTAGAATATTGAGGAAATAGAGCATTTAAAGAATCCCCGAATAGGATGACAAGAGAAACACCACATCCTAATAAATCTAAAGTGAATAAAGACGAAATTAGCAAACGACCTTTTGAACCGAAGGATGCGTAACCTAAATCTGCATATGACATCAATGTTGGATCAGTATCCAAACATCTAGAAAGCAATTCAGCGGTACAGAAAGTACCTCCAGCAAATATGCAAAGCAACAGTAGACCAAGAACCCAACCTGCATGTCTTAATCCTAGTGGTAAAGCCAATAACCCTAATCCGATTAAAACATTGATAGAATTAAAGATTGTTTGAGGTGCAGTTGACTGACCTGCAAGAACTGTCACAACTTTACCATCTTTTCCTTGAACTTGTTTAACTACAATGGAATTATCAAAATTTGCTACATCATCAATATTGTTTGTTGTCCTCAAAGAGTTGGCAATTGAAATAGAGTGACGCAACAGTGAGTTATGACTTGTTTGTCTTGAAATTGATCCATAATCGATACTATTATTGGTCACATCCATATTTAAGGCAGATGGCTTTTTGGACAATTCTGAAACTCCAAAATTTCTTGCCGCCTGATTTAAAGTCAGAGATAACCTTCTACCGGTATGTGATGGTGCTAATGTAGTTGGATCGTAAAGTTCATCATCGGTATCTTTAAAGTAGGACCTTTCGATATCATGTTTTAGATCAATTGCTCTGAATGAATGAGCTCTATGCAAAGAATTTGCGAATCTACTCAAAGAGTTAACACCTTTGAATGAGCCGATTGGGTAATCTAATATTGATTTTCTTCTATTGACAACATTACCTTCATTATCATTCCCATTTAAATTATTAATTGAACTTGACGAAGATAAAATTGAGTGGGAATCAGAAGCGTTACTTTCATCAAAACTGTCATTAGCTAAACTGATACCAATAGGTCTGTCACTTGATATTCCACGATTTATCGGGATTGAAATATATTGCACTTGAGATCTATTTGAAGAGTTTGAATTTTGGTTAATTTCGTCACTATTTCCTTCCCTTACCATATTTATTTTGTTATTAAAAACTTTATTAACGATTATAAAAGGGTAAAATTCTTAGTGAAGATACAATTAGATAGTCAATAAAGAATCAGTTTAAAAGTGTTTATAATAATAAATGATGATTTCCTTAATTTTTGATCTAGAAAAAATATAATTTTGAAATAATCTTAATTAGATCTGAAAGTAAATGAATGCTAATATCTTTTATCCTGGCCCCTTTCTTTGTAAATTGTTTTTCAAAAAAAAAAAAGATAAAACAATAAAAGATTGAGAAGTATACAACTAGAATTATAATATTGTTAAGATCTCTTGTAAAATATTTCACTCAGATGTTCAATATTTGGTTTCCAATATAAGTAAAAACGGAAAATTGAAAAACTTCCTTAATGCTGTAATTGAATTAACTATACCTAAATTTGACTTGGCCTAAGAGAAGCTAACCTAAAGGAAGAAAGAAAGAAAGAAAAAAAACAGGCTAATTAAAGTAATAAAAACGATGAGCCTAACCAAGACAACGATTACAACAGATGGAAACTGATCTAGAGTAGATGACAGGTATTTTTAGTTCCGTATATGATATGTGGTTTTATTGGTATCACGAAGTGACTAAACAGTATCTTATAAAGATTAAATCAGTCTGGTTATAATGCTTCTGAATTAAAGTTCCTTATTTCTTTTCGATCTAAGTTTAGTGTAAAATTTAAACCTCTAATTGCTTTAATTTGTTCAAATCAAATCAAATCGGGAATACTATGAGAGAGGGCACCAGTGGGGTAGCAGTAGTAAGAAAGAGTACTGCTAGAGTGAGATACTAGTGAAAAACAAAAATGGAAACTGGATCAAAAAAAGGAAAACAAGAAAAGAAAAAACAGACAAGATTTCGGGTTTCTGCTGACAATGCACCGCAGAACAATACGACCGAGATGAGATGGGATAGGGTGATGATTGTATTTAAAAGTTCGATTTCGATTTCAAATCTTGTTTTAACTCCTCTCTATCCACAAGACAGACGACACTTATAACGACAACAGTAAAGTCGACTTTTAGGAATTGATAGTAGTACAAATATGGGATCCTGTTGTTGTTCAACCTCTTATTAAAATTAAAAATGTCAAAATTTAAAATATTCATTTTAATTTTACAGATTATAATTTGTTCTAGTAGAATAAAATTCGGCTGGAGAAAATGTTCTTGAAAGAACAAAACGTAAAAAATATTTCTCAACTGTAAAATATGAAACCAATTTATTATCTAATCATAATAGAAAAGATAAGAACAAGAGTCAAACTCTAATTAGGCAAATAGACTATTTATTTACTATCATAAACCTAATTTAACTAGTTCGGTTTCAAAATTATTCTATTGCTTGTTAAATTTAAAGCCAATACATTTATTCTTATTTGACCCTTTTCTTCTTTATTATCTATCCATATGATACTTACTCCCATATCGTACTTCTATTTATAAACTTTAATTATTTTTCTTTTGAGTCTCTTGACAGCTGCTATGTTGCTTCTTAGTTTTTTACTCACCTACTTCCTTACCCTAGTCTTTGTTTTTTTATTAACAATGGCATGATAAAGGCTAATAATTTCCTAATTTTTTGGCAAGAGTAGATATGTTTATATCTATTTATACATCTATATATCTATATATAAGTATACTATGAGAGCAGCTTCATAACGAACAAACATCCATTGTACGTACATTGGGTTGCATTTTTAACCTGGCCTGATTACTTTCCTAGATCAGTTTACTGACAGTATAGAAGTAGACGATACATACCCTGCCCAGCTCTCCCATAGTCTAATAATGCCTGGTTCCCGGGGTTGCTACCCATTATATCTTTCTTGAAACAAAAATAGTCTCAGCCATAACCATGCTTCCGGAGAGATGTATAGCAATAAAACCATATAAATAACTATATAATTAATTTTAGTTTTAATAGTATAGGCAACAATAACTGTCTGTACGAAGCTTCGTGATTGTATTTAATCTTCCATCCATATCCTTCCTTTCCCCTTTCCCATTCCATTTTTTTTATTTAATTTTCAGATTTTTAGTTTTTTAAGGCTTCACCTCAATCTATCTACATTTTATTTTTAAGGTTTTATAATTCCATTTTAATTACTTTCAACTGTTTATGATAACTGAAACTCTGTATGAAGTTGTTGTATACATATATTTAATTAAACAATAACGTTGTTATTAGAATCCAGTGACTCTTTACAGATTTCTCCATCTGCTGATTGATTAAATTACTATACATTTGTCTCTGCCGTGCTTTAAAAGACAAAACTATATAGGATTGGCCAAGCAAGGTAAGAAGAAATATTTAAGGTTTTTGGCAAGAAGAACAAACTATTCTCTTGTCAAATTGAGTCAATAACATATTAATCCAACAGAGTATTGTATTTCAATTTCAATCTATAATTTTTTTGTCTTATTCAAACTATAAGTTAGGTTCCATTATTATTTTTGTTTTGCGTTGACCGTAAATATTAAGAATAGATTACATACATAATAGGGCAAATAGTTCATTATCATAATTATTACATTTTATTTGTGATTAGGTACTTTGAATTAAATTTATGGAAATCATCTTCCTCTTTCACAATATATATGAATGATTGGCAATTTGTATATCACAAAAGAGAATCAACAATAAAGAAAAGGATAAGTTAAAGTGATAAAAATAATATCAATAATACATTTGAGAGTAATTTAAAGCAGAAAATTTTTATTATCATCCAATGTTGACTTCTTCAACTTTTGAATTTAGAAAGAATTACAGTTCACCTTCATCAATATATTATTACTCATTTTTCTTATTACAATTTTTTTTACTAAATCTAACACTTGCAAACCACAATATTATCGATGTTCAAAACAAGAATGATATAGGTAATAATGATCTGATTAATATTGATGATGAAAAAGATATTAGGAATATTAGGGAGCCAGATTTCCCCTTTACTACAGTAATTGATCTTTTATCACAAAATGTGCAATTTTCATCTTTTTTAAGGTTAATTCAACTCAATGGCTATGTCCCTTATTTAAACGAATTAACAAATTTTACGTTATTTGCTCCTGTAAATTCAGCATTTATTGATTATAATTTCGAATCAAATGACAATTTTACAATTGAAGACTACGTTCTCTATGATAAAGTACTCGATATAAATGAAAACAATGAACAAAATGATAATTTAAAATCATATATTAACATTATTTATAATGGTTTGAATAAAGCGCCGTTTGTTTTTGGAAGAAATATAAAAGATGACTTAAATACAAATAAAGTTAAAGAACCCAATGATAAATATTATATCAATAATGTTGACGTAGTAGAAGAAAACCTCAAACCAAATTTTCAAAATGCTATAATACAGGGTATTTCAGCAACATTAAAAGATAAACCAAATTTAAAAGAACTTTTAGAATTATTAAGTTCTAATTACAAATACAACGAAAAATTTGAGCTTTTTACTAAATTTATAGACTCCAATTTTGAAAAAGAAGATTTTGAAGGACTTTTAGGTAACAATACCATTCTCCTACCAAATGATAATAATCTTTTAAACACGTTCAATAAAATTGAAATAAATTACATTATAGATGCATTCAATAGCCTAGATAATCTAGTGTCCGATTCAGTAAGTTCAAAAATTAAGGATATTTGGTTAAGAGATAGATTAACATTTCTAAAATCCATCATTTTGAAAGGGATCGTAGGAGGTAAAATTTCCAACTCAAAAGTAAAGAAGGTCGAAGTTCAAAATCTAAATGAAGATCAATTTAATATTACAAGTGATGAGACAGGCACGAGGATGAGAATATTTCACGGGAAAAAGGATGCAACATCTTTATATTCTAACATTCTTTACAATAAAGGAATTTTACATACATTCGATGACCTACACTATATTAGCAACTCTGTTCTGTTCAATACAGAAAAATATTTACATGGACTAAACAATTCAGAATTTGTACGAGAGCTATATTTTAGAAATTTAGAACATTTGATACAAGAAGATCATCTTAAGAAAAATATGACATTATTTATACCGGAAAATTCGGAGAATGATGCAGTCTTTGGCTTTACAAAAGCAAGTTTATTATATCATTTTACCGATTCACAATTATGGCTAGAAGATGAATTCAAAGAGTCTTCCAATTCAGTTACAAAATTATATGATTCATCCTTTTGCTCCTCCAATAAAAGACTTGGAGGTAACTGTCAGAGGTTTAAAATTACAAAATCAAAATCTGGGTATCAAATAAATGATAAATTCAAAATATTAAATTCTAAACCTTACCAGATTGGTAATAATCTTATTTACAAAATTTCAGATGACCTTCATCTTCCTGGCGATTTGATAGTATCTATAAATCCATTTTATCATTGTTCGAACTCTTTAGTCTTTTTAAGGCATTTAAGATTATTAGAGCTGGCTCCGAACAATGAAGGTTATACAGTGTTTCTTCCCTGCTTCAATTCATGGGACTCTCAGGAATTGAATCTTGAGTTTATTGAAAAGAACAGAAATATTCAAGAATTGATAATGAGAAGCTTGATTTTGAATGGTTTAGTATATACAGACGCACCTAAAGAAAATAAAAACAGTATGCAGGACTTATTGGGAAAAGAGTGCTCAGTAACGTTAAGATCACAAGAGTTACCTGGATCAAAGAGTGTTAATGTAAACATTTCTACTTTCCCTATGGAACTTACATTAGAGAAGGATATGGATATATTTTTTAACCAAGGTGTTATACATCCATTAAGAGATGTGTATTTACCATCTGCAGTTGAAATTTCTGCTAAAGATTTGATTAAAACTACAGGGAATCAAGAGTTCCTTAAACTTCTAGACCACTTTAATGATTTAGCTGGAATAGTAGATAATGATGAACCATTCTCTTTATTGATACCGACATTAGAATCTTTACTATATGAAGGAATTAGTGGAAATTATACGAGATTAGAAGATTTCTTAAAATTGCATATAATTCCAGGGAACTCAACTAAAAATCTGCTTCAATGTAATGGTGGAATTTCAACCCAACTGGGACAGCTATTGTCTTGTTCTGAACTGTCACCAAAAAATTATTTGCTAAGAATCCAAAATGGTTCGGACAATGAAGTTCGAATTTTAAAAAAAGGATGTTCCACAAAAAATCCTGATTCTTGCATATTCATGATAGACAGGCCGATGTCTTTAAGTTGGATTAGCAAAGAAAAGTATCATCTAGACCTACCTGCTGTTGCCATTGGAATAGGTATAGTTTTAGGAGCATTATTTATTCTATCATTATTAGGATTTTTATTAGCATTTGTCGGAAAAAGTCATAAAGATATATGCAGTTCCCAAAATATCGATAATTCTGAGAATGATACTGGTGGTAATGTAACTGATCCATTACTACCAAGAAATAGGGATAATGGCGGAAATTTACCTACAGATGGAAGACCCTTTGAAAGCTCCTATTCCTCTAATTCAGTCCGGAGTCCGATTCGTGTTATATCCAATAAATGTTCTAAACCAGATCTATCAATTTATAATAACGTTAGTTCTAATAATATATAATAAGCAAGTCCACTGTAATATACTATTATATAACATTATAAGTAAAAGTTCCTTACTACTAAAAATACATTTAAATTTTTTAGTGATTTATTAGATCATGTGATTAGAAAATCTTTATTTTTAAAAGTTAAATATTATTTCAAGAGTCTATAATAAAACTTATAATAAAGTTAAACTAATTATATCCATAACCATAACACCCGAACAGAATAAATCGTTTGAGATACAAGATCTAAGAATTGAGATGGCTAAATCTAGAAAATTGGATTTTATTTTTTATGTGTATTCAGAAGATTGCGTGCGGACCGTTCTGAAGTCTTTCTTTTATGTTCCAATCCTTTGAGTCTCCTTATACAGGTGTAACAGATTTTTTTTATTTCTTGATAAAATGATCGAATTGCAAAGTTATTTTATGTATTCTTATTATAAATTTATGCGTTGATAATACAATATTTATTGACATAAATATACTGTTTATATTATATATGGTCTAATGATGATAAAAAATATTTAATTCCAAATATTGAATGAAAAACCTGTACTTATTTTGTTTTTTTTCTAACCTGCAGTATTGTCACTTTTGGTTTTGACTGCTCAGTTCTTGTACTCAATGAATTCTTCTTAGACCCACTAATCAATATCAGATTTGTTCCAATCCGTTCCTTTAAATATGTTTTAACATTGTAATATGATTCAGTAGCACCTTCTTCGGTATCATACTCTTCTCCTGTTATGTATGATTTGATGCGATTAAATTTATTTTTTGATCCACTTATAATTATATCATCTGTACCAGGGATATAAATCGGTAACTTTGAGAGATAACCTTCGATACCTATTACTGACACAGTTTCACTTAAACGAAATTCTTGCCTTTCTTGTAATTCAGTCCAAAATGTTGATAGTTTGACAGATAGGATTCTTCCCTCTTCAACCAGCTGACGTATGAATCTTGATTTTGGGTCGTCAGGGAATAAAGGAATTTTATAAACGGCTAATGAAGTATCTGTTCCACCAAATATGTCTCCTACTTGCCAGTTTGGATATAATAAACTCTTGAAGTATCTTTTAATCTCTAAGGAACTTTCTCCAGGAATTTGCATAGCCGCCTTTGTATCTTGTTTAAAATTGTGAAGGATGTTTTTATCAATCAAAGATATCCACCATTTTAGTAAAGTGCTACCAGCTAAAATATGTTTATTTCCTGATTCTGATGACTTTGAAAATAAATATTGCTCTGAAGGTCTTGTAAATAATGTTATTTTTGTAATAATATTCTGATTACAAGTAAAGTGTGAAAATAAATTTTTGTTAATTTTTTCATTATCTAATCTAAACCCCTTTCTCCTTCTATTTGATAATATTTTCAGTCCTTTTCTTGTAGATGTTGACCCAAGTATCAATTGTTTGGTATATATATCTCGTTTCCTTTGTATTGGTTTTACATTTTTCAAATAAAAATTAGGATCAATAGATAATAAATAGGACAAAATTGAATTTGTTATATCTTTGACGTTAACTCTTATATCAGAGTAACCACTGGTATCAGCTTTGGAAATAAATATTAAACGTTCTGCATCCAATTTTGGATGGGAGTCTATAGTGGAGTTATACAAAGTAATATAAACGTAAACTTCCAACCCAAATATCACCTTTGAATGGTAAAATAATGAAAAGAAATGTTGGGTTTTAATAGTTACATTTTTAGAATCCCTTCTTGTAGATATATTCTGGGTAACAATTGGATGTGTCTCTTTTGGTACACTTAGAATATGTAATAACTCGAAATTTTCATTTTCTGGTAATGCATCTTTTAAATATGAGTTTATTCCCATTGTAATGAGTTTCTTTGTAGCAACTAAGATCAACTCCAGCCAAAATTAAACCAAATATATGTGGGTATTGATCAATTGATAGGGGAATTGGATACTTTGTCATCTTCTTTTAGATCCCAGTTCCTCTATCTCTTTATTATGTGTTTGTTCAAATTTTAGATCTCGTCCAATTTTCAATTTTGATTTGGAGCAAGATGCACGATGGATAAAACTAATCAGTGTGTATGTGAGATAATCTACCCTTATCTCATTCTTGCTATTTAAAACTTAATATAACTTACACAATTTTTGAAATGGAATGCTTATATATAATTATTTTGTTAAAAAATTTTTCCTATATAATTTAATAAAATTTAAATTTAAATGGAAGTGGAAGATATAGATTTACTGTAATGCAGAGAAATTGTTTTCCTATGAAATTAAATTGACATGATATATTAAAGCTTTTCATATTCATCAGGATAAAATATCAAACGCTCTGCACCATCCTTTGTTAGTACCACCATTCTGATAACACCACCAGAAGAACCATCCCATTTAATTGCTTGAGACAAAGAGTGCTTCATGAATTCAATTGTTTCTTCTTTGGTCATATCTTCTTTGAAGTTCTTATCACAGTAACCATAGATAAATGCAGAACCTGAACCTGCAATTGCATATGGTTGTCTATGTACTGAACCACCCAATGGTATACTATATACTTGTCCCTTATTGGCTTCATCATAACCTGCTACAATGATACCAGCTGTTAAATTATCCTTATTTTCATAACATAGTGTCTTAAAAATAGAAGCTGCTACCTCAGTAGAAGGTTCTCCATATTGTGCAGTATACATTTCCAAATGGTATTGTACAATATCTGCAACTGCCTGTGTATCAGCAGCAGATCCAGATCTACAACACCATATTTTATCATGAACTCTAGTCAATTTGTCAGTCACACGATTAGCAATATAGGCACCTGTAGTAGTTCTAGAATCAGCACCTAATATCACACCGTCTTTAAAGGTGACTGCCATGATGGAAGTACCTAAACTGACTTCACCTTTCTTTAATCTATTTATATCCACCTGTATTCCGTTCATATCTCTGTTACTTATTTCCTTTGTATACTTCTCTATCTCAGCTCTACGAACGCTCTTGTATATTACCTACACCAATCAATTGTAGCAGTATCTATAGTTGCAATTGCCTTGATCAAAGTGTGTTTGCTCTTGTCCAGTGTGAATGTATATTCTATCTTATAAACTTCGAATCTATATGTCTTGTCTTGCCTTGTCTTGCACATTGAAATAGGATTTAAGTTGATAAAGCCTTTGCTTTGCCACCAGAACAGTCTAAGTCGGCCTTGGTCTCTCGGCTCGGGTTTGAGTAGGATGCCGGGTAACAGTCCGCCATTGTTTTAAGACCAAAATCTCACAGCGACACACTCACACTTACACACACACCTTTCAATGCTTCCTCTTGGACCATGTTCATTATTACCATCCAAGTGGTTACATAATATTTAAATGCTGTATTTTATACATTTACGATGGAATAATCATTAATAACTACTATTGAGAAACATTGACAAGTTTGATTTTACCAATTCGATTATTACCTTTACAATAAACCAAGCTTACAGACTAAGAAGAGCATGTCGAACACATACACATTCCCTCTTCCTTGGGATGGATTTAGAGACATTCGAACCATTTCTGTTGTATATAGGGTGTTGTTGTAGCAGTAAGTTTGAACTTTTTGTCAATTTAGAAAAGAAGAAACACCCAAATACGTGCTCAACTGTATAGAAATAAGAGACCATTTCAGATTATTCATCATGTCAAATGCCAATAGACAGGGCTATTTGTGACCTTATAGCAATTACTGACAGAAAGAGCATTGGTGTTTGTTGTTGTTGCTGTTGCTGTTGTATGGGGAGCTTGTTAACGTTATTCCATCCCAAGGAAACCAACTGTTACCCTCACTTCTCTTCTGTCTTTGGCTCGTTTTTTTTCTTTTTTTTTCCGGTTGTGGTCACCGCCCCCTCTCCCTCTCGTCCGAATGGATGGATTCGAAAGAGAGAAGTTGCGAACGAAGATATGAAATGGTTACATGCAAGCTAAGCTAAGCTAAGCTTGAGCTAACTACTCTCTCAATATAATATATATTACACTTATGCCTTCATCTATATATTTATCTATCTATATATATACTTATATCTTATTATCTTTAAGCAAGTCGAAAGAGAAAGTAAGGACTTCGTTTTGATTTGGTAATGTTTAACCGATTATTATTGCAATTGCTAGCAGTTGCATTATTTTTCAGTCAAGTTGTCAACTGTTCTGAATTTAAGATATCGAACAATTGGGAAAACATTAAATTCAATAAAGTGATAGATTTAAGTAAAGCGTATTCTCGAGAAAAATTTGAATTGACTATTAAAAATATTGGAAATGTACCTACCGATGAATACTATTTGACTTTCCCAAGTGAAATTATTAATAAAACTTCCGTTTTAATTGCTGCTATTAGTGAAACTGAACGTTTAAACACTGCAATTACATTAAATTCAACTACTTTAGATGATGGTTCAATTCTTGGTTATGGATTAATTTCATTCCCAAAAAAAATTTCTCCAGGTGAAGAAATTACCTTTATTGCTCAATCGATTATAATCTATGTGGTATCCCATATCCTGCTCATATTAACTTGGATGATAAACAACATTTGTTATTAACAACCGAAAAATACCCTTATCTGCTTATAACCCAAAGGAATTCCACATTGAAATTTATCGGTAGGGATTCTTATAAAGGAATTGAACGAACTAAAAGATGAAACATTACAAGGCACTCAAGATGAAAATTTTTTTTCATATGGCCCATTCCATGATGTAAACCCTTATTATAAAAGTAACAATATCCAGTTGGTTTATTTGCATAATGAACCTTTAAATAAAGTAACCAAATTGGAAAGAGATGTTTGGATATCTCATTGGTCGGGTACATTGCAATTTGAAGAGTATTATGAATTGATCAATGCCGGCGCTAATTTGAATAAAGGTTTCTCAAGATTAGAACACATGAAGCAACAAAGACAAACTTTACAAGGTCATTACCGTGGTATCATCGATTCTCTCTTACCACCTAGTGCCTTCGATCATTATTATACTGATTTAGTTGGTATGGTATCTACATCCCAAGTTAGAGAAGATCATTTCTATTTAAAGCCTAGATATCCAATATATGGTGGTTGGAGATATAACTATACTATTGGATGGACTAATGAGTTAAGTCAATTTTTGCATGTCAATGAGGAAACCGAAACTTATCTATTATCAGTTCCAATATTAAACGGTCCTCCTGACACTGCTTATGATAATACAACCCTTTCAATTTACTTACCAGAAGGTGCAATTGTCGAAGATGTCAAAGTACCAATCCCTCATTCTGAGATTTTAATTGATACTAAACATTCCTATTTTGATCTAAATAAAGGTCATGTCAGAATTTCTTTGAAGTTTGATAATCTAGTCGATACTCTGCGTCTTGAAAGAGTCTTAATCAAGTACAAATATACACCAACTTCATTTTTTAAGAAGCCATTGTCAATAGCCACCTATATATTTATAGCATTGACAAGTTTATTTGCATTAAATAACTTGAATTTGAACATAGGAAACAATTGAATTTTATACAAGCATTGTTTTTTGATGCAATGTACTTTATAAGTAAATAAATACTATATACTATAAAATGTCTCATTAAATTTTTATATAAAACGATGCATCGTTTATTTCGTACCTCATCTATCCAATTGCATTATATTTACCAAACAAAATTTAAATACCCCTCCAAATACATTTTTCTACAAAATCATAATTTTTTGAATTCTGCCCTTTAATAAAACCCATATGTTCAAATTCAAAAATCGTCTGCATAAAAAGGGCTAGGGTGATCTTATCAACAGTTTCTGTATCAGAATTTGGTTCCAGGATTTTATCTAATTCCTCATCTTGTTTACGTAAGCAATCAATGTAAGGCAATAATAATTCCTTCTGAACTGATTCCCTAAATGCCGAATAAAAATCATACAAGTTAATGTTCGCACTTGCTTCTCTATAAAGCTTAAAAAGCTCAGATAGAATCGGCCCCACTGATCTTTCAAACATTACTTCTTTAGAAGCATGCGATTCTTTATTTAAAGATGGAAGACTACGTTCCCAGTTTAATAAATTGTCTTCAATATTAGATTTATATAGAGGAAACAAAGCCTGAGTCAATAGACCACTATTATTATCTAGGGTAAATAATTCCTGGAAAATTGTATCAACAGGTTCAAATTTTAGGTTCATTAATTGTTCTTTACATTTTGGCCAACGTTTTAAATAGTCTTCTAACTTACCATTAAGTAAATTCTTATAAAGTTCAATCAAATTGTAATTCGTAATATTCAATTCCTCCTCTAAATATTTTGCAACAAATTTGGCATGTCCATTTATAGGATTTTCTCTCACTAAAAAATCGACAAAAAACTCTTCCAAATTTTTATTCTTGTTTGTCAATAAATTCATTATTTCATCTGAAGGAGCATTCTGTTGTAGAAGGCCTTCAATAAAAAACATAAATGTGGGACAACTAGTCAATAATTTTAGATATGTGTCATCAAGTACTTCAACGTTTACTGGGTCAATAAAAACAGAAAATGGATTCTCATAAAAATATGTCATCAGCGAATAATCTAATATTTTTGTTAATAATTGTAAGTTATGGTTTGTATTGTTTGCCATTTTATCTAAGATAAATTGCACAAATCTTTCAGATAGATTTAATTTCCCATCGACTGTATCTAAAAAGCTTTGGAAAATACGATTGCCATATTTGTAACCTTTATTACTTGAAACATCTAATTTATGATAATTCTTCTTTAAAAGCCTAATAGTAGATTGCTTTAAATTTTTCTGAATATTGGATAAGTTTGTATTGATATTGAAGACTAAACTTATATCGACATGTTGATTTTTTAATGCACTTTTAAGTAAAATCAAAAAATTGTCTAATGTTGAAAAATTAATAGAATCGACATCTTTAAAATTGAATACTAGATTAATATTTTTGCCATATTTCTTTTTAAAATTTTCCACAAAGGTTAAGTCATAAGAGACATCCCCAAAATCCTGATAATCTGCTTCATCTATTACATCTTTATTTTCTTGAATATCATTATCTAATTGATTTTGTTCTTCTTCTTTAAGAGAAAGGTTTTGCTGATCTGATTCAGCCGCGGTATGTAGTTTAAACATAGATCTTTTCAACATCATTCTCACATTTGGGGACTCTTTAGGGGTCAATTCTATGAGCACACTCAATAGATCTTCTGTACTTTTAGGCAGGTCAATTCTTGTAGAACTGTCTGAACCTAATAGGAACAAAGTCTTAAAACATTCTTTATCTTTAGAGTCTTTCCTATTAAAAAGAATATCAAATATTTCCGATTTCAAATCTGTCTCAATATTAGCAATGATATCATCAACTTTAAAGTGGAAGTGTGAGTGAAGCTGGTGATATAATTCCCATCTTCTTTCTAAATTAGTTATAGTTTCATTACCATGTAATAATTTAACAAATGGAATCGACAAGTGGTCCATTTTCCTCTTCTTTAAAGGAGGATATATCTTGTAATGGCCTTTCTGAGCCTCTGCAAACTCCACTACGTTCATTATCTTTAATCAAAAATTGTAACTATTAAAATCGAATTATTGGTATTGCTTTTATTATTCAGATAACTGAAGTGTTCTTATACTCGTCTTAAAAACAACGATTCCAAAATCACTAAATGTTAATATCCAACAAATAATAGATAGGAAGAATTATACAGATATGATGCATATATGCTTGGGATCGTAAATTTGTTCCTGATCAATTTGGATGGTGTCGAGTTAAATGTAGCATTAAATGGTCAATGATTTAAATCTTGAGATGAGTTTATACCAATCTGTGATTATTTTATTTCAATTAATCCGGGTAAATTTCTACATAAGTATATATATACTTAAATAATGAGTAAACCAACATATCCATCAGTTATATATAAAAGACGATCCTTAACACAATACATAACAATACAATGTTTTACAATACTGTTACTATATGGCTCAGAAATTGGTTTTGACATTTAGATCATGATTATTGTTAAATATGCCATTAAAACAATAATTCTAGTTTCCTTCAACTAACTGTCATACCCTATTTACATGATATTTTTACTGGGTAGTTTTTATATTACCAAGTCTTTGAACGTTTCCCTTAAAGAAGATAAAATATTAATTATTCTTCATTCTTGATTCTTCATTTCCTAATTTCAACTTACCAGACATTTTCTGATTCTCCTTCTAATCTTTTAACCCTAACCGGTTCCCAATCTTGTTCTGCAATCCCTTGCATACGATAGTACTCTTCTTTGATATCAAACTGACGTTTATTAGTTTTCAAGTTGATTATCTCTTTCTCATTCATTTCTTGAATCTTACGATCTTTCTGCTCATACCTAACAGAGGTAAATTCTGATAACCAAAACGTCCCTAATACTATTAATCCACAAAATGGTAATCCAAAATATAAAAATGGGTTTTTATTTAGCCTTTTCTGATATCTACCAGCTATCGATGCTTCATAAGCCAACTGTTGTTTCTTGGTTCTAAAGCTTCTACCACCAAACATAATTATTCCGAATATATATATATATTTCTTTATAATATAATCTTTAATGTTTAGATAATCAAACGCTACAAAAGTACAATTTACAAAAGTCGAATACACTCGTTTTGTATCGTATAATCAATTATACAACTCTTTGATTATGACTTTTACTACTAATTAGCTATATTTACTCTCTTTTATACTAACCATTAACTGGTTTTTCTTGCCATTTTTCCATCTCTTGCATGTTTTGTAGATGCGGTTTTTGAAATATATATAGCTCTGGGGCCTATATGTCATGACGTCTCCTGACATATTAGAACAAACAAACATTATTTTAAAACTGATAAGGTCAAACCAAGACAATACAGCAACGCTAAAGACGATGATGATAATTTAGCAATGTCAGCAAATAATTTATTTAAATATCAAGTGTAGTGTGTACAATTAATTAGAATAAATATTGATCCATTATATTATACAGTAAATAATGCATTCTATTATACAATATTTGAAAAATAAATTAATATGAATGTAATATATATAATTGACATTAATAGTAATAATATATTTTATGATTTCAAATTAATGGTAGTTTATCATTGTTAAATCTAAGAAAGCTGATCGTTTTAAGGCGATATAAGTATAACATTTCCTCATTTATTTGTTATTATATTTGATTTATCTTTTATTGAATTTCTTCTTATTCTTTGATTTCTTACCATTGGCAATTTTTTGTTTCTTCATCGATCTTTCTTGATCAACTACACGATCTTTTTGAGTCTTTTTATATGAACGGGAATTATCATTGTCTTCCAAGGCTTCTAATCTCTTTCTCTTTTTACTGTTAACCGTCTTTTTATTTTTTTGTAAAGTGTCTAATATTTTGGCATTTTTCTTTTCAGCTTCACTTTGGAACCATGTTCTCTTTGGTCTAGATTGAATTTCTTTCTTGTGTTTAATCATATTTTCACCTTTACGTAATTGCATTTCCGCTCTTAATATTTCCTTTTCTTGCTTTTCTTCTACCAAAATGTCGTCAATTGTTTCACCAAATGATTCAACTAATTTGTTTGTTTCTTCAATTTGTGTCCATTCAACGTTTCTGCTTACTGCTTTGTTTTTACTAGAACTTTCCTCAACACTCTTGATAGCACTCCTAACAATGCTTCTATCTTGTGAAGACTCACCAACAAAAGTAACAGATCTACCCTCTCTACCAGCTCTTGCTGTACGACCGACTCTGTGAAGATAAATTTCATAACTCTTTGGCATATCAAAGTTAATAACAACTTCAATCTTTGGAATATCAAGACCTCTAGAAGCTAAATCCGTACATATTAAAACTGGAACTTCTAAAGATTTAAAGTTATTCACAGATTGTAAACGCTGTTCTTGAGTTAAAGAACCATGCAATTCACCAACTTTCATACCCAATAAACCCAAGATAATTCTCAATTTGTGTGCCATTTCCTTTCTTGCTACAAATACAACTATTCTTTTTTGACCAGTACCATCCAATTTTCTAATTAAGTAAAACAGTAATGCAGGCTTTAGATGATCTCTCTTACGGATACGTACAAATTCTTGAGTCAAACGAGCAGCAGCTTGTTTTGGAGGATTGATCATTATTCTGACTGGCTTTCTCAAGGACAATGAGATTAAACTCTTAATTCTAGAGTTCATAGTGGCTGAAAACAGCAATGTTTGTCTTTTGCTTGGAAGTAATGTCAGAATCTCATTCAGTTCTTCTTGAAAACCTTCTTCTAACATTCTATCAGCTTCATCCATTACCAACACTTCAACAGAATCCACATTGAAGGAAGAAGAGTTTCTGACATGATCGATAAATCTACCTGGGGTAGCAATGACAATATCAGGTCTTGTTTTTAATTCCTGTTCTTGTTGTCTTAAATTTAGACCACCGACAGCCAGACCAAAAGTTAGACCACTAACGTATTTACCAATCTTTTTACCAACATCTGCAATTTGAATTGCCAATTCACGAGTTGGAGTCAATACGATAACTCTAGTTGATGCAACTTTTGCAGGCTTATATAACAGACGTTCGATAATTGGAATCATAAATGCAGCAGTTTTACCAGAACCAGTGACAGCACCTGCAATAATATCTTTACCAGATAAACCGATTGGAATGGTTGCACTTTGAATAGGAGATGGCTTAGTATAACCTAAATCTGACAGACCTTTCAAGACGGGACGAGATAGTGTTAGACTGTTAAAGGTACTATGAACGGTACTTGTGGCTTCTGAACTTTCACTTTCTGGGGCATAAAAGCTGGCCATTTCTTCTGCAGTATCTTCTTCCCTTTCTTCATCATCGTCTTCCTTATCATCGTCGACTTCTTCCTCTTCCTCCTCCTCATTATCATCATCATCTTCATCTCCAGCTTCTTCTTGCTCGTTCTTTTTAGTAGCACCCATACCAAAACCATCCATTGCCAGTTCTTCTTCTTCTTCCTCTTCCTCTTCCTCTTCCTCTTCCTCTTCCTCTTCCTCTTCTTCAGCAACTTCGATATGAGCCATATTCAATAGACCACCTTTTCTTCTGATAATTCCATCTAAATCCACGTCTTTTTTCATGTCATCATCATTTTCCTTTTGATCACCAACAAAATCCCATCCTTGAAAGTTTGTTGATAATTCACCACCATCTATGTTAAATCTAAAATCAGGATTTAAATCTTCAGCTACTTCATCACCATTTCCATTGATCTTTACAGGATCATTTTTCTTACCCTTTTTGCTCTTAGCAGGAGTTTTAACACTTTTGTTTTCAGAAGTTAAGAGTTCATCATCGGAATCATCCAAGTCAGGAACATCTTCTTCACTATCACTAATAGTTGGCACAAAATCCAAATCGTTAAATTTGGTAATGGCCTTCTTTCTATTATTTTTTCTATCAGAGGTGACTGCCATTTATTAACAATTATTCACAATAAATATTTCTACCTTCTATTGCTTATATCTGCATATGCCTTAAAATTCAAACACAAATAAACAAACTAATACAGAGCACTTAATCTACTGATGGAAGAGTAATACCAGTTATACTTCAATTAATAAAGAGTAAATACAAATGGTAAATTACATTTCATTTCATTTAATCTCATCTCATCTCATCTCATCTCATCTCATCGCATCTCTCTTTTACTTTCAAATGACAATTTTTCAAAAATTTTCCAAACCCGTTAACAATGATATCAAAACAAAATCACATGACCATATATCACGTGCAATATAAAATCACATGACATAAAAACACGTGATATACATGTGGCCGAAAAGGGAACAAGAACATGAAAAAAAAAAAAAAGGAAAGATCCAAATAAAGAGAAGAAGGAAGATACAATAAGATTAAAGGCCTTTTTTAAAATATATGTGAAACCTTATTAAACTCATCTACTACATATTATTGTATTCATTTAAGTGATAGATTATTATTCTTATCAACCAATTGTTACATCATTTTTAGGAAGATATAACAGCTCTTTCTTTAACCTGGGTTTGTTCTTAATTTATTTTGTTCTGTTACAAAGAGGAAAAACGATATTCTCTCCACGTTATTATTAAAACTGAGTATTTGAAGTTTTTCTTACTAAGACAATTTATTTCATTACATATCATATATCATATCATATCATATCATATCATATCATATCATATCATATCATATCATATCATATCATATCATATCATATCATATCATATCATATCATATCATTTAAGATAGTAAATATACAACACACAAGATATAAGATCAAAGTGAGAATTAAAAAGCGGTTTGTCAAGATAAATTAAATCAAAAGAAGATTAAAAAGAAGAACATTTAAATCGTGTGACGTTTAATACTTAGCTAGATCAATACATTCAATTATAATAATTTCATTATTAATAATCGTACTAGTAGTCGGAATAGAATGATTGGTAGAAGATATTTGCATTTATTAAGGGAATTGAGACCTTCTGATATATTTAAAGAAGATTCTTTATCACCAAGGAAAATTGCATTACAGATTATATTACTACAATTATTTTATTATTTTACTGCTGCTGTCTTATTTTATGGTTGGGGTACTTTTTTTGGTTATGATATAGATATTAAAAAATGGTTATTTTCATGGGAAGCTGTAGATTTTACAAATTCTGTTGGTTTATCAGTTTCAGTTTTATGGCTAGTAGATGCTCTAATCTGTGTGATATTTTTAACTGTTATAGTTGGACGTAGTAAACTAGCTTGGGATTTTGCTATAACAATTCATGCAATTAATTTAATTATTGTATTCTTTTATACTGGAAGTTTACCATCTTTACAATGGTTATTAATACAAGTACTATCAATGCTAATATTAGTATTTTTAGGTACTTGGACTTCAAGATGGAAGGAATTAAGAGATACTTTTTTTGAAGGTTTACTAGATTCAACCGATGGTTTACCATCACTTTCAAATAACAATTCTGGAAGCGAGTCAAATCCAAATAATTCCATCCAAATGAAAGATTTAGAAAGTCAAAGATAATCTCAATAATAAGTCCTAAAAAACCTTATAATATTCTGCATTCACTAGTCCCATTAAAGATTTTTACTTAATGAAATTATAATTGTATATACATATATAAATTTGAATCCTTGTAATTTACTTAAATTTTAATCTAGATGATTCATTATCTACAATCCTATATTTATAATAGGAAAATGATTGCTTTACCCTTTGTCCTCCCCTACAGACAGAAGATGTCCAAAAGAAAAAGAAAAAAGAGTCAATCGAACTAAATATGCAGTCTTATATGCCAATATGTTTATATATACAATTATTACTTTGGTGCTTCCAGAGTTTTATATTTATCAGATTCTAGCATTTTATCTAGAAGTTCAAATACTCCTAGCTGTCCTTCAACTGACTGAACAATGTCTAATTTGTTACCGATTTTTTGATGTATTACTAACATAGCAACTGTGGACTCCACTCTTGTAACCAAATGGTCCAAAAATGATATTATATCCATCTCATTAATTGATGTCATTACTGCATCTTGGACTTGTGAATTTAAACTTATAAAGCCTCCACCTTCATTTTGTTTTCTTTGGTCCTTTTCTATGAAACCTCCGCGAACAGCGGATAGAATAGAATCCAATCTATTCGATGCAGTTCTTAATCTGAATAGGATCTCTGCATCTATGCTAGCATTTTCCTCTTCTTCTCCAAAGAATTCATGTCTTGATGCTAGTGACTTCGGGTATGCAATAGTAATATATTCCTTACTTTCAAGACCTTTTAGCTTTCGTTCACCATATTCATAAAATACCCAGCCGATATTTTCAAGCAATGATATCTCTCTCTCTAAAATTTCACCAATAAACTCTTCACCGTAGGCCCTTTCTAATGGTTCATTATCCTTTATGACTTTTTCATGATACCCCATTACTTTATTGAATTCTGCACAGAAATCATTACTCAATGCAATTTGACCACCATCGGCAATACTTGAGACTCTTGCAGCCTTATTAACCACAGGTCCTAAATAATCCATTCTTTGAGTGACTAAATCAAGTTCAGGTACTGGCAGACCCCAATGAATCCCCATACGGACTGATAACCCTTGATAGATTTTCATCCCATGCTTATCTGTAATCAGACCACCATCCTGAATTGATGTAATCTCTTCTGGCCATTTTGCATCTAGCAATTTTAGTTGTACATTTAAACACCAAACTAAACTACGGATGGGCGTAGGGAAAGCAACCATGAAGGCATCACCTTCTGTCTTAACTTCATAACCACCATAAATACGTAATTGACGACGCATAATGTCATTGTGAGTTTTAATTGCTGTTCTCATCGCATTAGGAAATAGTTCCCATAAGAAAGTAGAATTTTTAATATCAGTAAATACAATTGCTAAATTACCAGTTGGTGGAGCAATTTCAGGTTGTAATCTTCTAAGAGTGGCATCTTCAAACGTCGCCCTTCTCGTAATCAATGAATTTTTATTCAAGTTGAATTTACCTTGTTGTTCATAGTTATTCTGTAATGATAAACATAAAATGGTAATGTTTTCAGAGCACCCATAAGCTATTGCATGATCCTTCATCTCTTCTGCTGCACGCATTGGGTTACCAATATGCTCTCTTGCTATATCACATGCAGTCTCATAGTCCATATACTCCCATAATTTGTGGGTTGCAATGACTAAAATTTCATCCGCCTTAGTAAGTTTAACTACAGAAATATCTGGTGAAGCGTGAATATGGGGTAACAAATGGAAGAATCCAACTGCCCTGGATACATCAACACCACCATCTAGTTTATCATTGTTCACATAACCACCAGAAACTCTTATTCTTTCATATTCTTCTCTCTTATATGGCACATGCAAATTTGTCAACAACTGATAATCACTGTTATTTTTTAATAAGATTGCCATACAATCACCAATATTTGCGGTATATATTTTTTTCCCTTTAATATAGACAACTGTAGAACATGCACCACTTAACAAATCAACCGAAGTTAAATTTAAAACTTTGGCCCCATTATCAACTGAATTCAACATAGTGTTAATTTCTTTATTCAATTGTAGGAAACTGAATCTAAGTGCATTTTTAATACCGTCATCATCTTCGCCATATTTTTCCAATTGTCTCCTTAAAATCTTATGATAAATGTCTCTGACAATTTTCGCAATATTGTGACCATAATCAGCACTCTGATTTTTACTGTCATGCAAACATAGCAAACATTCATCATCTTTACTACGGAATCTTTCAAAAGTAACATCTCTTGAAGAAACGTAATTTCTTTGACCCAATGTATCGGCAACACCATACATCATACCGTTTATAACAGAACCTGAAGTTCTTAAACGGAAATTAAAATTTTCATCTGGAACTTTTGTTGTATTTAAGGTAACATCCATAAGACCAAGGACTTTCAGCTGTGGTAAGACGGTAAAATCTGCAAAATCTTTGTCGTGATCATTACTTGCACTTGATTTAATTTCAAATCTTCTGTTACCCGAGAAATTCAAATATCTCAACTCTTTATTGTCTTTCCAGTTCCACTCATAATGATGGTTTGAGATGTTATACTTTAATTGATTTGAACCTATATCAAAAACTGTCAGCTGCGATAGCTTTGAAACTTCCGAAGGTAACGATAATAATTGATTACCGTTCAACATCAAAGTCTTTAGATACTTCCATCTTAATATAGTATCACTTGGTAAACTTATTAATTTATTCCCTGAAAAGTATAATTCGGTCAAATTTTCTAATTCCAAGTTTGAAATATCTGTAAAGTTATTATAAGATAAATTTAACACCTTTAAATTTTTAAAGCAATTGAACCTTGTCCAACTAGAATCGTCAAATTGATTATCAGCTGCAATAAAGAACATCAATGTCTTGGCTAATTTTGAGCTAGGACTCAACTTAGTAAAGAACTCCCCACCATTAATAGCCTGATTACCAAACGCGTTTGATGATAAATTCAAATAGGTCAATTCAATATTTTCGGCACCATTCACAAGATCCCGAATATTATTAGAATGTAAATCCAACGTTTTCAAGTTTGTTAGCTTCGAAAATTCTTTTGGCAAACTTTCAATTTTGTTTCTTGCAATTGATAAATATATTAGCTTGTTCAACATAGAAATTTGTGACGGGATTTGCGTCAAATTATTTTCACTTATATCTAATTTCTCTAATCTTGCTAATTTCACAAATAATTCACCCGGAATACTTGATAGCTTTGCTTTATTTAAGGACAAACTAGTCATGTTTAATGGAAAGAAATCTTGATACGGTATCGAAGTAATTGGATTCCCTGGAATTTCTAATGCTCTTAGTTTTGGCAATTTATCGTCAAAAGTTGAAATTCGATTATTCGTCAAAAACAAGTTTTGCAGGTTACTTGCATTTGTTTTGATTGTAGTTATTCTATTATGACGAATATTCAAAGTTCTTAAGTTCTTCATACCAGAAAGGTCATTAATATTTGTTAATTTATTATGAGACAAATTCATTTTGGCTAATTTGACCAATTGGTTTATACTTGATGGGATAGATACAATTTTATTGTAAGACAAATCAATTTGAAGAATATTTGTACAGTTATTAATAACCTCAGGATATTCAACAAAATAGTTCGAAGATAAATCCAATAATTGTAAATTTTTCAACTTACCAAAGCCTTTTGGTAACTTTTTCAAACAATTACATTGTAAATTTAAAATTGTTAAATTAGTCAAAGCAGCTATCGAATTTGGAACTTTTTTAATGAAATTTCTTTGCAATTCCAAAGAAACTAACTTATAAGCCTCTGTAATATTCGAAGGGAATCGAGACGCTCTAATGTTAACCATTCTTAAACTTGATAAATTAATTGCACTTTCGATGAATTCGAGGGGCAGGAAAATATTAGCATTATTCGACACATCCAAACTCTCAATTTCAGTTGTATGTTGATAAAAAATAATTGGCGGGGTAGTCAGATTTAACCTTCTCAAATCTACATGGACAAAGTCACTTCTCATCAATCTTTGTTCTTGTTCAGCTGTTAGATGTGAAGGAGCCACAGGATGGAAATGAAATTTAAAAACGAAACTTAAATCTGCAATACCCATAATATGCAAAGGATCAGTTTTCTTATATCCGATCAAAAGCAGTAACCTTCTTTCAATTAAAATTGGCTTTGACAAAGGTTTTAAAAACTTTGATAACTTACCAACTTTCAGAGAAACTTGGAAGTTACCTTGGATACTAATGTTAAATTTCTTTCTTAGTGTTGGGATCATTTCTTGCACTGTTGTGTTCGGTGTGCACGATAACGTTGTGAATGTATCATCTGTATTAAAGATACGAATTGCATAATGCTTATTTGGATCTAAATCACTAACGTCTTTATAGTATTTTTCCAATTCATACTCTGCCCTATCATGAAGTTCATCATCCTTTGAAAAGATGGATGCAAAATTATTTGAAGTTTGATTGGAATCATCATTCATAGATAAATCATGGTCCTCTATTATTGTAGTCTTCGTTTTATTGGAATATTTTAATGCTTTTAAATTCGTATCTGAATTATGTCTATCGACTTTTTCATGAGCAGGCCTATACTGTTCCAAATCTGGATCGTCATTATAAATATCATTACCAATATTTCCATCATATTCGTAGTTGCCGTCGTCGATAATGTCATAACTATCAATACTATCATTTGAAAATGAATATTCCAGATCTTTATCTCCTGCCACTCTTTTTTCATCCGAATTTATTGTTATATTATCATTTTCATAATAACCAGCTTCGCCAGAATTTGTTGTTGAAGAGGTATGGTTAGACTGAGTATCCGCGTTATGTTGAGGATGAGGTACAATATTTGAAGGAGTCATAGATAACTTGTTTTGTAATTGCAACATAGTTTTTGAATTTACTCTTGAAATAGGCTGGACGGAATCTCGTCTTTTAGAAGGTGCATTAAGATCGGCAGCAGTTCCAGTTACGTTTGCGTCACCTGAATTATCTGTTGAACTTGAGTTGGCTGACACTGTAGAGGAAGTAGTCCCACCTGTCGAGCCACCACCAGATACAGTTTGCTGTGAAGCAACTTTATCACCTTGGTGTGTATGTTCGGAACCTGGCATATAAAATATCGAGGATGCGTTACTATTGTTTCTTCCGACCGACTTTTTTGATGATTTTAATTGTTTGTTATCAATACTTGATTCAACATCCCAGTTTTCAGGAGCTGTCCATTGAGTTAATGAATTTGCTTGGTCTCTTTGTTTTTCTGATTTATGTGAAACCGATAAAGTTGGAACTAAATGTGATGATTGGTCGAGTTCATTTATGCTACTGTATCGTTGATTTGTAATATCTGATAAGTTTTCCAAATTTGTATCTAATTTGAATAAACCTGGGTAATTATTAAGGTTAGTGCTGATAATTGATGAACGCCTACTATTTATATTTGATTCTAATAATTTCTTCTGATTTGCATTTGAACTAGTTCCAGTGGGACCTAGTGTTGTCTTTGCTGATGGTTTTGGTTGATTGGTTGTGGAACGTCCCGAGACATCACTGCTTGTTCCAGAATACCGAGTTGGTCCCATTGAGAATGGTTTATGTGAGATGCTGGCATTTGTGTTGCTACCAGTGCTGGTAGACTGACCCATCGGAGTTGAATGTGCTGAACTTGTGATTTTCCTAAAGATGGAACTTGTCGGGGAATGTTGTTGATAATGCTGTTGGTATGGTAGATGAGGTTCCATCACGGGGATGGTACTCGATGCAGTAACTGAAGATGAAGATCCTGGTGAAATTTTTTTGAATAAATTTTCAGCAAAGGAATATTTTCTATTTGATTGATGGTGACTACTCTGGTCTTGTTCTTGCTCATGTTCTTGCTCATGTTCTTGATGTGAAAAGGATGCACCACTGGAACCATGAAATAATGATGGGGCATGGTGATGATGAGGGTTCCCTAAAGATATCGAATCATCCAAGGGTTCCCCACCACTTTCACTCCCTGAAGTTGGGCCTGAAGATCTACCTAGAGCTGTCATTGACAAACCACTAAAAGTACGTCTCAGGGACAAACTCTTCTTCTTCTTCTTCTTGTTCTTTTGAGAACTTGATGTATTTTGACGTCTTGTGCCGGCACTACTAATCGAAGCACCTGAATTTAGACTAGAGCTATCTGGCATGATGATTTAATCTTCCTTTATTTGTTTTAAAATATCAAAGGGGGTGAGGGGAGACAAACAAACAATCGGAATAATTGTTAAATATGAAATATAATAATTATGATAATAGATAAAAAAAAATTGTTTTATTTTAACCAAGAGGGTAGATTATAGTAGAGAAATAAATGTTGTTTCATTTAAAAGTCCGTACTTAAAAGGGAACCTATAACAATTAATGGTAACAATGATAATGATGCTAAAGATAAAATAGAAAATAAAAAAAATAAAATAAGGGAACCTTTAGGAAATGATTATCTTTCTAGTTTCTATTGTCTGTTTGGATGAAAAATGTAATGCTTGAATATAAAATACAATATTTATATATAGTAACGGTAATAATGACAATGGAAGAAAAAAAAATCGTAATATGAGAGTAATTCCAAAGTATTGGGTATCTTTCTTTCTCTTTCTCTTTTTATTTTCCTATTTTATTTTATTTTACTTTATACTTATGTTTTGCCAGAAGGTTTCTAGTTATCACAAAGTAGATAGAGTTTTGTACTTTGGGTTTCAAATTGTTAACCTAAGAACAACAAAACAAAGAAAAAATAAATAAATAAATAATATGTGTAGCCAACCCAATGAGTTTAATGGTAATATCCTATGCTTTTAGAAATACTATATACCACCTTTGATTTGATTTTATAGCTTGATGTAGTCTTGAAGAGAGAAAAGAATACAATACAATCTTAATTAACTTGTTAATATTTTAAAGATGGGGTGTTTCCCTGTTTTTTATATAGCTTTTAGCTTCACTTTAAAATTTCTTTAAATTTTTTTGTCGTTTTTGTGTTTTTGTGTTTTTGTGTTTTTTTTTTAAAAAAAATTTTGGGCCGTTTTTTTGTTTTTGTGGTTCGGATTCTTTTTTTTTTTTTTTTTTTTTTTGGTTTTGTGTTTTTTTAAAGGTAAAGTAAAGTAGGGTAGGGTAACTAGAGATGAAAAGTAAGAATTTGATTTTAAACAATGATCGATCAATCAATTCAATATTTTAATTTAAACAGTACTAGAACCATAAATATAAATTTATTATTGGGGGACAAGATCATCCCAACATTTTCCAATATACTTCCTTATAAATAAAACTTCAATAAGCACTGTTAACTGTTAATTTAGTTGATACAGAATTATCAAGACCCATTTGCTCTTTTGTTTTTCCTGTTTTTAAGTTAATTTTGTGGTGACAAATCAATTAGTACAACAAAGCTAAAAACTAATTTATCCCTCTTTGGAATTTTAATTATGTCTCACGATGATCAGAAACTAAATATTGCTGAGGAACTAGCGAAAAATAGAAACAATAATAATAGCAGTGCCAGTAATAATAGTAACAACAACAACAACAATAGTGCCAGCGCTAGTACTACAGGTATAATGTCTCAAGTAAGGATATCTTCATTATTATCAGATACAGATTCACCATCTATAAATAGTAATACCAGTACAAATACAAACACTCCTGTTCCTTTAATGGCGATTGCTCCTCTTCCTTCTCCCAATACTACCACCTCTACTACGAAGACTAGTACAACTAGCGAGACTGCTACAACTGCTGCAACTGCTACCACCACTAGTTCTACTCCTAATGACACTAGTTCAACATTGACAAAATCATTAAATTCAAATATTAAAAAAAATGAAGCTTCAACAACTATAAAAAGACAGAATGTAAAGACTCCTAAAGTTAAAAATATAAATACTACAAATGCAGACAATAAGAAGAAAAACTCATCAGTTTCGAATAATCTGTCTAATAGTAATACAAATTCAAATACCCCCAATAGTAATAAAAAAAGTAAGACTGATTCTCCAAAAGTAAAATCAAAGGGGAAAATAAATAAACCAAGCATTTCAAGGGATACTTCAAAATTAGCAAAAGATGCATCTACACTAATATCATCAACATCAATATCTACTACTGGTGGAACATCAGCTTCATCTACAACCGCGGCCACTTCCAATAATATTCCTACTACTTCTAATACTTCTGCCACCAATCCCGCAACAACAACTACAACAACAACAACAACTACAACTAGCAATCAGAATAATAGTTCTGGAAACTCATCTTCTGTAAAAAAATTGCTTCCTGCATCACAAATTAAAGCACCTTCTTTGCTAGAGGTTTTTGAAATGGAAAAAGATAGAGCAACATCAACTGAACCAGCTGATCCAGTGGTTATTGTAGATATACCACTATATCAAACTTCAAATAATGATTATCTAGACGAAAATGGCCAGGTGAATTTCAGTCTGTCTCAAATAATAAGAGAAAATTTCAGTTCATTCAAATTAAATAATAAAAATAACAGTGGAACGCCAGAAAGTGAAAGCGAACTATTACGTGCAAAAAGAAATCTACTGGGACAGTTGAATGAAACAACAGGTAAAGTTGAAGGTATCGATGGTAATGAAGAAGATCTAGATTCAATGGTTATAGATGATGATGAAGATGACGATGAAGATGAAGACGAAGATAAATTAACGAACTCTCCAAAGAAAAAATCACACCCTAATAAAGGTAAAAATCTAATAGGTAAATATGACACAGAAGATCCATTTATTGACGATTCCGAATTGGCTTGGGAAGAACAGAGAGCGGCTACGAAGGATGGTTTCTTCGTTTTTTTTGGTCCTCTAATCGAGAAAGGTCATTATGCTAGTTTAGAACGAACTAATGGTACAATGAAAAGGGGTGGTATCAAAAATAAATAACCAGATGCTAAATTGTAACCATATATAATTATAAATATAAATATAGATATACATATCCCAAGTTTTTTAAAAGACATCATTCGAACAGTAACTGATGATTCATATGTGAAATCCTTATTATTAAAATACATTGTTACTTAAATCTATGTAAAATTAACTTGTAAAAAAAATGATTGTCAACTTACTTATTATGTTTCATAGTCTCTTATATTTAAATCCTATTTCAAATAGTCCCCTAATTTCTTATTAGCCTCTAGAATTAGCTTGACTTCACCTTTGTCATTGTAATTTCTCTTTTCATTGAACTTTGCATCGATCTTTTCTTGTACCTCAATTAATAACTTATTATCCCATTGCTCATTAACAGCGTTAAAAAATTTAATGAAATTTAACATCAGCAATAATGCAGATTCATTATACTCAGACAAATTAAAATTCACGATATAGTTCAATGATATTTTATGAATAGCATTCATTTTGTGATCATCCAATACCAAATATGGTCTCATTAACGATGTTGTACTTTTATCTTCAATGTTCATTTCTTTCATTTTGTTAGCAATTGAGCATTCTTCTTTCTCAAAATCATCGAAACATTGGCGTGTTCTAGTTGTAAGATCTTTCATAATACCCAATACACATGATTTTGCAGGCAAATTACGTTTTTCCTCTAAAACTTGCATAATTACATCAAATGCAACATCTTCTGGTGCTAAACATAATAATCTAGTCAATAATGTAAATGATGATAATCTTGTTTCTTCATTATGCTCTGCTAGATTTCTAGTTAGCAAAACTTCGAAGAATACACTAAAAACATAAGATGGCAATTCCTTCAAGTTACTTCTAGCCTTCTCAATCGAGGAATTAATAATAGATACCCACAACCAATAACGAGCAATATTCTCTGATGAATTATTCCTGTAGACATCTGCATATAAGGTTGGAGTAGTAACACGTAAATACATATAAATTGCATCTTTAATGTCTAACTCAGGCAATAAATGTTTACAAGTTTCGAAATAATGGAAACCGGATAAAATGAAGATACCTTGTTGATCCAACGTAAACTTGGTTTGCTTTGTTATCTTTTGTAATGAATATGTATAAGATAACTTATATACAGCTTGAGAAATCAAAACTCTGGCTTCATCACTTGTAATTTCTGAATCCTTTGGTAAAGAAGAATAAATTTTCCTAGAGTCCTTAATAAATTTCAATAGTTCGTCCTCCAGGTTTATATCAAAAGCCTGAGCCAATTGGTAATATCTCGAAATCAATTCATACACATTATTTTCATATTGAGAAATAACCATTGCTTTTCTGGCTAAATCATAAAAAAACTTAACATCAATCTTAGTATTGAAATTTCTTAAACATATATCAATACCAAAAGTCGAGAAAACTTGTAGCAGTTTCCCTTGAGTATCTAATTCCTTTTCAGAAATTCGTTTCAAATCATCATTAGAAATTTTTTCACTCTCTAATAAGTCTCTTGGTATTTCAGCTGGAAGATAACCTCTACAGAAGGTATAAATACGACGCAAGATCAAATTACAGTCATCCATATAATCAATATTGTTTCTAACACATTTCATAATTGCAGCTGTTGCCATCCCTAAATACTTTGAAGGATATAATGTACTAATACGTCTTAAGGTAGTGACAATTAATTCAAATATAACGTGCAAATACAAGCCAAAAAAGAAATCAGTTTGAGTTCTATGGAACAAATATTCACCATCCTCAGTAACCGTAACCAAATTTTCTCTGCTAGTAGTATCATTACTACCACCCTTATCATCATTGTTAGTACCCTTTGCTTTATCCTCAATTTTCTTAAATTCTAAAATACTTAATTTTGACAACAATTCACAACCAGTCAGTAAACATTCCTTTGGATTACCAGCCAATGCAATCTCATTGAAACATTTCATGACAGTGATAATAATATCACTGCTATGAAGACTTTTACGAACATCAATATTTTTGGGAACATAAAATTTCAATAAAACTTCTGGAAGGTCCCAACCAATTTTTCCAACAATATCATGGTGTTCTTGCAGCTGCTTTAACAATTCTTTCAAATAAACCTCCTTATCAAGAATACTTCCATATTCATTGACCTCTTCTGCATACATATCAATGTCAATAACAATAGCCAAAGGGTCATCATGCTCTTGGTTGAAGCTCGTAACAAGCTGTTCACAAATAACTTCAATATTCTCCATCATATCTCATTAAAACAAAAAACTGGCAACAACGTTCTCTTAGATAAATCAATAATAAGGAACCCTGATTAACTACCAACCTTCTTAAAGCTTCAACAATAAAGATAACTTAATTGAATTTCAATAATGATAGGCTCTTTTTTTATATTTCAATATTTCAATTTAAATCAAAAAGTGGAAAATTTCATTATTAAAGGCTTTAAAATTCTGGAACTAAAGGATACATTTAAAGGTTGGTAAAAAATGGTGAAGATGAATAGTACAAGAACTTCCCAATGGACAACACATTACAGTCAATGGGTAGTGGTTATTGAAGATAATAACTTGTAAGGTTTATGTTATATATTTTGGGTTTTAGATTTTGAGTATAGGTTGGTTCGGTTTACATATTTTTAATGGGAAGATGAGTGGCATGTTATTAGAGAGTGAAAGTGATCATGAAGATTCTGAAATTTCCAGTGGTTATTCTGAGAATGGTCGGTTAATGAGTCAAGATCCCTTGTCGTTATCTACTGGTAATGTAATGCAGAGCAGGTTGGAGCAATACAGCAAAAGACTTTCGCAATTAGGATTGGCTGCTACTGACGGTGATAGCAATGGAGATGGGACTGATAATGATATAATACCTTCTGAGTACGATGAAGAGGAGATTAGTGTACCTAAACAGGAGGTACCGATGACTACTTCGTTGATTTTGGACAAGTTGCCTCCTACTACTAATGAATTTTTGCATCAATTATCGATTAAAGAGATGGAACAAGATATTGAAAAAACAGTTCATAAAATTCAAATAAAATTTCAACCTATTGGGTCTATTCCTCTAATTACTCCATCTGTCTGTACGATATCATCTCAACAAACATTTTCAATGATTATATTATTTTTAAAGAAACGACTTAAAGTGGAACAAGTGTTTTGTTACATTAATAATTCATTTGCACCTAACCCTCAACAGACTATCGGTAGCTTATGGTCTCAATTCAAAGTTAATGATGAACTTATAGTAAGCTACTGCGGGACAGTTGCATTTGGTTAGAACATTGAAGTTATAGTTGTTCAAATATATAAAACTACTACAACAACATAAATTAGCACATAAATAGAATCGAATCAATTTTCAAATTGATATAAATAATTGGCAATTACGTATTATTATCAATATTATGATTGTAACCTTTTCTGTTTATATGAAGGACTTTATTATCGTTAAATATCTACATAAAAACTCTAAATTATCTATACTAGGGTCTAATTTTCCTTTTCTGCTGGAGGAACAGTGTCTTCCAATAAAACTAGCAAATCTGAGGCATCGACATTGTCACCGTCATTAACAAATACTTCCTTGACAAGACCGTCTGCAACTGAAGAAATAACCATTTCCATTTTCATTGCACTCAAAACTGCAATAGGTTCACCTTTTTTAACCAAAGAACCCTTATGGACTTTAACTTCAACAATCACACCAGCCATTGGTGCACCGATTTGGAATGGATCATGTGCGTCAGCTTTTGGCTTAGCAACAGAATCCACCTTTTGAGTTTTATCAACAACTAGAATTTGTCTCAATTCACCGTTCAATTCGAAGTAAACTTCTCTGGTACCGGTATCTTTTCTCAAATCACCAATAGCTTGGAATTTGATAATTAAATTCTTACCTTGTTCCAAAATAATCTCAATTTCTTCACCAATTACTGGAGGAGCCAAAAAGTTCTTTGTTGGAAGAATAGATAAATCACCATAAGTTTCTCTTACTTTTTGGAAGTCTTCAAAGACCTTTGGATACATATTATATGAGGCCACATCACATTCATCAACATCACCAAATCTACCTTCCAAATCTTCTCTAATCTTTTCTAAATCAAATGGAGCCAATTCCAAACCTGGACGACAAGTCAACTTCTTTCTCTTATTTCTTAGAATATCAGATCTTAGAGGTTCAGGGAATCCACCGTATGGTTGACCGATTAAACCTTCAAAGAAGTCCATGACAGAATCTGGGAAATCTAGAGAGTTAGCTAATCTTCTGATATCATCTGATGTTAATTTGTTAGTGACCATAAATTGGGCTAAATCACCAACAACCTTAGATGTAGGAGTGACCTTAACGATATCACCCAACAAATAATTAGCTTCCCTATAGGCTCTCTTTGTTTCAGCCCATTGTTCACCTAAACCTAATTGTTGAGCTTGAAACAACAAGTTAGTCAATTGACCACCAGGGATTTCATGTTCGTAAACATCTGGATCTGGACCTTTCAAGTCTGCATCGAAACCAGAATACAATAATCTAATTTCAGCCCAATAGGCATCCAACTCTGTTACATGATTGACATCAATATTGGTGTTGACACTGCTGTCAAGAGATGCCAAAACAGCATTAACAGATGCTTGAGATGTTAGACCTGACATTGAATTGGTAGCAACATCAACAACATCAGCACCAGCCAAAGCACATGCAATCATAGATGTAACTGCGGTACCTGCAGAATCATGGGAATGAACATGGATTGGCAGATTTGGATATTTCGTTCTTAAAGAGCCAATTAATATCTTTGCAGCAGCTGGTTTCAAAGTACCTGCCATATCCTTAATACCCAAAATATGGGTACCCATTTTAACAATTTTATCAGCAATTTCCATATAATAATCTAGATTGTATTTTTTGCCCGGTTGTAACATATCACCAGAGTAACAAACAGTTGCTTCAACAACACCACCGGCCTTCTTAACAGCATCAACACCTACCTTCAATTGTTCTAAATCATTCAAAGCATCAAAAACTCTGAAGATATCGACACCATTGTCCTTTGCTTGTTTAACAAAGTGATCAATTGCGTTATCAGGCAAAGAGGAGTATGCTACACCATTGGCACCACGTAATAACATTTGGAAAGGAATATTTGGAACCAGCTTTCTTAACTTTCTTAAACGTTCCCATGGATCTTCATGTAAGAATCTCATAGCAACGTCAAAAGTAGCACCACCCCAACACTCTAGGGCAAAAGCACCAGCTAGGGCATGAGCTGTGGTTGGGGCAATTGTAACTAGATCATGAGTTCTAACTCTAGTAGCCAATAAAGATTGATGAGCATCTCTCCAGGTAGTATCCATGATCAAAGTACCGTCAAACTCTCTGACCTTTTTAGCAAATACTTCAGGACCATGTTCCAATAAAATCTGTCTCCAACCACTTGGTGGGGCATTGGTGACATTAACAACATTGCCCTCAGAGTCATGAATATCAGGAACAGTTGGATTCATTGCCAATTTAGGTAAACCTATTTGACCTTTAATTGAAGGGCCATTGACTGCAATATCAGCAAGATAATTCAATACTTTAGTTGCTCTGTCTCTTGATGACAACATCTTAAATAATTGAGGAGTGTCATCAATAAAAGTAGTCCAATATTCACCGTGGATGAAAACTTCATGATTCAACAAAGTGATCAAGAAAGGAATATTAGTTTTGACACCTCTAATTCTGAATTCAATTAAAGAACGAATTATCTTACGTCTGGCTATCTCATAAGTAGAACCCAGACAGGTACACTTAACTAACATCGAATCGTAATGTGGAGAAATTTCAGCCCCAACATACACATTACCACCATCTAATCTGACACCGTTACCACCAGTGGAACGATAAACTTCTAATTTACCTGTATCAGGTTGGAAGTTTTTGGATGGGTTTTCAGTGGTAATACGACATTGGATTGCAAAACCTCTTGTTGTAATTTTATCTTGGAATAAACCTAAGTCTTCAAGTGAAGCACCTGAAGCTATTTGGATTTGTGCAGCGACAATATCAATACCTGTAATTTCTTCAGTGATAGTATGTTCAACTTGAATTCTTGGATTAATCTCAATGAAATAATGTCTATTTTGACTGTCTACCAAAAATTCAGCTGTACCAGCATTTTGGTAACCGGCTTCTTTAGCCAATTTAACAGCATCTGTTAAGATTGCGTTACGTACATGAATTGGTAGTGTTTTTGCTGGGGCAACTTCCACAACTTTTTGGTGTCTTCTTTGAACAGAGCAGTCTCTTTCAAAAAGATGTACTACGTTACCGTAATTATCAGCTAATAATTGTACTTCTATATGTTTTGGACGTTCCAAGAATCTTTCTACAAAACAAGTACCATTACCAAATGCGGAAATAGCTTCTGATCTAGCTCTTTGGAAGGCATCTGCAACACTGTCACCTTCTTTGACCACTCTCATACCTCTACCACCACCACCATAAGCAGCTTTTATAATTACAGGATATCCATATTTTTCAACGAATGCTTCTGCTTCTTCAGCAGTTTCGATTGGACCTGGAGTACCAGGAACAGTTGGGACGTTAGCTCTTGCAGCCAAATTTCTTGCAGCAACTTTATCACCAACAGAATTAATTACTTCAGGAGGAGGACCAATCCAAGTGATACCTGCTTCAATAACTTTAGCTGCGAATTCTGCATTTTCTGATAGGAACCCATAGCCAGGATGGATGAAATCTACATCATGTTTCTTAGCAATGTCAATAATTTCATCAATTGCCAAATAGGCACCAACAGGTGTATATTGACCTTCTTTACCAATAACATAAGACTCATCAGCTTTCAATCTATGTAGAGACAATCTATCTTGATGTGAATAAATTGCTAAAGTTCTCATATATAATTCATGGGCAGTTCTAAAGATTCTAATTGGAATTTCACCTCTATTAGCTACCATAAGCTTATTTTTATTACCCAAAAGACTTTGGGCATCTCTCATACCAGTGAAAGCCTTTTTTGACATTATGAATTGGGTGTATATAGAATAAACCAGTTCAATTCAATTCAATTCGGTCTTATTATGACTAATTTAGTTCAATATTAACCATATAATACAAATAATATAATATAGTATAATATTTATACAATACTAATAAAAATATACGAATATATCAAGAATTAAATCCCCCTTATTATCTAGATTTATTATATTAATTATAATAGTGATGTATAATAAAATGTTTCAATAGAGCTTAAGTATTAATAACAAGTTTGACATAATGAATATGATATTTATATATTTATATATAATTGTTAACAAGAATCCCTTTTATTACAATACAACCCCACTGTCAATTCAATTCAATCCAATTCAATTCAATCCCATCCAATATAATTAATTGATCGCATTAGCTACATCACGAACAATTGCAATGATGATATCAGAGGTGTCATAAGGTCCTAGTAGAGTGGTGTGGTTTATAAAAACCTACAACGCAGTTGTACATACACTTCAAATAAAGTTGCTAGTCGAGAAAGAGAGAGTGGGTGTGTTTACAGGATACTGATACGGATGCTAGAGAATAGTATAGCATATAGTAGGATAGGATAGAAAACTGCCATCCTGGTTAGTACTAAGACTGTGAATAAGAAACCTTTATACAGTTATCTCGAAACTGGGAAATAATTGCGGTAGCAGTTGAAGTAGCAGTTGAAGTAACAGTAACAGTAAAAGTATCCAGCAGTTAAGCACCACTGTGACCCACTTGCTAGTTTCGAAACCAGTTTACAAATTAAATTTTCCACATTCCTTGTTCGTGAAGAGAATACTTTTTCATTAGTTATCCACTAGTAAGTAGGTAGTAGGTAGTAGGTAGTAGGTAGCAGGTACTGAGATCGTAAATAGATAGCACCAGTGAGTTGTTGTGCTAGCCATCCTCACACTTGACCATCTTGTGGTATCGTAGCCACTACCAATTAGAAGAAGCAACAAGCAATCAAACAATAAAAGCCTTTTCGGTTAGCCTTCTCTTGGTAAAAGGCGTCATTATCACCATGACCATCGAATTGAAGACAGATTGGGAAGTGGTCTGAGGATAAGAAAAGAGAGGGTCACAACTCTTCCTGATAAAACCTCAATTCGCCATTTGACTATGGGAAAACCTCTTTCGAAAGGCTTTCCAATATCTTGTTTCGAAACGTTGTTCAAAAAAGGTCAAGAATTAAGAGAGTAGATAGATGCTTAACTCGATGAACAGTCAGACAAACTAATTTAGTATTTATGATTGATTAATTGATTGATTCGAGTAATATAAGCTTATAATTATTTTAGAATCATGCAAGGCGAGCTTAAATTTGTCATTCGTCATGACATTTAATGTATTCATCAATTGGCTGGATAGTTGACTATTTTTTGCAAGATCTAGACTTAACATTGTGAAAGTAAGAGAATGGGTTTTAATTGGAACCTAGAATGCAATTGCCATTCATCTTGGTATTGCATTGGTCGCATGTGTTAGAGTTATATTCCAAATAAAGGTAAAATATTGCATGAAACTGCAGTTAAAGTTTTAGAATCAAAAATGTAATGTACAAAATAAATCATATAAAATGAAGGATGTAAAGGTAATCAATATAGTAAGAACCAAACTTTTTGATACCAAGATACCTTCTATAAATACATTTTTGTTGTGGTAATTTGATATAATAAAGAATATTTACCGATACAAGTGCTACATCATGGAAACTACTTAATTCGACATAGAATCAGTCGATTTATCGTTTCTTGATAAATTGGGCTATGAACCTGCGTATTCAAATCAAGATATTGTACTTCATGTGGTAAAACGAGCAACAAATGCAACTACTGATGAACTAGTACAATCAGAAAATCATGTGGCAAGAGAGCGTAAGGCTATGGATGAAGAATTTAGAGGTAAATATATATTTCGCCCATACCATGGTGTGGCTACTCATGAACCTTTAACAAGAACTGAAAAGCTTAATCATTTTTTGGAGATGGTATTACCATCTTCTATAACGCCTAGTAATAAAGAAAGATATGATATTTTATTTAAATTACTAGAATATGAGGGAAATATATGGAAAGCTGAAGAAACTAAATTGCAAGAAACCATATTGTATCTTCGTGACGTATTAAATAAAACTAATAAAGAAGCTGTCGAAAAGATTCTGAGACAAATCCTTCCTTTCAGACCTCTAGTAACGCCTCAACCGCCGAATTCGTCTTATACCCGTGTCCAAGACCCGAAAAGAACAATTAATACTCTTTTGAATATATGTTTAGATGAAGCTAAAAATGATTTAGAATCCCAGATTATGGATAAGTTTGATATATTGTTTCCTCTCACACCATATTCAACCGACAGTGATGATAAAATGATCCAAAGGTATAGGAATCCAGAATCTGATGTTAATACGTCTGATAAGCTGGGTAGCATAGATGATGAACATACTGCAAGTTCAGAGACACCTTCAAGGAACTTAAAGAGTACAAGAAGAAAAAGGACAAGCAAGACTGGCGATACTGAGGCAACTGACAGACGAACGTCTGTAACAGTAAGAAGTAAGAGACAGAGATGGTTAAATAAAATAAAGAATCAGAAATAAAGGCAGAATATAAATATAAATATATGGATTGTATACTGCAAATAGGATCTATAGAGTTTAAAGGAAATGATATCAAGGCATACCGTGGATAACAGGGAATAGTTGATGAGAAAGTGTCGGAATGGGTCCAATGACACAGCAAAGGCAAACTAGAGCAACGTTAAACCCTGACTGATCACTTTTATATTTTGTCAATGGTAATAAAGAGTATGTAATTATTGAAGATATATATTTTGATAATAAAAAAACAATAAAGTATAGGAAGGAATATTTACAATAAAATAAATATATAATATATTGATCATAATAGGCTTAATTATTTTTATTTTTTTAATTAGTTTATTTTATTTCGTGTTTTAAAGTTACTCACTCATCCTCTTTTTTTTATGAAAGAGTATTGCTGCAATTGTGTTGGTTCAACTGCATTTAATCTTGTGATTTCATAATGAAGTATCCACAATGCAACAACGATAATAGCAATTGAAAATGGTTCTAATTGATCGAGTAACGAATAATATTTACTTCACAAGCAATCAGATTAAATTTAGCCTTTAAAAATGGGGTCTCTTTTGAGAAAAGAGAAAAGATGGAAATAGAATAGGGGTGTTATTGATCTTATTCTACTGCTAGAACTTCTTTAACAGCTCTAACAATGGTGTCTGGATCAGGGAAGGCGAAATCTTCTAATTCTTTTGCGTATGGTGTTGGGACATCAGCACCGGTGACTCTTCTAACTGGAGCATCTAAATGATCGAATGCTTCGGATTCCATAACTTGAGCAATAATTTCTGAACCAACACCGAAACTTGGGAATGTTGATTCGACAGTAATTAAATGGTTTGTCTTTTTGACAGTATTGATAATTGCTTCAACATCCAATGGTCTAATAGAACGCAAGTTGATAACTTCAGCGTTAATACCGTATTGCTTACTTAAAATCTCAGCAGCTTCTAATGAGAATTGAACATTTCTTGTGTATGTAACGATTGAAATATCAGTACCTTCTCTTTCGATCTTAGCTTTATATGGCAAGGTAAAATCAGGAGATAGGGCTTCTTCAGAGACTTCGAAAGATTCACCGTATAATAATTCATTTTCTAAAAAGACGACGGGATTTGGATCTCTAATGGCAGCCTTTAGCAAACCTCTTGCATCTTCAGCAGAATAAGGAACTAAAACTTTTAAACCTGGAATAGAACCGTACCATGCTGAGTAATCTTGAGAATGCTGAGCAGCAACACCGACAGCAGAACCGTTTGGACCTCTAAAGACAACTTGACACTTTTGGGTACCACCAGACATATAGTGAGTTTTTGCAGCAGAGTTAACAACATGGTCAATAGCTTGCATTGAGAAATTAAAAGACATGAATTCGACAATTGGTTTTAAACCTTTCAAAGCAGCACCAATGGCTAAACCTGTGAAACCATATTCAGTAATTGGTGTATCAACAACTCTTCTTTCACCAAATCTATCCAACAAACCCTTTGTGACTTTGTAAGCACCGTTGTACTGGGCAACTTCTTCACCAATGATGAATACATCATCATCACGATCCAATTCTTCAGCCATTGCAGAATTCAATGCTTCTCTAACGGTCATGGTTTTTGAAGAAGCAAACCTTCTTGAAGAAACGTTAAAAATAGATTTTGAAACATAACCAATGGAACTTGGTACAGTGAACTTACCCTTGATAAATGACATTATTATTCTTATATGATTACCTACAGGAACTAAAATCAAAACTTAAAACAAACCTTTAATCAATTAATAAATAGATGGCAGACCCCCCTTTGTCTCGATAGCAAGAGTAAGAGATTATAATTTTTATCAATTGGAATTAAAGCCAAATTATATTATATTATATAATATAAGATAATAATGATAATATCTTATAGCTAACTATATATAAATATAATTTTTAACAGCAATGGTACTAGAACTAGAACAAATACTGTAAATATGATTGCAATATATTGAATTGGAAGGATATAATAAGACCAAAGTAGTGTACAAAGAATAACGACAGTCGAGTCGTGTTCAAGTTGCAAATATTATAATGATCAATCTTGTCTTGTCAAATGGCTAACTTGATTAGACTATATATTTTTTTTTGGCAAAATATATACATACAAGACAAGGCCTACCGTACATGCAATGCATACATAGATAAATATTTCTATATAATTAATTTTTTTTTCAACCCAGAGCAGAGACAAGCTCAGACAGAGGAGACCAGTCCCAAAAGAGGCATTCGAAAAGGCAGGAAACAGCCCATTCGAATTTCAATTTCGAAGGTTAAAGTCCTCTTTCTCTGTGTGTTTCTGTGGTTGTTTCTGAGTGGGGGGAGGTGTAGTCACGTTTGCTACGAATAAGGCAAGATACGGGATAGGATAAAGGATATGATAAGGATGTATAGCAAAGGACAGGATATGACAGGATAATCTTGGCTGGGTGTACACTACAGGTTTCCGTTGATTATGATTGTGATGCTTGTGTTAAATTGGAGAGGTTATTTATCATCATGAATTGATATTGTTAGGTCACGTGGTGTTTGATATAGTTCATCATTACTCATCTATATACTTATGTAATATGTGTATATACATGTGTCCTTTGAACCTTGAAGATGACGGAATCATTTCACTACATTTACAATTTAGCCTTCTTTGGCTCAGCAAACGCTTCAGCTATAATTCTTCTTTGAATTTTACCAGTGGCGGTTTTTGGTAATTTATCTACAAAGTAAACTTTGATTGGGATCTTAAAACTAGCAACTTTTGTGGACATAAATTCTTTCAATTCCTGATAATCCATCTTATTGCCAGGTTTTAACACAACTGCAGCTTGTACTACCTGTCCGTACTTTTCATCAGAGACTCCAAATGCAACAGCTTCGTTGATCTTGGAATTCGATAACATTATACTATCCAATTCAACTGGCGAAATTTTTTCACCACCTCTGTTGATTAATTCTTTGATTCTACCTGTTAATACTAAAAATCCTTCTGGATCAAAAAACCCTTGATCACCTGTACGGAAATAGTTTTTTCTTCTTGTGAAATTCTCTTCATTGGCTTTAGGATTATTCGCATATCCTAATGTAACATTTTCACCTCTAATAGAAACCTCACCTATTGATCCCTGTGGTAATATTTGGTCTTCATCATTTAAGATAACTACTTCAACACCCTGTGGTTGACCTACTGTACCCGGCTTTCTCTTACCTGGAGGCAAGTTATTAGATGTCATTTGATGTGAGGCTTCAGTCATTGCATAAGCTTCTAAAACTGGTGCATTGAACTCTTTTTCAAGCTTGGTAAAAATGGCTGGTGCTAATGCAGATGAGCAAGATCTAATAAATCTGATGAATGGCATCTTATCAGGTTTGGGCATGTTTAGCATAATCATACTGATTGTAGGAACACAACTAAACCAATTACATTCATAAGTAATAAAATCATCCCAAAACCTCTTGGCACTAAATTTCTCTGGGACAACAACCGAACCTTGAGTTCTGAATGTAGATAACAATACACCAATCAAACCATGGACGTGAAACAATGGCATCACTACGTAGGAACGATCTTTTGGTGTTAGCTTGTATGTATTTGAAATATTCAATGTACTCCTAACAATATTCAAGTGTAGTAAGGGCACTGTTTTTGGCTTTGAAGTAGTACCACTTGTATGCAAAATTAACGCAACATCGCTAGACCTGGCGAAACCTGGGAAATGAGTCGCATTATGATTAACAAATCTAGCATTGTTCAAAGATGAGTAGACTAATTTATTATAACCATCTTTTGGAGAATAAATGTCATATTCTACTCTGAACCTTTCCTTATTAAATGATAACTCAGCAATGAAACAATCAAATTTTTTAGCAGATTTCACAATCTCAGCTTTAGTAGAATTCGCAACGGTACCTTTACTAACACAGATGACCTTGGATTTCAAATCATTCAAGTAGAAATCGAATTCTTCAGATTTATATTGAGAATTCAAAGGTGCACCAATTTTAGCATCCATGGTAGTACCTAAAAAGGCAACTATAAATTCTAGACCATTGCGCATAGAGATCGCAATAGAACTTTGTCTTCCAACAACATCGTATAATGGCGATTCTGGGTCTTCAAACATGGTTTGAAAGTGACCGACCATATGAGAAAGATCCCTATAGGTCACTTGGACACCTGTCTCAGGTACAACGATAGCAACGTTATCAGAAACCCTGAATGTGTCGTTAAAAGAAGCCGTTGTAGTCATCCTAAATCAATTCGTTTTATCTTCTATTTTCTCTTAAAGTATTTTTAGTATTTATCTTGTTCCACCTGAAATTATTTCAAATAGTGGCAACAACAATTTCCATAAAACTTATCTGGAAAAAAGAATCTTTGATCTTAAATACATTATAGATTCCATTAGAAAGATAATAAATTTAATAGATGGCATTCTAAACCTTTTTCTTATATATCAAATCGTATCTTTCTAGTCGCATTCTTGTAATTTTTCAATAAAAAAAGGTTCTCATTTAGTCCGTACCTATATTAAATCGCGCATTGTATCAAATTTAATATTTAAAGCCGGTCGTTCTTTGTTCAAATCATCGGAAGGGCTCGTTATTTCGATATTACGTCAATAACGATGGCAACCAAGAGTATTAAGTTTAACTTGACCTTTTATTCATTGGATTTATCCGTATCTATATCATTCTCTTTGGAACTAAATCAGTAATACAACTATGATGATTCAGGTTCAAAATATTCTCCATTTATATCTGGTAGGTCATAATTTTTTGATATACAGAATGCCTCATCTTTCGTAGTGTCATAGGGGCTGCATGGTAAGGTAAAGGGCACCATGACATTAACTGTATTACAGCTCGGCGCTGTATCTGATAATTTACTTCCCTTTCTGTATATAACATCGACAAAACTCTTACATTTTATTTGTAGTTCAGGGGTACTCTGGAATAGGATTCCTACTTCGTAGTTTCTTGCCAGTCTGCTAGAAGTCCCCCACGCACTGACACTCAAATTAGCAGATGTATATACACACCAATCTAAGATATCAAATGGATTATTTGAATTTGATTTAACTGAAGTTTTTGATTTTAAATAGAATTTAGAATGAGATGGAGTGGCTTTCCTATGCTTAGAAATCAAGTTTGCATTTTGCTTGTAAAAACACTTAAAATCATTTAATAATGATAAGTATTGCTCGTTATTCTTTTGGTAACGAAAGTTAAACCATCCAGAACAACTCCAACCACTTGGGGAATTTCTAATCTCCTCAACTGTAGGATATACTAAATATGGTTTAATATTGTGAGAATTTAGTTGTTCAATCATATCTTCAGGAGAGGCAGACTTGGATCTTGAGTTTGGTTCAGTGTTAAACTCTATTAATCTGGAGAAAGTAGGAATCATGATACCAGTAAAAAGATTTAAAGGAAATTTCTTAGATATCGAGCCACCGATTGTGGAAGTTTGACAAAGGTAATGATGCTGTATATCTGTGGGAGTAGAGAAATCTTCTTTGGTAGAGTTTTTTAATAACAGAGCTGCCAATTGTTTAAATCCAGAAACTGAAGATTTACTTGGCACTGAATAAACAAATTCCACATTTGAAAGACTATTGAAATCAATTTCCCTCAAATAAGATAAGACCTGTCGAACACGCTTATCTTGGTATGAATATATATATTTAAACAAATTCTTCTTAAATTTATTTTCAGGAGGTGTGCCTGAAGCTTCAGGCAACCTAGGACTAACCCAGCAAACCTGCTGTGGAAGATTAGTTTCCATATAGGTGAAATTATTAGAAGGAATGAATATTTTACAGGAATTATCTTCATAAAAATTAATAATCATCTTAGAGTGGTGACAAGAGAATGCTGGCATCCTAAATTGTATGATCTGCACTATCTCCATCATCGGCCGGAGATATCTCGATCTAACTGGTAGTATAGTTCCTTCTTGAGCCACAATTGTTATTCTTTCTATCGTTTTATGCTTGAAGAAGCTTAGTATAAAATCTAAGTCAAATTGGAAACTAAAAAGAAATGTTTTTCTTAGAGATTTATCACCAAATATCTCACCCATTGTTATAAAATATGAGGAACCTACAACAGGGTTCCCATTTCTGCCCGTATCATAAATATCTGATTTAATTAATCGAAACGGATTATCGACAAGAACTGCATTTCCCTCGGACAGTTCATTCTCATCACTTTCCTTTACAAAAATCGATTTATTGGTTTCAATATCACAATCTGTTTCTTCATCGCTAGAGTTTGTAAGGTCAATCACTTCAGCAGACTTTATATCAACTTTCTCTTCACTATGATGGCGCTTATTACTATCAGTCCTATCTTGGTCTGTTTGATAGTTACACCATCTCTCAGCAACACGTTTGCGAACTTCAGATATATCGTTTCTATCCATCTTTATGAATATGTTAAATGTTCAAAATCCTCAAAATTAGATTACCTTCCTTGATATATTAACCTTCAAGAAGCCATTTTTCCTTCTACATCGTTGGTTATCCTTTTAAATTGAGTTCAAAAGGGAACCTTATTTTATATAGTTTAACAGATAAAAACTAAAATGTACGGGCGCTATCATATAACATTTTGTCACTTGCCAAAAACTTGCTAATGAATAGTGACAGGACAAGATATTCATTTATAATTTTAAGATGTATCCTATTTATTCATCTCGGTTGATATATCTATAATTAATTCTATATAATTAAAAATTATGATGAAAGTTATCCCCTATTAATTATGCTTAAAATGTAATTTCCCAGGTTTCATCCACTTTAATCTTTGGATATCTGATAGAAACCCAATTTCCATCTTCTGAGCGGTGTAATGGAACTTCGTGCTTGTTTGAGCCTGAGATAATGGTTACAGTCTTCTTGACCGTTTTTTTGATGGCTGCAGTGGCAATCTTAATTTCATAAATATCTGTGTTCCCTAAGACATTATCAAATTGTGGTTCATTCAAGACGGTGGATTTCAAAACTTTTCCATCATTCAACGAAAAATTTGTTTCCAAATATTCTCCCTTTTCAAATTCAAACGTTTCACCATCGTCTATATACAAGTCCCCAAATGCATTACCATATACATCAGGTGCAATGACCAAAGTGTATGGGTCATGACGCATTAATTTTGATGATCTTCTATATTTATTTCTTCTTGTTAGGATATGGCCACCTTCAATGAACATAGGAATTATGTCTAATGGGGCATCTATATTTCTAGATTGCGGGACTATACCATTAATGATTAATGGGCTCAAATTCGTATATTCGTAATAAATACCAGGTACAAACATCATTTCTACTGATGTTGCCTCTTTATCAACAATTGGCTTTACCAATAGGCCACTATCTCCTACGTAGAATTGATCATCAATAGCATATAATTCGGGATACATAGTCTTGTCGTAAAACATTGGTTTCATAATTGGAGTACCTGTTCTATGAGCGTTAAAAAAGCTAGTATACAACATCGGTAATAATGCATATCTCAATTGAATTGCCTCACGAACAATAGATCTATCAGGTTCGTCTAGCAAATACGGTTCACGTCTTTTGGTGTCGATATGTGCGTGTCCTCTAAAAAACGGATACCAAATACCTGCTTGGTACCAACGAACTAATAATTCTGGCTCTGGGTCACCAGAGAATCCAGCAACGTCGGCTCCTATAAATGGCATACCCACAATATTGTTTGTCAGGCACATTGGTATTGATATTCTTAAATAATCCCAGTTGGCAGCATTATCACCTGTCCAAGTTGCAGCAGTTCTCTGGGAGCCCGCAAAAAACGCTCTAGTTAGTACGAAAGGTCTCAATCCACTTCCATCTTTAATTTCCTTTAAAGAATCATACGTAGTTTCGTGAACACTTAAACCATAAATGTTATGGATGGATCTTTCTTCAAAACCGGCATAGTGTATTAAATCCTTTGGAGCAGTTGTTTCTGGACCACTAAAGATAGAAGGTTCATTCATATCATTCCATATATGCAAATTCTTAATACTGCCAATAAATTTCTTGAAAAAGCCATCCCAAAGTTTTTGACCGATTGGGTTAAGGGTGTCAATCCAAATAGAATTACCTGGCCAACAATGTCCGATAAATGGATCTCCTTCACTATTATATACACAACCTTGGTCTTCAACAACACTATCAGAAACAAAATAATTCAATTTCAAATGTGGATCAATCAAAACAACCAATTGTCTTCCTAATCTAGCTAACTTATTTAATAGGCGTTTTGGATTTGGAAATGAGTTGGGTTTCCAAGTGAAATATTTTTTATCATCGGTATATTCTAAATCTAGCCAGATAAAATCAAATGGAAACTGGTATTTGTCCATTTCTGAGTCCACATTTAACACATCAGGCTCATCGTTATAATTCCATCTACATTGATGGTAACCAATCGAAGATAATAAAGGCAATTGTGGTTTACCAGTTAATTTAATGTAATTTTTTGTTAAATCCGAAGGAGATTTTCCTAAGAACAATACTACATCTATAATACCAGTTTCAGAAATCCAATGAGTTTTTGTATCAGAACCTTCGTAAGCTATATCAACCCAAGTATCTGCAGCATTAACCCAAAATATACCAGCGGAAGTATCCTTGTTGGTACCAATCATGAAAGGGATTGCACCATACATTGGCATTGGAGAATCAATCGTATATTCAAAGACATCTACATTAAACAAACGATATGGTTCTGTATTACTTGTGTCCTTTAATTTCAGTGAATCTGCGTGCTCTGGTATACCATATACATTTTCCATATTGTTGAAGGTAAAATCTAAAGCAACTGATTCTGGTCCAAATTTTAAAGTGTCATCTTTTGAGTATTCAAAATCATCACCGAACATATTATATGGAGTTTCTTCAGGGTTTATATTTTGGAAATTCAGTTCTTTTAATCTCTTGTGTTCCAGATTCATAAATAGACGATCATTGACAGTAAATACTAGGGTATCATTATAAAATACTTTAATTTTGAATGAATTCGTATAAACCTCGACTTTAATTGAATTGTCTCTATTATATAAAGATATTACATTATTTGAGCTCCCTTTCAATTCATAGAATGACAATTTATCTCCTTGAAGTATATCTTTATTATCTATGTCAAAAGCCCATTTCCAAGTCTCATTATATCTATAAGGGTTTAATATTTCCGAAATTGAATTGTCCAACTCTGGGTGTCTATCTTCATCAATGGTTAACCTTACACTATTGGTATCCTTTAAAAATGATATACTTATAGGTAAAACAACTTTAATGTCACCCACGTCTGGTCTTGGTATTGTTTTAATAATATTAGCAGTGAATAAATTTAGTTCGCTTTTTGATTTTTCAACTTCATAATTGATTGATGAAAGATCAATTGAATAATAAGAATTTTTAGTCTTCAGAATATTTTGAGAATATACTTTATTCCTATGACAAAATCCAGATTGCTGGCAGGTCTTTAAAAGGTATTCAGTGAATCCAAATGCAGTAGCCCAATATAAAGGCAACAGAAATATGATCAGAAACCGATTATTAAAAATCATCTTAAAAACCCAAGGGAAATAGGATATCCTCAAGGGGCAACTATTAATGTTTTCAGGTATACAAAATAAATATATCCGATTGAATAGTTCGATATATATACATCAACTAGAGTTCATCAGCTCTTAATATTGGCATTATTATATGTACATCAGTTGGTTATAAGTACTAGTTATTATTAGGAAATGCTTAATCACAAACATCATTATATACGTGTAAATGGTGATACGTTTTAAAGGTAAGACACCCATCGTGTGTCAGTAAATACAAAGTGTCAGTAATTAGAGAGGGTTGTCTAAGATAGTTTAGAAATTAAGAATGATTACTAGTTTATACATGTTTGACTTACGAAGTTGAAGTATAGGTAAATTACCAAAATATGGATTTTAAAACTTGAATAATGTAAATTCAAAGTCGTTACATAAATTACATGTATATTTATTTATAGATTTAATGAACATTTATGATGCTCGTAATTAGAATATGAAAGGAATATGATAGGACTGGAGGGGGGTAGAAAATAAAATAATGTTAAATTGGAATATATTATTGGTCGTATAAATTATTATTTTTTATTATTATTGTCTCTTTTCATCGAATGTTGAGTAATATTTTGTTGATAAGAGGATGTTTAGTGATACTGCCGCAGTGACAGCGGTTGCTGTAGTTAAAGCCAGATTATCAGAATTGCCTTTGATAGCTCTGATTTGTCTGTTCAAAGATCCTGTTAGTAACACAGCAATGGTACCTGTACCAAATAGCAGGTTCCATACTACAATTGGATTATTTAGTTCAGTCATTATTAACTCTGATTTAGATCTCATGGTTACACCTAACCCAATAGCAAATTGTTTCAAACCAGATACAACTTCTGAGAAATAAGAACCATTAGATTTCTTTTCAGGAGTTTCTTCGCCGTCAACTTTTTTAGTAGCTTCATTATGCTCTTGTATTTCTACTTGATCTAGCTTATCCTTGTGATGAACTTCTTGAGCATGATGTGTATGTGGTTCTTTATGATCATGACCATGATCATTTATCGATGGTGTCACTGCAGACTGCTTTGTGACATTTTCTGGGAATATAGATTGAACTTGAACAGCTTCTGGAATCGACGTTTTATTTTGCACAGGTTCTGGAATCATTGGTTTCCTTTGCACAGGCTCTGGAATCATCGATTTATTTTGCACTGGTTCTGGAATCGACGGCTTATTTTGTACAGGTTCCGGAATCATCGATTTCCTTTGTGCAGGTTCTGGAACAGCAGGTGGTTTATGTATTGGTGCCTTGTGAATAGGATCCTTATGATGAGTAACATGTGTCTCATTACTTTGAGATGATGGACGAGACGAATGTATATGATGGTGATGATGATGTTTTACAGGTGAACTTTTTTCAACTGGGGGAGGAATTTGACCAGGAGCTGGAGGTTTAGGTACTGGGTTCTTACGAGGGGAAGAATGACGACTAGAAGAAGAACTATTGCTTGAAATTGAAGAATTCGAAGCCGAAGTACTACTACCACCACTACTAGTGCTACCTATGGTTCTTTTCAAATGTGATGTAAACTCGTGTTTTCTATATAATAAAATTATAATCAGTAGTAATGTTAGTATATATAAAGTTCTAAAATATTGATAAATTACGTCATCGACCCTTGATGTTTGAACATACTTTGTAGACATTTTTTAGAATTTATTTATTCAACGATGATTTAAGGTTGTTATAAATTAGTTCACTGATCTTCAAATAAATCATATCTTGAAAGAAAGTGAAACAAGATTAAGTTAAAAATGAAAGAATAATTCTTGGGTACAAGTCCATTACGGAGTATATCTCACTTTATATACTTTTTCTAAGATATAAATCGATAGTAATATCAACACGTAAAGTATATGTAAATATAATTCGAATCGTACATTTTGTTGCAAACCCCATAATTGGTAAACTCAAATAAATGAGACTCCAATACAAATATATCTTGATATACCAATAAAATAGCAGGGATTGAAATGACTGAAAATGATGTGAGTGTAGCAAGAATGGATAGAGTAATACAATTTTATTCACCTAGTCTTATGTTATACCTTAACTTTTTCGTTTTTTCTTTGCAATTTAATGAATATATTCGAAGATTATAAACGACAAAATACGAGGAGTTTTAATTCCTGCTTATTTGTCCAAAGACTGGACTTAAGAATATTTCATATTTGCATAAATATAGATATAAATATGCAATACGCAATATACAATATACAATATACAATGTGCAAGTACAAATAAAAGTACAAATAAAAGTACAAATGTAAATATAAACTTACAAGATCAAACCAAGCTTAAGAACTGTAGGAAACTAGCTGTAAGAAATTATAAAAACCGAAATATAACACAGTCTGACACAATCCCCAGAAAATATTTTAGCACTATCAGTACTAGTACAAATAAGATTCTGTATTTTTTTGTTCTACTCTTCATCTATACTAGAACAAGACTGGTTGGTGTAAGAGAATTAACTAACAATATTTAACATTTTACTTGTTTTTAACATAGCAACCAGACAAATTACGGGAAAAGAGTCGACCTCTCTAATGACTACTTTTAACCTAAATAAAGCATTTCATTTAGTTGGCCAATAGAACAATTCTAAATTAAATAAATATAGATAATGTAGTTAAAGTTTGGGTTAGTCAAGTAAACCCAGTCGAACCTAAATTGGTAATCCATGTACTCAATAGTGCTCTATACAATACAGAATAGTTCTTGACTGTCAAAAATGGGCTGGATGGTAGTAGTAGTGTTAGTGGTAGAAGTAATAAACTGGGGTACCAATTCAAGTTACTACCTAACAAGGTTGTTTGCTTTCTTGTTTGCTTTCTTGTTTGCTTGCTTGCTCTACAGTAAGAATATGATGTGTGTGTTTGTTAAAGACGATAAAATACGACACTGCAACATAAAAATCGTAACTATAGATAGAAAGAAAGTTCAGTTTGACCATATTAAAATTATCGCATACGGCATATTAACCAAATAAGTGTACGTATTTAGTCACTACGTATGAATTTAACAGTTTCTGTTCTGTTCCTTGTATGGTTTTCCTAATAAGTTTGTTGTAAAGTGAAAGGAACCAACCCCACTGTATGAAACACTACTAACTAGTTGATGAATGTTTTTGTCGTTTAATTAAACTGGATACAAAAAGGTGAAAGACAAGAAATTAATGATATATATACTATTTCAATACAGATTTGGTTTCTTTAGCATTCATTATCAAAACATTGTACAGACTTGTATTGACTTTCAAGCTAAAAATAAGTACTCATCTTGAAATAGTTGTGACATACATAATAATACTATACAACGCTAATGAACTCGATTTTTAATGTAATATAATCGTGCTTGCCAGTTCACTTCAGTCCCTTTCACTTTCACTTTCACTTTCCCTTTCCCTGTTCTTTCCCATTAGTATTACCTACTTACTGTACAATATTTCCTTGACCTCCTCTCTACTTTCTGAATCTTTGGAAAATATGAATAATCCCATTTCGAGTTTATGTGACTGTGGCATCCGATGCTATATGTGTAATGTTAGGATGTTGTTAACATCCGTGCATCTTATATCATATAGTCTTTACCAAGTCACGTGGCATAGAAATTCGGGAAGCAATTTAACAACTTCGCTTGTTTTCTTTTAACAGAAAAATTCAAAACATCAAAGCCAAAAAAAAATAAAAAATAAAAAAAAATAATAATAATCTAAAGCGATGCGACGCAAACAAACTCTTCTCATTTTATTTTTGTTCACTTGACTATGGAAATTATGAAATTTTTCACTTTTTTCATCTCATCTCAATTATGCACACAGAACACGTAGCTAAACAAATTTCATATTGAGATTGATGATCGATGATGGATGGATGATAACTAAATGAATTATACAATACCTCTTTCTCAACACACTCACACTCTTGAACTCTCTTTCAGTCAATCTATCTAATTATTGAATGTTCAATTCACAAACTTTAGATTCATTCAACATTAACATCAACAATATTATGGTTATTATTCTATCGTTCTAGTATTCCATTCTAATCAATCCTGTAGTAACTATATTCTAACAATTCATATTATTCAGAATTGTATAATAAGTTTTAATGTTTAATGTAATGGAGTTTCTTAAACTCTTCTATTGATGCTCTTGTGCTTTTCTTTGTTTTAGTATTGTTACTCTTGTATAAAAAATCAACTAGATTAGTTCTTATTGTCGATTGAAAGTTACCTAACATCAACTTTCCGTGATTCATTCCGACGTATAATAATAATCATCAATTAGATTAAGATGTCTGCTCCAGCTCCTGCTCCAGAAGGTCAACAACAACAAAGAAGAGGTGGTTTCGGTGGTAGAAACAGAGGCCGTGGTGGTAGAAGAGGTGGTAGAACCGAAGAAAAGGGTTGGGTTCCAGTCACCAAGTTAGGTAGATTAGTCAAGGCTGGTAAGATTACCACCATTGAAGAAATCTTCTTGCACTCTTTGCCAGTCAAGGAATTCCAAATCATTGACACTTTGTTGCCAAACTTGTCCGATGAAGTTATGAACATCAAGCCAGTTCAAAAGCAAACCAGAGCCGGTCAAAGAACCAGATTCAAGGCTGTTGTCATTGTCGGTGACTCTAACGGTCACGTTGGTTTAGGTATCAAGACCGCCAAGGAAGTTGCTGGTGCCATCAGAGCTGGTATCATCATCGCTAAGTTGTCTGTTATTCCAATCAGAAGAGGTTACTGGGGTTCCAACTTGGGTCAACCTCACTCTTTGGCTACCAAGACCTCTGGTAAGTGTGGTTCCGTTACCGTCAGATTGATCCCAGCCCCAAGAGGTTCTGGTATCGTTGCTTCTCCAGCTGTTAAGAAGTTGATGCAATTGGCCGGTGTTGAAGATGTCTACACTCAATCCAACGGTTCTACCAGAACCTTGGAAAACACCTTGAAGGCTGCTTTCGTTGCCATCGGTAATACTTACGGTTTCTTGACCCCAGACTTATGGGCTGAACAACCATTGCCATTGTCTCCATTGGACATCTACGCTGATGATGCTGTTGCCCAAAAGAAGAGATACTAAATGCAACAATAATTATATAATTAACCCTTTTATAATTAATTAATTTGTATTAAATATCATATCATATTGGTCATAGAACTTTACTAATTTGTCTTTTATCCAATGCTCCTGAAAATATCTACTTGGTTACAATAGGGGCGCTGTTGCTCATATCAGCAATATAATCAATTTTTTTACTCTTCAAGATGAACATCATTAATACAAGTTTACATTTGTCCATAAATCTACGGTTATAATGTTATGCAAGGAGACCTACTTAATTGCATCAAACTAAAAGATTGTTAATTGCAAGATTGTTTAATTGCAAGATTGTTTAATTGCAAGATTGTTTAATTGCAAGATTGTTTAATTGCAAGATTGTTTGAATACAAGGTGATGTCATTTAACAAGACTACAGATCAAAAAAGAAAATCTAAACTAGAGATCAAAATTAATACACTACAAGACAGAAACAATCACTTACGCAAATGATTTTGGTGTGGCTTTATCAACTTTATCTTGTTTTTTTTTTCTTTTTTGATTTTTTTTTCTTTCAACTTAAAAATAAAATAATATAACGATTAATCATATAAATAATACAGTAAAACAATAAATTTGAAAATTTAATCCATAATGAATTCATGAAATTGAAATCTAAATTTAAATTCGAAATCAAATTGATATTAAAATTGAAAACTATGACACAGATATCATACCGATCAATTCATGTCAGTATCTTGGTCATTAGTAGCATGCATAGAAATTAACCCTTCTTGTGCAGGTGCTGGTTTTATATCAGCAGTTTCTGGCAATGCAAATTGTCTCTCGCTTGTGCCAAACATAACAGGTTGGCCAGGAGTAAAGCTTTCTGAAGTGGCTGCTAATTGTTGCATTTGAGATCCAACCGATTCAGGCTTTCTTTCACCAATCACTCTCCCTTCTGGATGTCTGAATAAACAATGTGGGTTTTTACAATCGACACCAAACCTACAATCTTCATGGATTGGATGACCAAAGAAACAATCCATTCTTGTACAGGCTGCACCTTCACGACACATTACATGAGAACGGGCATGTCTGAATTTACAACGTTTGTTGGTACAATTTGTACCATATTTACATTGCTCTAATGATTTTTCAACAGGAGGACGAGAAGGAGCCATTGTAGGTTTTTGGGTAGACATCGTTGGGACATTCTTAATTTTAGATAGTGAGGAGTGGGCCTTGGTACAGGATGGATCTTCACACTTCAAATTGTTTGGACACCACATAATGTCGATAACTTTGGCATCTTCATTAGCTGGAGTTGGGTGACCAAAAGGACATAATGGATTTGAACATAAAATACCAAATTTACATAGAACAATACCAGTCTGGACTGGTTTAGTTCTAGCAGCAATTAAAGCTTCTTTTCTCTTTTGGAATTCTTCACGGGTTCTTTCGATTTCTCTCATCAATTCCTCATCTTCGTTTGGATGTAAGTATTCACATGTTCCCATAGGTTTTGGACAGTTTGGATATTCATTACATACTTTTGTTGGATGTGCATGAGGGCATGATCTACCTAATGGACAACGAGGGAATAATTTACAACGTCCTTCCTTCTTGTGATGAACAACATTAATAGTGCCGTCAGCACCCATACCCAAAGCTTTAGCTAGAGGGTTGAACCTGGTGACATTATTGTTCCTAGCACCCCTGGAGCCACCTCTGGAGGCACCACGGCCACCACGATTGTTACGACCACGTTTGGCCACTCCATTATCACGATCCTTGAAACGAGGTTGATAGCCGGTGCTTATGATTTCCATATTAACATCATCGTTACCTGATGGGCCAGCTGGAAGAATGTTGGCAAATGCAGATACTGGAGCTTCGTTTTGTTGTTGGACTTCATTGGTATCAGAAGGATTAGGTTGTTCAGCGGAAGGGAACGCACTAAAACTAGTTAAAGGAACTTCTACGTTATTAGGTTGTTGTGGCTGTTGTGGCTGTTGTGGCTGTTGTGGCTGTTGTGGTTGTTGTGGTTGTTGTGGTTGTTGTGGTTGTTGTAGCTGTTGTGGTTGTTGTTGAGCAGAAGAAGCTTCAGGGGTTGGAGTAAGTTGCGCTGATGCACCAGCAACACTTCTAATCTTACTAACAATATTAGTAACAGTTTCACCTTGTTGTAAAGCCTCTAAAGCAAAGAATGAAGTCTGAACAACGTCGGTTAAAGCTTCGGAAGAAACTGTATCAAACAGAGTAGTTAACTCTTGGACAATAGACTCGATAGAACCACCATTGGACATTAACAATACAATATATTCAGCAACGTATTTGACATCTTCACTGAAATTTTGTAGCGTACTCAGTTTTTCGGCCACAATGACCTTCATATCTTCAATAATTTGATTGTCTGACATTTTGATGTGTGTGTTTATTAACTTAATAAGTCTCTATTTATACAAATATTTTTCTCTATTGCTCCTATCGAGGTATCTGATTAAAACGACAACAAAGAAATGATACTGAAGTGATTCTAAACACCCTTGATGCTCTTATAGACCTGATTAGAAAGATTTATCTCTGGTAACATTATTAGAAATTGTTTACAGAATCTTTTTTGCCACTTCTTTTTAACCTTCCCTCTTTATATATAAAACGTTTTGAAAAATTGAAGTGGACACCGTTTGGATTTCGGGAATTTAAGGCAGGGTAACTTTAGGAGAGCCAGCGGTTATGACAAAACACTAGGTGGTGACAGCAAATATTATAATCTACATCAAAGGTTGATCAAGTATCAGACAAATAATTTAGTTAGTTGACTATTCTTGTAATATTCCAATGATAAAATAATTATTTATATCCAAGAACTGCTGGAGACATATACATACATAATACTAGCTTACTCTGCAAAATCTGATAAGTCACGTGCATTGATTCCTTAGTGCCAGAAGGTTGTGAGTATTAGGTCTAGTGAAAGGATTCTCGAACTAGAGGTATATAATAATCTGTAACACATAATCTAAGATCTGGGAATTTAGTTGCCCATCGTAGAAATCCCATATCACTAGCTCTCTAAGCTGAAATTGGCGCCTATGGAGTGATCCTGTTTGGCCAACGCATCTCAGAAGAAAAGATAATGATGATTCTGACAAGGACCTGTATGAAGTGATCATAAGTTGACAGAATAAAACGAAATAATATATAAATACCATGGGTGAGAACTCTATCTTACTATTAATTTGTAATAACCTATAGCTGAGTTCAATATTTGAGGACTTGCTAATTATTGATACTGGTGCTACTCAAGCGATAAGCTGTAACAAAAGTGTTACAGTTTACAGCGATTGATATTTTTAATAAACAAAAAGATAACTTTATATACCTTTCTGCTCTTGAACGTATATAAGTTAATGTCAGAAAATGATAATGGAGACCGACTTCAATTTGGCTTTCATATGTGGACAGGTCCTTATGTCATCTTATGAGTCTTTATAATCTACTTAAAGTTAAATGACAAATATGGTAATGAGTTAAGATAATATATAAAATAAAAATCTAAATATAATATAATATAATATAACATAATATGTATACAAACAATGGTAAATGGGGAGGATTGAACAGAAGGATTGATTGTCTATTTGCTGACGTCAATTCTTTATATAACTGCAATCACTAATCAGCCTTGTTCTTTTTGGAATGTTTGCCATTTTTCTCATGAAGGTCTTTCATTCTATCAACTTTTTCCTTTATTCTTTCTAATGACAATTTAACATCACCCTTTTGGAAATTATCCAAATCGAAGTATGCTGGGGCCAAATCTATTAGCCATTCAGGTCTCACTGAAGTGACAGTTCTGATATAGTTCTTACTTGTCAAAACAAATTCATTATATACTACCCATTCAGCATCATGTCCTAGAACTGTACTTGGGTGAATCAAGACATCTTGATTATCTTTGACGGTAATGTAACCTTTACCACCTGATCTCTTCTTTGCAACTTGCATAAAGAATCCAGCAGCTAAAGCTTTCCTTATGTTGTCAAAATATTTTGGACTTTCGTAATCTGTTGTATTCAAATCCAAATTATGACGAATCATCAATCTTTCTAACTGAGCACGGATATTATCAGCTGCAGATAATGATCTATAGTTTAAGTAATGATCACGACACCATTTATTAATACCATATTCGTAAGCTTCGTCGGATTTGAAGCCGTGATAGGCATTTAATAAAGTAATATGGTCACCATCTGGATGAGCAAAGACGTTTTTGGCGTCATCAGCTCTTTTCTTATCCTTTGAAGGACGAATGAAAACATTTGGAACAGATAACATTGCGACAATGGTTAACATTTCTTGGGAACAATGGAATTCTGAAGAACCAATCAACATGACAGCTAGCATTGGGTCTAATGGGAATTGAGAGGCCAACCTACCCAAAGCAGTCAAATCACCATTATCATCTAAACATGCCAAGTAATTCAATTCTTCTAGAGCTCTCATCATAGTTTCTGGAGCAGGAGGATCCATAAAGTCAAAATGGACTAAATCGTCAATACCCAACTTTTTCAATTCCAAAACAGTTGATGATAAATTAGAACGTAAAATTTCAGGATAACTTTGTTCGATCAATTCCTTCTTGAATGCTTCTTCGGTATACAATCTGAAACATTTACCAGGTCTTGTACGACCAGCACGACCAGCTCTTTGTTGAGAAGAGGCTTTTGAAATTGGAGAGACCAATAAAGATTCAACTCTGATTCTTGGGTTGTAAACTTTTTGTTTAGAGAAACCTGGGTCAACGACGTAAACAATACCATCAATAGTCAAGGAAGTTTCTGCGATATTAGTTGATACGACAACTTTTCTACCAGGTCTACCATTATGAGATTCTGGAGCTTGTTCGAAAATTCTTTGTTGTTGATGTGGAGGTAATGAACCATATAATGGGTATACTGATAAGGGACCACAACCTTCATCTCTAATCAATTTGTCACCTTCCAAAGAAATTTTACGTACTGCATCTTCAATTTCGTCTTCACCAGTCAAGAACAGTAAGATATCACCGGCTTCTTCAGTGGCATGAATTTGTAAAACGGTACGAATGGCAGAATCCAAATAATCTCTTTGGAATTCAGGAGTGTAGTAAATTTCAACAGGATAAGTTCTACCAGGAACTGCCAATAAAGGTGCGTTGTTGAAGTAACGTTGGAATTTCTCAGCATCTAAAGTAGCAGACATGACGATAATTTTCAAATCCGGTCTTCTTTGGATAACTTGTTTTAACAAACCCATTAAGATATCTGTAGCCAAAGTACGTTCGTGCGCTTCATCCAGGATGATACAAGAATAACGTTTCAATTCATGATCTTCCATTGCTTCTCTTAGAAGCATACCATCAGTCATATATTTCAAAATAGTTTTATTTGTAGTTTTATTTTCGAATCTGATGGAATAACCGACTTCTTCACCTAATTTTACATCCATTTCTTGGGCAACTCTTTGAGCGACAGACATTGCAGCAACACGACGAGGTTGGGTACAAGCGATTTGAGTATTTTGTAAATGAGGCATTTCATCGAATAAAACGAATTGTGGGATCTGTGTAGTTTTACCAGAACCAGTTTCACCGACAAAGACCATGATTTGATTTTCTTGATAGATCTTCAAGAATTCATCTCTTTGAGCATGGACTGGCAAGTCTCTTCTCACTTTTAATATACCAAAGTAGGTATCACTAAAAGTTTCACCAGTGAAAGGATTAACCTTACCAGATTCCAATTCTTTTGCTTGATCAGCTGTAGTGTGGTGACGAACCAAGCCTTTGAACTCGCCGGCATCATGATGAATCAAGGGTTCATCCTGAGGGATAGGATGTTTTTTAGTTAGCTCTTCTGCGACTTCAGCAGCATGTTCTGGAATGGAAGTTTCAACAGGATCAGGATGATCGTGAGCAGATGACGATAGCTTTCTTTTTGAACCCATTATAGACAGTAACAACAAGGAAAATAGCGATAGGTGTTCTTGCTCTACCAAAAGACAGATATTGGAAACCGACGAATCAATAAACTAAAGAACCAATTAATCAATCAATCACCCAATATATGAATCAATAACCAAATAAATAGATAGCGTCTACATAAACTCATCTCATCTCATCTCATCTCTAATAATTTTTCAATATTCTGTATTTCTTAATTAGAGATAGAAAATTTTATTACGGGCCCAGTGGAAAATGAGAGAGAGAGAGGTATTGATGGGAAAAAGGAAAGAAGTCACGTGTTATGGATACACGTATATATTCTATATCTAATGAAGGGCGTATCCATATATATCCATATATATATATTCACCAACATGTAGCACAGCTTCATGGTCCAATGTCAAATTAGAAACAAACACAACCCATATATACACCTACATTAATATACTAAAGTTACCTGTGTCTCTCTGTCTCCGTGTCCATCATGTGATAGTCACGTGGTCAGGGTAATCCCCCAATTTCTTCCGTATCCAATAGCAAAATAAACGTTCGCGACATCGATCAGTGAGCAATGAGCTGAGCTGACAAGAAGCCTTTTAATTATTTAAAAACAGGAAACTTTAACGAAACTGATGCCATTGATATATAAAAAAACAGATTAATAAACGTTTATAGTAGATCGATCTTCAAGGGGCATTGAGATATATTGGTTGGATACAATATCTTGAAAGTTGGTTTAAAATTTAGTTGGTATTCTTTTGCTATTGGGTGATTTTTCTTAATCTTCTTCTTTTCATTCTGTAGGAAGAGGACTAACTGATTGACTATACGCTTACCTTAAATTTAGAATCATACGGGATATCGATTTATAAATTATTATTTATTGCAATCATGTCAGGTACAAGAGAAACAGTATACCGTGTCTATTGTCTGTGGAATTCAGCTTGTGGTGTTATTAAGGGTTCTTCTTCCATTGCTTCCCAATCGTTGAAATCTTGGGTTTCAACTTCAACTTTGACTAGACCCACTTTAATTAGTTTACAATGTGGTAATGACTCTAATTGGGAACAGGCTAATGCTTTGGCTAATAGTATTAGAGAAAAAAGATCTGCTGCTTCGAATCGTAAGCATAATCCAAAAGATTTTGTAAATCATAATTCTACTAGACATTATTCTACTGCAAGATCAATCGAAAAGGTATGTTTAAATGTTAAAGAATTCTAAAACTTTTATTCTCGTTTTGGTTTTGATTTTACTTTAATATTATTTTTTTTTTCCTGGTATTTGTTTTAACAATCTTTTAACTAACTCTTTATGTATATATATTCTGTTTTCACACATAGTATTATGTGTGTCTTCTGCTGATATTATCTTGCTATTTTATGTCTTTTTCAATATAGAATGCCAATGATGTCGAAAATCAAGAATCTACTAATGAAGGAAAACCGGAAATGCAAAGTTCAAAAGTTCCTTCTTCAAGGTTGTCCAGACTTTACCATTATGGTAGTTTGGCGGCAAATGTGGGGGTTAATGTCGCAGCTCAGAGTCTGCAAGAAGTAGCAAAGGGGAAATCGCCAAATTGGAAATCATTGATCTTATCAGACTCTAACATTGATAAAATAACCAAAAAATTTTCAAAAATGAGAGGTGCTGCTTTGAAAATTGGACAAATGATGTCCTTCCAAGATGAAAATGTGTTGCCAAGAGAATTATACGAAATTTTGTCTCGTGTTCAAAATAGTGCAAACTACATGCCACAACGTCAATTAGACAGAGTTTTATCTCGTGAATTGGGTAGCGAATGGAGATCGAAATTTAAACGTTTTGAAAATATTCCAATTGCTGCAGCTAGTATTGGTCAAGTTCATGAAGCAGAACTATTAAATGGCGAAAAAGTGGTAGTTAAAGTCCAATACCCTGGTGTTAAGGAATCCATCGATTCTGATTTAAGTAATATGTTGATGTTATTAACTGCTTCAAGTTTATTACCAAAGGGTCTATTTTTGGATAAGACTATTGAAAATGCTAGAAGAGAATTGAAATGGGAATGTGATTACATCAGAGAGGCAAATGCAATGAAAAAATTTGGAGAATTGATCAAAGATGATCCCGTGTTTGAAGTCCCAAAAGTTTATGATGAATTAACCACTGAAAGTGTATTAACCATGCAAAGAATGGAAGGAACTGAAATAATGAAATTACCAAGTACTATTAACCAGGAACTAAGAAATTTCTTGGGTGATAATGTTATGCGTTTATGTTTACAAGAAATTGCAACCTTTAAATTTATGCAAACTGATCCAAATTGGGCTAATTTCCTATATAATGATAAAACTAAAAAAATTGAATTATTAGATTTTGGTGCTGCTAGACCTTACTCAGAAAAATTCATTACAAATTATAGAAAACTATTAACATATGCTTCTAAATCGGATTACAATGGGGTTTATGAGATCTCTAAGGAATTGGGTTTCTTGAATGGTTTGGAATCTAAAATGATGGCTGACGCTCATGTAGAAAGTATCACTACATTATGTGAAGTTTTTAGAGGGGAACCTAATGTAATTTATTCCTTTAAAGATCAAACTGTCTCTGATAGAATTCGAGAAAAAATTGGATTGATGTTAAATGAAAGGCTATGCCCTCCTCCAGATGAAGTTTACTCTCTTCACAGAAAATTCAGTGGTGTGTTTTTACTTTGTACAAGACTAAATGCTGATGTTCACTGTGCCAAATATTTCCAGGAAATCTTTGCTTATAAATAAATTACGAAAAAGCATGTATATATAATAGAAATGCATATACCCTCAGCTACCTAGCTACCTTCTGATTTGTTCCTTTGTAGCTTTATATAAATGTATATAGAAACCTAATGATACCGCTATTTAGTAACCGGAGGCTCTGTATAATATTTAGAAGTGGATAAAGTCATGAGAAATTAAAATGGTCAGATAGGGATGACATTGAAGAACTATATTTCATCTATATAGCTGAGAGAAAAGACGTACATGCAAATGGGCAGTCAAAAAAATAACTTTTAAATAAATTTAAAAAATAAATGAAACGGACAGGAATTGAACCTGCAACCCTTCGATTGCAATTTTTATTCCGAGGAATCCCAGGATTTAACTGGAGTCGAAAGCTCTACCATTGAGCCACCGCTTCATCTAATTGTTGGAATTGGTCTCATTATTTAATGACCAGGTCCGTAGGCATGGAAGAAGATTGCCTTTACGAAAATTTACTCCTATTAAATTCTGTCAGAAATTATGAGATGACGTAAAGTCATACTCATTAATTCAATATTAATAAGGGTGAAGAATTATATGAAACATCATTATTAATAAGGGATAAAGAAATGTTTCTAATACGAAAGCATTTACTTCTGACGTGTGAATAATATCTAAACATTGTATATAAAGACTGATAAGATCTTAATTGACACTTATCATATGTACTATATTCCCATGTGTATATTTTATACTTTAATACACCGGATCAATATCATCTAATTAAAAATGTCCTTGCAAACAACTAAACAATCAACTACTATTAATGATTCTGTAAAGAATCCACAACCCTCTGATTCTCTACAAATTCCTTTAGAGAGAAATAGCCTACCTAACCCAGAGGTTATTTTTGGAGTCAAATTCTGTTGTGACTTTAACCTGGATACTCGAGGATAAAGTTTATGTCACTATTGCTGTTTTTCGTACAAGGTGAATGTATCGATTTCTCTAATATATAAAACTATTTATGTTATATAGACTACTCTGTTACAGGAGGAGGAGCGAGTTACCACTCAATGACCTCAGTAATAGGCCAACGTACCTATTTAACGCATATCTACTTATTATAAAGCTTAAAAGCTCTATATATCCTAACTATATAATATAAAATCTTAGTAATTAATCAAAAGAATGTTGGGTGTTGTTCTTATGAATCTAGTTCTATTAACTTTGGATTTCTTTCTTCTGAAAAAGATATGTAGATGAGATAAAAAAATTGGAAATGATTAACTACAGAACACCATCCTCTCAACCTATTTGTATACTTCTGAGTTAGATAATTTGTTTGCTGAATTCTTAAAACAAGATGTAAAAAGCTTGCAGTAATGCATATTATATACCAATTAAGAGAAACACTGTTTATTTATTACTTGAAATGATTAAAAATAAGTCTATATATTTCATTACGCTAGTTATAAGTAATGGATTAAAAATCATTGATTACTGTTCAGATGTAAAAGTAATATCTGATTGATTCATTTTGGTGATTGATACAAGATGTTTTTAATATAATATTTATATTTATTTCTCCGTAGTGTCTTATAAATGTAACTAAATAAATATATATTAATATTTGGAATAAACAATATTCTAGATGTGCCAAAATGTCATGCCTTTTTATATGTTTAGATTCAATTCAATTCAATTCAATTCGGTGATTGAAAGACTGGCGTTGATAAAAGTGGAGGATTAATATTTCCAACATTATCTATGTTTAATAGTGAAACATATCACTTTAAAATAATTCCGTAAGCGTCGTTATGTGGGCAATATAGTGAACCGATTTCTGCCAAAACCATCTTCACGTATTATAGTTTTTTCCTCTCATTTGGTAGTGGAAAGCTAGGCACCGGCATCATAAAATACCTTTTATAGAGTTTGATGTAAATTTTTATTCTAATATTATTCAAATAGGGATATTGGAACTTGAAGAGAGTTCTCTGTTGTAAAGTTCTATTATTTTATTCTTTTGGTGAAAACTGCAATTGATTTAACGAAAATAAGGATAATCACGAATAATGATCATGAGGCATTCAAGGAACAGTTACATACATATAAACATTATGTTACTAGTGTCGCAATTATCAGATATATCTAAAGTTACTTCAATGCAAAATAATTAAGAACAGATAAATCTATTGTTAAATATATAGTAAATGATAACTTGGTGTGGTGAGATAAACTAAAATTTTTTACTATTCAATAATGTTATTTAAAGTTACTAATTCGTTTAAACATGTATGACAAGTAAACTTTTATAAAAAAATAAAATGTTAATGAATATAATTATCGCCAATTTTCTTTTAATAAGTGAGATGAGGGTATTCATCGTCGGCATATTATCAACAAACAGTAAATGAAAGTAATAAATTTAAATATCATTATTTATTTATGAAAATGTAATTTAAAAGGACATAAGTTATATAAGAAGTGTCTAAAAAACATGTACAAAATGATTTATTCTTAGTTCTTGCCCCATCCCATCTTAATAGCCTCATCGTAGGTTGGGTAATCCAAGTAACCCTTATCGGTCATGGCATAGAAGGTATCTCTGTCGTATTTGTTCAATGGTAAACCTTTCTCGATACGATCAACAATATCTGGATTAGCAATGAAGAAACGACCATAAGCAATCAAAGTTCTATCATCTTTAACCATTTCTTCAACATCTTCTGGGTGCAAAGCAAAGTTACCAGCTCTGATGATTGGACCTTTCCAGATTGAGTAAACAAAATCGTTGGTACCATCCAAGTATACACCTTCACCTTCAGTTAAGAATGGATCAGTGACACGAGGTTCCATCAAATGAATATAAGCAATTCTTTTACCTTCTCTAGCTCTCTTTTCCAATTCACCAATGACGTAGGCGTATTGTGCAAGTAAAGTTGGCTCTGCTGCTCCTGACATAGTACCAAATTTACCATATGGAGAAAATCTAATACCAACCTTTTCATGACCTACAGCTTCAACAATAGCATCAACAACTTCTAGAACAAATCTAGCTCTGTTTTCAATAGAACCACCGTATTCATCGGTTCTCTTGTTAGAGATTGGGTCTAAGAATTGGTTCAACAAGTAACCGTTAGCACTGTGAATTTCAACACCATCAGCACCGACACCAATGACATTCTTAGCAGCTTGAACGTATTCCTTAATGTATTGCTTGATTTCATCTTTAGTCAAACCGTGTTGAGGGTTGTTAGATTTCTTAGCCAAAGCTTCTTGTTCAGCAGACATGTAAACATCATCGGAGGCAGCGTCGTATCTCAAACCATCTCTAGCCAAAGTGTCAGCATAAGATTGTCTACCTAAAGCTCACAATTGAGGCCAGATAAAGGACTTGTTTTCATGAACCTTAGCAAAAATCTTCTTCCATTCGGCTAATTGTTCTTCAGACCAAACACCTGGTGCATTATCGTAACCACCAGATTGTGCGGATATGAAAACACCTTCAGTGATCAACATGGTACCTTCTCTCTTAGAACGTTGGTTATAGTATTCAACAGCCCAGTCTTTGTTTGGAACATTACCAGGGTGATGAGCTCTCATTCTGGTTAATGGAGGCAAGACAGCTCTGTGTTTCAATTCAGTGTTACCAATCTTGATTGGCTTGAACATGTTAGTGTCTTTCAAAGCAATTGGCTTAAAATCTTGAACAAAAGGCATTTTTAATGGATATTTTTTTAATTAGTATTTGTTTGTAATGATATCAATAGATACAGTATTCGTAACTTTTGGATCTTGGTTTCTTATATATTACAATATCATTAATAAAACCATAATAAAAGAGATAGATGAAATTTTGTAACTTGATGATATCTAGTCCCTTATATATAAATCAGAAACCAGCAACTCATATCAAAAGTACTTGTTCAATCATTAATCAGCCATCAATAGTTGAAAATGAATATTAACCGCTGGCAAATTGGGGCTGTTATACGTATCTTTTACTTGGCTGACATATTTCTCGGAGGCATCAGACGGAAGCGGAACGATTACAAATAGAACTAAACGGAACTTCGAAACGGAACCGACTCCGCAAGAATGTTATTAAGAAACGATCGTAGAATAGTGCTATATAGTTGAAAAAGAAATTCGGAAATGCCAACGAGGACGATGGTAATAAGCTGAAAGATTATTAATTATGGAGGTTTAGGAACTCACAACTGCTAGTGTAATTACTTTAGTTTGATTGATGGTAAGTTATTATTCTTCAGCCTTAGAGGAGTGAAATTATAGTTCTGATTGTAATCATATTGACGGATGGATGTACCATAGTTGACGGGTCGCAGGTAAGTAAGCAAAATAGTTAATAAATATATTTAGGGAACCACGACATAAAGAGAATAAAGATATTTTCAGGTGTCTTTGTTGATATACAAAAACGTATTCTTAAATTTAGTATGAAGTAGTTGATTTCGTTTACCAAAATATCTTTGAAAACAATGAAAAGGCTTGGAAAATAACAATTTTTTATTATCCGACCTGTGTCATATCAGCTATTGAAAAGAAGTCATAACTTATCGGAAATATTTATCTAAGACAATATTAAATCTTTTTCCATATTATAAAGCCTTTTTTCTTTGAATATAGCTATAAAATATTTCGTCAGAGAGCCAAAATTGCTAGATCACTATCGTTAATGCTAATCTAATCTGCTCTTTTATTAATCAATGTTAAGAATACGAAACGCAGCCAAATGTGGCAAATAAGAAAGTACACTTTACTTGTACTTTTTGAACTTCGAATGGAATTCTCAATTAATAGATGAGCAAGACTATAAAAATTATTCATGGTCCTATTTAGACTGTCTAGAATTTTGGAAGTACATAGCATTTAAAATGACTTTTAAATAGACCAGATATGCTCGATATATTGGTTTTTTTAGTTATGATTCTGAACAGTAATTATGTGAAGAACGGCTGAAATAAGCATAATTTTCGATATATAAAGCTAACTGCAATATTTTAGTGAACTAAGTCTAATTGACATAAAGGGTTGTTCACAATCACACATCACATTATCCAAGACTAAAATTAATGTTCAGATGTAAAAGTAATATCTGATTGATTCATTTTGGTGATTGATACAAGATGTTTTTAATATAATATTTATATTTATTTCTCCGTAGTGTCTTATAAATGTAACTAAATAAATATATATTAATATTTGGAATAAACAATATTCTAGATGTGCCAAAATGACATGCCTTTTTATATGTTTAGATCCAATCTCATAATCTTAATATTATGAATTTATGATAATAAATTATGATGCCTTTGCACTTCACTTCTTATGATATGATTTGGCAATTACTTAGAAGGTCGAGTATGCCATTTGCGATCGATCAATTGTAATTTGTCATAACCTTTACTGTCATAACCTTTACTGCCATAACCTTGAAACCCATTAGTGTAAACCATACATTTTAGGTTACAACAATTACACAGGCATTACAACTTTTGATGTATTGTATTTTTGAGTAGTTATCTATTTATGTCGTTTTAATTTCTTGAAGTTTTTAACATTTAGTAGATAAATAAGAAATTATAAAAATTTCTAAATTATATTGGGACAAAAACTTAAATCCAGCTGATGCGTAAGTAACATATCCATTTTAAATGTTTTCATTTAACTATAGGACAAAATATAAACTAAACAATTTTCAATCACTTACATAGCATTTATTTAGAGATATACAGTACATTAATATCATTTATGCAACCTATAAATGCAGAATGATCTCATTCTGGCAAATTTAGGGAGAATATATAAAAAAAAGGTGGATTCAGAGACAAAGAGATGCATCAAGCGACCAAAATGAAAATAATTGTTTGAATTAACAAACATGTGTGTAAGGGTCACGACACTTCTAACTGAAACAATTTAATAATCAAACATCAATAGCCATTCAAATCATAGTGAAAAAAAGTCCAAACAATTCACAGAAAGTAAACTTTCCTAAAAGACGAGAACTTCATAATCCACTTTCTCCATGTTCTACAATTTCAGCACTCTTCAAAATATATCTCATACAAGTTCTCCAAAGACAGCTTCCCGTCAAACAGTAAAGACACTTTAAACATTTGAAACCAACTAGTTTGATCTTAAGCAACACTCCCAAAAAACAAATCTTATCGATAACGCAAGGAAATACCGAAGTTTCAGGGGAACAAGCAAGCTTATTCTATCACGGAAAAGGGAAGAAATTTCACAGTAAAGCAAAAATTCAACTCTTATCAAACCTAAAACCATAATGATACAACCTCATGCTTAGAATCAACAAAACATAGATTTTCAAATTTGTTTCCCACTATCAATCCAATAAAGTCAGAAATGAAAAAAAAATCAACACCTAAAGAAAAAAGTCTTTAGTGAACCTGCAATAACAGAGATACATAATAAAGAGACGCATCAATTGCAAAAACACAAAAAAAGATAAAGAATAAAGATAACTCATCGCAAATCATTCAATACCAAATTTTCAAATTTAAAATAATTAAAGATGATCTCCCGTGAGGGAGAAGACTATACCCAATGAAGTGCATAATCTCAGAAAATCAAATAAGTAACAATCTCTCTAAACCCGAAATAAAAGTTTCCAAAAAATGTGTTGTAACAAAACGTAAGGTAATGAGCCTCATTGAGGTCATTTCAGCTGTTACACTGAAAAGAACAGATACTACACTTGATCTAAGCCAAAAGGCAAAGAGATTTGGTCTTCTTAAAAAAGAACCAAAAAGCAAGAAATAGCTTTTGAACAAAATAAAAAATAATTAGAGGAAGAGATGAATGATAAATTATAAATTAGCTCTTCCTTTTATAGTTCTTCTTTTTTTTCCTTTTTTGATTTTAAGAAAAATTTTGTTTCGAAAAAAAGAAAAAGAAAAGAATCAAAAGGGTAATAATTAGCGAGAGGAGGGTAATCAAAGAATGAGAAATAGTTACCCGAACAGCGGCTATATATCATTTTGTGGTTTTCTTGGTTATTCTCTTTTACATATACATTTACATACACATTTACATATACATATATAAAGGTAACAAGAGGCAAAACACTTTTGGAGATGAACAACGCTCATTCATAGTTGTTGGTATGGTTTGCAAATGGGTGAAACAAAGGTTTTCAAAAACGTGTTAAATTTAATAGAATGGATAGGATAGAATTGTTATTGAATTGAAGATGGTGAAGTTGGTAAGAGTGATGGTAGTTATAAGTATTGATTGAATATAATCTCATTGTTGTTGTCACACATATCGCAAAGAGATGAGAAAAAAGATACTATAAATAAACAGATAAGATCATTACACTATTTGTCTCCTTTGAAATTGGTATTCAACTATTTAATATAATTTCATGATTGGGCCAATGTTAAAACTTGTTTATCTCTAGAAAAGAGGATCATTTTCTATTTGTATTTGTTTTTGTTTACTACCATTACCTATTTCGAATCATGTGATTCAGGCACGTGATCAGATTTTTTTTTTTTGACCATAGCTTCCCTGGTTATAAATCATTTTGTTTTCCGTTTTGAAACTATTCTACTACAGAAAAGAATATGATTAACAAGAATTGTATGCATACACATACACATACACATACACATACACAGACTGAGTTAAATTTTTAATATACGTAATATACAATGTCGCTGTATTTTATGTATACATCTGACAACATCGACGGAAACAGAGGATTTGTGCTCAATGTAGCAATTATATTCCAGTAAATGCAATGCGCTTTGATAGAATGAGTTCATTTTTTTGTTTTGTTTTGTTGTCGTTGGTCTACCTGCAGTAACAATCTGATACTATTACATGTGGAATTGTTGAAGGAAAGTTTAATTTCAAACACGTTACATAGTATTCAAAACTATGTATGATGTTCAAATTTTGTTTTGCTTAGTTTAGATTTGTTATTATTGGTATTGTTATTGTTATTGATATTGATATTGTTATTGGTATTGTTTTACTTTTTTTTTTGTCTATTATTGAACGGTTGATGATAATTTCGTAAGATCTGGTAAAATTTGACATAGTGGTGATTGATACATATGTGTTTTCATTTTTTTTGATTTTAGTTTGCTTATACAGTTGTGTGTGAACAAATGTCTGGAGGAGCTATCTTTCTATCATTCATATCATTTTAAGGGTTTTTTTAGGCCTTATTATCATACTTAATATAGAAAGGGTCCTGAAAGAAAGGGAAGTAAAGCTTTATTCAATATATAATACTACTCTTCTTTTTCTTTTTCACTTTATTGTCATTGTCATTGTTATTGTCATTGTTATTATTATTATTATTATTATTATTGTGATTTTATTTTCGATATTTTAAGATCTTATTTTCAGTTTTAAATTTTTGATCCTAATATTCATCCATTTATTAATCCACTAGTGATCGTTTATATTGTGATTATCCAAGAATACATATTGCCTAATTTCAATAAAATCCCAGTTTTAGAATTTATTGATTTAGAAGGTATAAACAATCAAACAAACACAAACTAAAGTATTATAGTACACCTGAATTTAAGAATTAATCTATTGGTTGATCGTTTTAAATTTGGAGAATAAGGGAAATAGAGAAAATGTCAAGTGGGGACGAAAGTTGTGATGAAGTTACTGCTGTTAACACAAATATGACATCACCAAATATTTTGAAGAGGAAAAATGAAGATTGTAATGAAGAAGAGCTGGAAGCAGAAATCAAAAGAGTAGCTCTGGATGATGACGAAGATGTAGAAGAATTGCAGAATATTATACATAATAATGAAGGTAAAGTGCTATACGCTAATAGTTCAAATACCACTTCCGATTCCAATGTATCAAAAATCAGTAATCAATCTTTGCAAGAAAGTAATATCGAACTAGGAACATGTGATAGATCTGTTTACTTGAGAATGCTATGTTTGGTTAAGGAGGCTTCTTTGGTAGTTGGCCATAAAGGTGAGAGAATCTCTAAGATTAAAAATGTTACATCAACTAGAATTAACGTATCAGAAAATAGTAGGGATATCCCTGAAAGAGTGATACATATTAGAGGTTCCCCACAGAATGTCTCAAAAGCTTTTGCACTGATTGTAAGATCCATTACAAATAGCAAACATGCAAAAGCTAGTAACGACCCTTACAATAATGGCGATAATGATGATTTTATGACAACCAAAAATTCTATACCCATAACGATAAATTTGTTGATCCCTCATTTCTTAATGGGTTATATTATAGGTAAACATGGTTCAAAGTTGCATGAAATCGAAGAACTAAGTGCAGCAAAATTGTCCGCTTCTCCACAGCAATTATTATCTTCTAATGACAGAATACTGACAATTACTGGTATTGAAGATTCAATCCAAACTGCGGTTTTCCATATTTGCAAAACCATTTCATCAAATATAAATGAGACACAAAGAAATAATAGACGTCCAATTTTTTATCAGCCAAATCCGATGTATTCTGTATTATTGAACAATTATCCAAATATGACATTGAATTTTGCCCATCAACAGCATCACCAATATCACCCAACTGATAAATACCCAACAAATCGTGGTAAAAAGAGAGTACCGCAACTGAGGGCCTCTATGTTGGTAGCTGTTCCTCAGCCAATATCCAATATATCAGGTGTTCCTCAGCATAACAATGCTGGTGCTGATTTAATGACAAATACACCGATAATATACACTACTGCAAATGTAGCTAATGCACCATCATTTACTCCAAATTATGGGATTCCAAGTGTAAGAGTGATAGAATCCAAATCATCAAACTTGCAACAGACTCCACTTGCAATGGTAACTCAAGAGATTTATATCGATGAGAGTTTTGTTGGAAATGTAATAGGTAAAGATGGTAAACATATTAATTCTATCAAATCTTCAACTGGCTGTTCTATATTCATCGATAATCCTGTGAGTGGAGCTTTAGAGAGAAAATTAACTATCAGGGGCACTTCAATGGCTTCACAAGCTGCAATCATGTTAATAAGCAATAAAATAGAAACAGATAAAATGAACAAGAAAAAACGTAGGGAATAATAATATTTTTTTTTTAAAAAATATATATACAGATAAAACAAAGAATATCCTTCATGTACCATAAGGAAAGAAGTATATATATGCTCAACTAGTATAGTCATCCAATGCATTTTATTTCCTGGTCAAATTATGTTATTTACGAAGAGACTACTATTTTTTAAAAGAATTTAACGAATCAAACAAATAGGTATACAGTATTAAAACACTACATAGGTTTATTGTTAACGAATGTAATTATAATGTTATGATCACTAGTTCCATCAATTAGATACTCTTTATCCTTATATATTCATCTTTTATTATGGCTAACTTCATTAATTCTCTTAGCCGTCCAATGAAGTTCGGGTAACCAAATTGAAAAATTTTTAATGAACGGTACCAACAAGTTTTTAAAGCATCTCATCGCATAAGAAATGAATGAATTTAATGATCTTTATGGTTATTACTAAGAGCTATTGGTAGATAATGGATCTTATTTTTTGATTATATTAACTACACAATCGTTCTTGATACTGATAATTGCTGATTTGATTTTTGGTACCCAAAGGAGAATTATAACCCAATTGACCACAATTTACCATCGCGATGAGAGTATTAGTTAGTTGTACCGATGGCGGTTCTCTAAAAGAGGTTATTTTTAATTCTGGAACTGATACATCTGTTCAAACTGCATTACAACCATTGCATGTAGAGACACACCTTGAACAAGGTTTGAACAATTACATCAATAAAATTTCACAACTATCTAATGGTGAATTTTTAATTGCAAGAAGCAATGGCGTTGTTGAATTAGTAAAAGCAACATTATTGCCAAAAGAATATACAGAAGAACCCCCAGAGGGAAAACAGTTTCCATCATTTGATGTAAACAAATTTGAAGTTGTAGATACCTTAGCTGGATTGTTAGATAACAAAAGATTAGAACCATTGTATCAAAAATCTAAAAAGAGAACTAAGTTGATAGATGAATTTGTAACAGTAACTCTGTTAAATGAAAAGCTAAATATATACATCCTAGCTTCAAAATCAGGATTAATTCACATCATCAAACATAATTCTAAAAAGAGTAAATTGGAAAAAATCAATTCATTTGAAGTTAAAGCTCCATTGGATTTTGCACAATTATACGATTTAGAAGGAAAAATGGATAAATACATATTGGGATATGGTGGTGAAGAAAATCTAGTTAAATTGATTGAAATTAATAAAAATTTTACAGACTTAAAACAGATTTGGGAAGCTAAAAATGTTAAAAATGATAGACTAGACATGAAAGTCCCAATATGGCCAGTTTCATTAAAATTTTTAGAACCGTATAAAGGTGAGAAGCTTGAAAAAGATAAAATTAACTATCAATTTACTACAGTGTCTCGTTATTCCCATTTGGGGAAGTATAGAACTCAACATGGTCGTAAGCCATTGGAATATAAAGATCTATTACCAAACAGAGAGCCATTGACACAATTAGAAGTTATCTCGGAAAAGGTAACACCAATTGGTAATGCTCAAACTTCTGAATTCTCTGATATTACCTTTATCACTACTGATACTAAGAAAGATGTTTTAAAATTCAATCATGATGGCCGTTTACTTTTAAAATATGGTAAAGGTGATATATTAGGTTCACCTACTTTCATTACAATTTCCAAGGGTAAATACTTATTACAGGGTGGTCTTGACAGATACCTGCGTGTATTTGATATAAACACAAACGAAAGAATAGCTAAAATATACGTCGGTGCAAAAATTAATTATATCACACTTCTTGACGATGACGAAATAGAATTGCCAGAAGTTGCAAAGGAAAAAGAGAAAATGAAAGAGAAATCAAAGAAAAGAGAACTAGAATTCGAAGAAGATAATGATGATCAATTATGGAATGATTTGGATTCTATAAAACATCATAAGAAATCAAAAATTTAAAACTATCAATCCGATCTAAATCCAAGTAAATTTTTATTTTTATAAAAAACCAAGTTTCAACTCTCACAAAAGGGAAAGAAAAGTTTTATATTTCAAAGTTAACAATAAATAACCTTTATAACATATATATATATATACTGCATTGAACAAATTTGATTGATCAAACTAATCTAATTTATCAACATTCAATTACTTACCTTCTTTCTGTCACATCTACTTTTATATTGTAATCCATACCATCCGAATATATTTCATCATCATAATAAATACTACGGTATAAAAAAAAATTTGAATATTTAGAAATGAAAAGATGTTTTAAAGTTTGATTTAAACAATAATGATGATGATGATGAAATATGATCAATAGATTAGATGATTGAGATCATTAGGTGCTGGTAGATTTGTTGCTGTTTTAACTTTGAAGGAGGAGTTTGGATACTAGTGTTTTTCAATAAACATTTTTATGTCTAGTAAGTTTTATTATCTTAAGGGGTCTCATAAGCCATCGGCGGTATCATCAGAAGATGAATCATCAATGTTAATGTATGGTGGCAGAGGTGGTTCTCAAGTATCTACTTATTTTAATTATGAAGCTACCCCTAGAGGACAAAAAATTTCCTCGAAATATGATCCAGATAATCCAAATAAACATAAATTGGGTACTTATGATGGTGTTTTTGTTCCTACTGCTTTAAATGTTTTATCAATTTTAATGTTTTTAAGATTTGGATTCATCCTAGGCCAATTGGGTATTTTATGCACCTTAGGTTTATTACTATTGAGTTATTTAATTAATTTGCTGACTACTTTGAGTATATCTGCAATTTCAACTAATGGAACTGTTAGAGGTGGTGGTGCTTATTATATGATCTCAAGATGTTTAGGTGCTGAATTTGGTGGATCCATTGGTTTGGTATTTTTTTTAGGTCAAGTTTTCAATAGTGGTATGAACGCAGTTGGTATCATTGAACCAATCCTCTATAATTTCGGTCTGAGCACAAATCCGGATGTAGAAACTGCGTTGATTGGACTTTTACCAGTGGGTCGTTGGTATGAATTTTGTTATGCTTCTACCATCCTTTTCCTCTGCCTATTAGTGGCTTTAGTTGGGTCTCAAACTGTATCAAGAGCAGGCAATTTCTTGTTTTTTGTTTTGGTATTATCAATAGCTTCTATCCCAGTCTCTTTATTCTTCAAGCAGCCATTCAACACAAATATTCAATACACAGGCCCATCTTGGAAAACATTGAAAGGCAACTTATTTCCACATTTGACACAAGGAGCTGCAGGTTCACTCCTTAAGGGAAAGGAAACTTTCAATGATTTATTTGGTGTTTTCTTCCCTGCTACAGCTGGTATATTTGCCGGTGCTGGTATGTCAAGCGAGTTGCGTAAACCATCGAAATCAATACCAAAAGGTACATTATGGGGTTTATTATTTACGTTTATTTGTTACTCCATAGTTGTATTGGCAATGGGATGCTCGATTCCAAGAAAAACATTATACAGAGACGTTCAAGTAATCCAATCAGTTAGTGCTGTTCAATGGTTAATATTTTTAGGAGAACTATCAACCTCTTTGTTTTCTATCATAGTAGGTATGGTAGGGGCAGCTTATGTGTTGGATGCGATCTCTAAGGATAATGTTTTACCAGGTTTATCATTTTTTAGTAAGAAACCAATTTATTCACTTTGTTTCACTTGGTTTTTAGCTCAACTTTGTCTTTTCTCCAACGTGAACAAAATTGCAACCTTAATTACTATGACATTTTTAATGACATTTGTGGTGATGAACTTAGCATGCTTTCTCTTAAAAATATCATCTGCTCCAAATTTTAGACCATCCTTCAAATATTTTGATAAATATACTGCATTTTTTGGGACAGTAATATCTACAACCGCAATGTTCATTGTTGATGGAATGTCGGCATCTGCAGTAATTCTAGCAATGATTGTTTTATTTCTCTTTATTCATTATTACTGCCCGCCCAAGTCTTGGGGAGATGTTTCCCAGGGGTTAATATACCACCAGGTAAGAAAATATCTTTTACGTTTAAGACAAGACAACATTAAATATTGGAGGCCCCAGATCCTGCTTTTTGTCGATAATCCTAGAACGAGCTGGAATTTGATAAGATTCTGTAATCATTTAAAGAAAGGTGGTTTATATATCTTGGGACATGTAACGGTAATTGATGAGTTACAAGGTCAATTTAATGAAGTACGTAAACAGCAAAGAGCATGGATGAAGATTAGGGATCTGAGCAATATCAAAGCCTTTGTGCAAATAGGTACGGGTCCAACGTTACCGTGGGGTGTTAGAAATGTATTTTTAGGTTCTGGGTTAGGTGGTATGAAACCAAATATTACAATTATTGGATTTTTTGATTTATATTCATATTATCACGGGGCTCAGCTAGAAAATTCACCTAAAGTACGTCATATTTCTGGTTCAAGAATTAACGACCCACTACCAACTGATGAATGTAAAAATGAAGAAAAAATCAAGGTTCAGCAATGGGTTGAAATAATAGAAGACTTATCCCTAATGAAATCTAATATAGCTGTCGCACATGATTTTAAAAAACTACCTCTACCAGATAAAGGAGCGACTGTTAAAGAGAAGAAGTATATTGATCTTTACCCCATACAGATGTCCGCTGAGATGATTATTAAAGATAAACAAGAATCGATGTTAACAACAAACTTCGATACATATACACTTATCTTACAGTTGGGTGCAATTTTGGTTACAGTTCCTGAATGGAAAAATACACATACATTAAGAATTATACTCTTTGTAGAGAATGAGCAGGATAGATCTAATGAAAGCCAAAGAATGCAGAATTTGTTGGAAGTATTAAGAATTGATGCAGATGTGTTAGTAGTATCATTAGACCAATTCAGAATATATAAGACTATTATTAAGGGTGATCCAATTATGTTTGACTATGTTTCATCTATGTTACAAGAGGATGAATGGTGGAAGGACTTAAGTATGGCAAGAAATTCGTTGCGCCCAAGACGTAGATTTTCTACTTCCAATGCTATAGCCATACATTCTGAAGTCGTAAAGCCAAAGAAATATAATACTTCAAAATTGCAAAAACTTGGAGTTTCTCTTAAAATGACGCCAAAAATGCCACAGGATATAAATAATAGTGCGTTTGCTTTTGGTGGATCTGAAGATGAGGGAGATGAAACTGATGTACGATCAATCCAAGAGTCTAATACGTCATTGATATCTATTGAACAAAGATTAAACTATGAAACTTCGAGAAGGAAACCAAACATTAATAACAAAAGGCTTCAATCAACAAAATTACCATATAGAATTGCTTCAACAAGTTCTTTACAACCGGTATTTTCAAGTAATACGTTACCCAAGACCAAAGTCATCGAGGATGGTACTGGGGAGCAACCTACTATTGTCCCAATTGATGAGCAAGAACATATTGACAACCAGCTATCTTTAACAAGAAGTATTAGCCCAAAACAAACGGATGGAACAGATTTCTCACCCTCTCTATCACATGATAGTCTGATCCAGGATATGAATAAGTTAGTATTTAACAATGTTCCAAGTATTGCACAATATTTGATTTTAAATGACGTAATGACTCAGTTATCAAGTTCTTCAGATTTAATATTTTCCACGTTACCGCTTCCACCACTAGGCACACACAAGGACCCAGAAGCTAGTCTTCAATATGTAAGAAATTTAGATATTTGGCAGGAAGGTTTACCGCCAACAATGTTGATAAACTCTCAAACAATGACTGTTACTACAGCTTTGTAATTCTAATACGAAATTATCATTACTACTAAATAAATCTCTAAACTTAAAATATTCTTAAAAAATGTAGTATTCAATATTTATGATTCTGGACAATCTCCAACTTTACGGAAGGCAAAGACTGTGTAGAAATATGCAGCAGCTTCTTTCTCATCTCCCTCAACACCAAATTTCCCATCAGTTCTTTTCAAACCTTCTCTCATTCTTGGTGAGAATTTTGTCATCCATTTTGGAATTTCTTCGACAAAGAACTTATTAAATGGCATTTGTAATTCTAATTCCATACCATATTCATCAGCAAGGCTTCGAAGTGTTTCAAATGGAACTACATATTCTGGGACATTATCAATAGCATCTTCTAACCAATATGTGTAAATTTGACCGTATGGAGATGGGAACTCTTTATCATTCTTAAAATATTCGTTATTTTTAAAGGTTACCTTATATATCGCATTTCCCCATGATGGCTTTTCTACATCTTCACTGATTTTATTTAATTTGTAACGAATAAATTCTGAATCTGGTATAGTACCAAAGAAATATCCACCAATTCTTAATGATTTGGATATATTAATCATTGTTCTTCTAGCTTTTTCTTCAGTTTCAAATGCATAATGCAAACAAAATTGAGCCGAAACAACATCGCAAGGGAATCTACATTGTGGGAAAGGTTCAACGACTTTGCCTAGAGACTCACCAAAACAATCACCAGTTATCAAAATAACTTGATAATCTAAGTTTTTCATTGATTGATATCTTTTATGAGCTTCTTGAATCGAAGCATTCGATATATCAATACCAATAAATTGAGAAACACCGGCAGAACCGTATTTCCTCAAATCACCACCTTTCCCACAACCTAGTTCTAATACGATATTACCTGGATGTGTGAATTTATCAATTAACATGTATTTAATTGCGTTATTAAAATTACGCAATTTAATAATTGGTGATAAAGCTCTCTTACTTTTACTAGCAATGTAGGTTCTTTCATTATAATGTTGTCTAACAATTTGATCCACATTAACAACCCTCTCTTCAGTCATTTGAATATCATGTTTTTTTAATTGTTCATCTCTTAATCTTTGAATTTGCATCTTCTTCTTCTGTTCTTCTTCATCGTACCTTTCACGCTTACGTCTTTGAAATCTTGAACCTGGAGTACTAGTAGATTCCATGGAAACAACTTCTGGAGAAATATCTGTCGAAACCTCTGGTACAGTCGAATTCACTTTAACTTCAACATTACGACCTTGCTTATTTTCTGATTGAGCAGAACCATATTGTCTTTCATACTCCTGATCAGACATCCAAATTGGCTTCTCTGGCCTTAACGACATTCTGGATAAAACTGATTATACTTTTTCAAACCTAAGAATTCAAATCAACTAGTCTAAAGATCCCAATTGTACTCTTGACATTCGTATACCTTTCCTTTAATCAATTAAATAAGTTAATTCCAACATTCAAGTTTAAGTTAGGTTTCGAAATTCATTAGATATTTAAATATTGAAAAATACGTCATTTTGAAAAAGTGATGAGAATGAAAAAGAAAGTTCAATTCGATAGCATTTAAAGAAGTAGAAGGAAAGTTTTGAATCGAGATAGTTTGAATCTATAGGGATGGCCTGATAACAGTATTGGATATATATTAAGGACACGATGAGTGCTGATAATGTAAGTTCAATAGATCCTGAAAAGGAGAGAATTTCACGAGAAAGAAGGGAGAAATTAGCTAAATGGAGAGCTAAGAAAGCTTTAATGGATAGTCAAAATGAATTAAAGAAAGAGACTGTGCCATTAGAGGTTAAAAATTCGAAGATTACTAACAATGAAAATGACAGTACTAGCAGATCAAAACTTTTAGAAAGACAACATAAATTGCAAGAATGGAAGAGGAAGAAACGTGAACGGGAGGAAGAACAGTTGATAAAAGAACAAGAGAATACAAAGGAGACATCTTCCCACTCGAAGAAGAAGAATAAGAAGCAGAACAGAGGATCTCAGAAAAGACAGATAACCTTTGATGATAGTGATGATGAGACTACGGGTGAAAGTAAAGATTCTTTTGATAAATCTGAAATAGTAGTTGAAAAGTCAGATATGAGTGGTTCTAAAAATAATAACGAAGATGATCCTTTGGAAGCGTATATGAAGAGCCTTGTTAACGGAGGACAACCTTTAAATCATAAAATTGGGGAAAATATACTTGATGAGGATGGGGATGATAATTCTATTGAAGAGGATGACGAATTTAGTAACTCTGAATCTGATGAAGAATCCTCAAGATACAAAAGAATATCTAAAGCCAAAGCTAAAAAGAAAGTCAAAGAGATTAAATTTACAATCAAGGACTTAGAGCCATTCCCAAAATCATTTTATTCAGAGCCTGATGAAGTTAAGTTGATGACAGATGATGAGGTAGAAGAAATGAGATTGAGTTTGGGAGGGATAAAAGTTAAAGGAAAACATTGCCCTAAGTTAATTACTAGATGGTCACAATTAGGTTTGCCCACTGATATTATGAACTTGATAACAAAAGAACTCAAATATGATGAACCCACTGCTATTCAATCTCAAGCAATACCCGCTATAATGTCTGGACGTGATCTCATTGGTATTTCAAAAACAGGTTCAGGGAAGACTATTTCTTATATTCTGCCTATGCTGCGACAAATAAAAGCCCAAAGAACTTTATCAAAAAATGAAACAGGTCCATTGGGATTGATTTTGGCTCCTACTCGTGAATTAGCATTGCAAATTAATGAAGAAGTAGAAAAATTTACCAAACAAGATCGATCAATAAGAACAATTTGTTGTACAGGTGGCTCTGAAATGAAAAAACAAATTAATGACTTAAAAAGAGGTGTAGAGATAGTTGTAGCAACTCCTGGCCGTTTGATAGATATTTTAACTTTGAATTCTGGTAAGCTTATAAGTACTAAAAGAATTACTTTTGTTGTTATGGATGAAGCTGATAGACTATTTGATATGGGATTTGAACCACAAATAACACAGATTATGAAAACTGTAAGACCTGATAAGCAATGTGTACTTTTTAGCGCCACTTTTCCTAACAAGCTTCGAAGTTTTGCTGCAAGAATTCTTACTGATCCTTTGACAGTAACGATCAACTCAAATAATTTGGTTAACGAAAACGTCAATCAATCCTTTTATATTGAAGATAATGAGAATGATAAGTTTAACAGATTGGTCAACATTTTGGATGGATTTTACAAAGTAAACAAAAATATAACATCAAATTCTGAAGAAAGGGAAATTGACGAAGAAGTGTCTGATAAAAAGATAATTATATTCGTATCAAGCCAACAATTTTGTGATTTATTATATTCTAAGTTAGAGAATTTTGGATATTTCCCATATACAATACATGCTGGGAAACCATACCAGGAAAGAGTAATGAACCTAGAGAAATTCAAAACCACTACTAATAGCATCTTATTGTGTACTGAAGTACTATCTCGTGGATTAAATGTACCAGAAGTTTCATTAGTTATAATCTATAATGCTGCAAAGACTTTTGCTCAGTATGTTCATACCACAGGGAGAACAGCTCGTGGTACACATAAAGGTGATGCCATTACATTGCTTTTGCCAGATGAATTAGCGGCTGCATATATTTTGAAGAGAGCACTTAGGGAAAGAGAATTATCATCAATTGATCCACAAATGGTGGAAGATATGAAACAGATGAGTGAAAGATTTGAGTCTGGTATGAAGGAAGGGAAATATAAGCTTTCTAAAGGTTTTGGTGGTAAAGGTTTAGATAATTTAGATACCAAAAGGGAAGAAAAACAGCAAGAAGAGAAACATAAGCTAGATAAAATAGAAAATGATGAAAGTACACCAAGTACAAGCTATAAGACAACAGATAATGCATCATCCAGTTCAGAAGTAGATTCTGTTACAATACCAAAATTGGAATTCACGATAGACCGTGATAAAAATATTGATAGCACTATTTCATTTACTGCCATAGTAAATGTAAATGATCTTCCTCAACTTGTTAGATGGGAAGCAACTAAAAACACCACCTTAATGTTTATTAAACATGAAACAGGTTGTAGTATTACAAACAAGGGTAAATATTATCCTGAAGGCAAAGGTCCTACTTCAAATAAAGATCAGCCAAAATTATACTTACAAATTGAAGGGAAGGAAGAGAAAGATGTATTATTAAGTATCGAATTATTAGAACAAAAGGTTAGAGAAGGTATCAAAAAAGTTGAATACCAATCCATAAAGAGCACTAAATATTGATATTTACTTGGTTTCATATATCTTAATGATTTAGAGATAGTGGATTTAATGTTAATGTATATTTGTTTTAATTATAAACATATTAACTTATATAATTAGTCTTTTCAACGCGTAGAAAAAGTTAGCAAGGTTAATTAGCTTAAAATAATTGATGAATGTAATTAATAATTAAGTAAAACAATGAATGTAATCAATTAAATTACATAGGATTTTTTTAAAAGTATATTTTTAAAGTAATATTAAATGAATAAGGAATAATGAGATAAAAGAATCGAATATTGAAATGTGATATGGTCTCGCCTAATGTCTATCAATTGAGGGCAGTTATTGAATTAATAACTGAGGTTTGGTAGATTATCCATGTATAATAATAAAATTCCCATATTTTATTATTTATCTAAAATGATTTATATTTTTTTTTGTTTGGTATTAGTTTTTCCTTTGTAGATTTTCCCTTTTTTTAAAAATTTATTAAATTTGTTACAATATGACTTATGTTTTGGATCATGCAGAATTGTTAATCAAGTTATGCAATTCTGGAATATTAATATCACTGGCATCTAAATTACCAAAACTCTTCAAATGTTTTTCTAGAACAGAGTACTTTATAGCAGTACCAGATGTTAATCTGGATAATTGTCTTGAATCACGACAGTAAATAGAGTAACGTTTGACAATCTTTAAATATAATTCCACTCTTCTTTCTAAATCAGAATTTTCGTTAGCAGAGCCGGCGTGTTCACCAGTGTTTTGCTCATCATGTGCAATTTCATCGAATGCACCAGATGCGTTAGCTGCTTGTAATGCTGGATGGGAAAGATCCAATTCATGATTCATACCGAATAAATCAGTAGAAGATGATGCCAAACTAACAGGAGTAGAAGCCCTAGAGCGTGTATTTTTATCTAGTTGGTGTTGAGTCCAAGTAATAGTAGCATCTCTTAAGGCAGCCCAATCAGCATTCGCAATGAAACGCTGACCAATGTCATCAGATTTCAGGATTAATGTGGTCCATCTAGATAAAATCTCCTCATTAGTGACATCATCAATGGAACCCATAATCTTCAATAAGATTCTGTATGCAACAATAGTTTTTGGAATGTGATATAAATCATATGCACTATCAATGTAATTAATAATGGCTCTGTCTCTCCAGACTGTACATTTAGTTAAGATAATATTGAAGAATGGTTCGTCAATTGGTTTAATACTATTGTAAGTCTGAATGATGTTTTGCAAAACTTGGAAACCTTCCATTTTGTTGTCAGCATATTTTTCAAAGAATATATCAAAGAATGTGTCATTTAATGATGAAGAAATACCGTGATTAACATTTCTACCATAATGAGCTGACGATTTATACCAAATATTGTAAACCTTTTGGAAATCACCTGTTTCGCTCCAAATGTTTCTTAAGAATGATTTAACGTAGGATACTTGTAAATCGATTTTATATGGCATTTCGTTATTCAAAGCTTTATCGAAAAAGCTTTGGGCGACATTTAAATCCCTACATTCACCGATAAAGGATAAATGAGTCTCAATTAAATAACCATATCTGTTTTCAGTAGCTTCCTCACATAATCTTTGGAATAAGATCAATGCCATCTCGTTTTCACCAGCGGCCAAAGAAGCTCTGATCATACCAACTGATAAGTTTGGATGGAAGAAATCGATCATTGAAGCTGACTTTTCATATAATGCCTTAATTTCTTCAAATGGAACTCCGTTGTCATACAACATTGGTAAAATAACACCAACAACTCTTGGGTTTAAGAAGATAGTTGAAGTATAAGTTGTAGATTCAGCACTGATGGCAGCTTTCCAAATATTTACAGCTTCTTCAAACAATAGCAATTCTTTGAAAGCTGTAATTAAGTGCATTGCACCATATTCATTTAAAGAAACTTTGCCACCCAATACATCTTGAGAAATTTCTCTTAATGATTGACACAAATAGTTGGTCATTTCCTTATGGAATGATTGTGAATCATAATCTGGTTTCTTGTTCATTCTAGTTAGTTGATTTCTATTGGCTCTTAACCCATTGTGTAATAAATGAACTAATTTAGAAGTACGTGTTGGATTTAATTCAGGAACACTATTTTCGACTAAATCATGGTATAATTTCATTGACTTTGCGATAGAATCCCAGAACAATGGGTTTGCATTAGCATCAGGATGAGAAGTTGATTGGCCCATGTTCTTTCTTCTAGGTGTTTGGGACATGTTTAGAGTTGAAGAAACACAGTCGTCGAATGCACAAACTTGATTGTACCATGGTGAATCAATATTTATTTGGGAGGAGTTAATATTTGAATTCTTCTTATTGTATTTTTCTTTCAGATTTGAGGAAGTTGGGTTTGAAGCATTTAATTGATTTCTCATATGACGTACTCTATCGGCAGCAACTGATGCCTTACTTGAACCTGAAATGATATTAGCATTGGATCCAGTAGAAGAATCTTGTCTCTCTAGGGAAACTGCACTGTTGAATCTAATAGAGTGGTTGAAAGAATTTCTAGTGGATGCAGAAACAAATTGGTTAGAGATCCTACTCTTAATAACTTGTGATTGTTGAGCAAATCTAAACATCTTGCAATAAATTTAAAACAAAAAATTTTTTATCAACAATGTGAACGGAGATGGATTAACAGGTTTCTCACTATAAATATTATTTCTAGGTAGCCAAAAATGTCAAATCTTCCTTTAATCTAATCTTGCTGTTGTAAGTTATCGAGATATTGTTTTTAATAATATTTATATATCAGTATGGGAGGTGATAAATCGAATATTAGTAATATACACTTCTTGATAAAAGTTGTTTAAACTTATGATTTCAAAGCGATAGAAAGAGTATTGCTATAGCTTTTCCTATTTTAATTTGTTGTTAACCTATAAAATAAACAGTATTCTATAATTTCTTTCTTAACTTTTCGAAACACTTTGGAGATTTTTCTTTTTTTTTCACTTTGGTTTAATATAGGTTACTATATAGTTAGGATAGGACTATTAATAACAAAACCACTTTGAATATATATAATAATAATAAATCCTTCTGTGGTGTAATTAAATGTTCGAAAGGAAAAAATAATAGTTTCGATTAGATGGGATGTATTTTCAACAGAAGTAAAATACGATGAATGTTGAGTATTTGTCTCTATACAACAAAGAGTATAGTTGCAAAATAAAGTACGCAGAATATAATACAATTTAATCCAAGTTTTACGAGTTCTAAATGAAATAGGTTCCTACTATTGCTGAATATATTGGAGAGAAAAAAAAATGGGAATAACCCAAACCAAAGGTTAAAATTGGAACTCAAACTATAGTAAGAAGATGGAGAGAGAGAGAGAAAAATCAAAAGTAAAGTAAAAAGTAAAAGCAAAACCAATGTTAAGCAGTCAAATTTAGCTTCTATTTTTTTTTTCTACTCTAATAAAATTTTTCTTTCTTTTTGACATAATGAGGGAGTATCTTAAAAGACCCGATCACATTAATACAAACGAAACAAAGCATCAAATTAAAAGTTTTTCCATTGGCCTGCAGTAATTATTAACAGGACGAGCTTAAATCAGATAAGAAAACCGTACACACAGAAATATTTTGAATTTCATGTGAATGTTTTCCCGAAAGACAGCTAGGATCGAATCGAGTTTGAAACTAAAAAAAGATACTCTCTATGAAGGTTTCTCTTACCCATACTCATACTCATCTCATCTCATCTCATCTCATCTCATTGAGTCTCAGAATATAATGTAGACTATCCATTATTAAAATATTTCGTTAACAATGGTTGCATTAAGTTTTATTTCCGTTTTTTTTTTCTTGTTCTTGTTATCCTTTTCTTCACAGTGCGCGGACATATCAAGTTAGAAATGAGAAAGCCATTGAAATTGGAAAAAGGTAAAGCAAAAAAAGGCGAAGTAGCAACAGTAGTAATGGCAATGATGAAGATGAAGATGAAAGGTTTTTGACTACCGTCAATTTTGAAGTCAATGATTGCTCTTACTAGGTAAAAGTAGTCCCAAATCCATCCTAACTGACAACAAAAGAGCAAAGGTGCAAAAGAGCAATAAAAATTCCAGATATATGGCAGTATCAAAAGTAAATGGCTGTACTGCTCTCGCTTTTGTTGGTTTCAGAATTTTAGTAATGAACTCCGAAGAACACATCAAATTCGTATTCGTATTTGATAGAACTTTCGAGAAGAGAGAGGTTTTGGGTGTCCCAATAAAAAGGAAAGGTAAAACCCAAACACACATACAAAAAGTAGAATCCCAGAGAAAACCAGAAATCCCTGCTAACAAAATTCTGCGGTCTTTCTCATCCTTTCGTTAAAATTATGAAATACTATTCGATTATTCCTGTTGGGAACGATCAAAAGAAACCTTTTCTCTTTCGTATCCAACAATCAATAAGTACAACAACAGTAAGCACACACAATCCGTATTGAATGGAGAAAACGTAACAAAAAGGGGAGGAAAACGATAACTAAGAGAACAGAACAGAAAAAGAAGCCATTTATAATCTCGTTTCTTTTTGAGTGCTAAGATGTAGTTTCAATAACTACGTAGCAAACGATATCCAATCAAAAACAGAATTTTGAAAAACGTGATATCCCAGCAAAAAAAAGAAATCAAGACAAGTCACGTGCCGAATCCACTTAGATATCAAAGACTTGGAGATCTTTTTAGAACAAAACTGAAAAAAACAGACACCCACCCACCCAAGTGGAACACCATTACATCACACTAGACATCATCATCTGTCACATGGAAGTACGATTGTGATTAAAAGTGACACAAAAACAGAAACCATATGTCATCTTAACATCATCACATCACATCAGCTCACATACGAACGATCAACTTTATGAATAGGAAAAGTGACTTAAATTGAGAAATATCGAACTTGTTCAGACCTTTCCTATTTATAGTTTTTCAATTATCTGATCTAAACACCTCCTGCCACCCCATTCCGACCAAATGTCTTGTTTGCAAAATAATCGGAGTAATGAGAAATGCTCGATAGCCGCCAACCATCAATCTTGTTTTTGTAGTTTCTACATCGAGAAATGGTGGAAATAAAATGTAAATAAAATGTAAATAAAATGTAAATAAAACTACAAGAACTTAAGCGTTGATTACCTAAAAAATTATCATATTATTATCATATTATTATTATTATTATTATTATTATTATTATTATTATTATTATTATTATTATTATTATTATTATTATTATTATATGTCTATCTATCTATAATTGTGTATCCTTCAATTCCTTCAATAAACCAATTCTTTAATTCAATAATGGCATAAAATTCGCTATAATCATTAACGGCAAACCTGAAAGATCCCTCTTCAATGTCCATATACATGTGCACGTAATAGTGTTATCCTTTAATGGTGATAAAAGCGTACATTTCTTCATTCTCCCTGAACCTTCAAAGTCTTGAAAGGCAATCGTTGAAAACGTTTTAAAATATTCTAATACACTATTATCATCCATGATCTCGACGATAAATGTCATTTTATTTAATAATTCTGTCTTAGTCCATCCTGTTAATATTTCAAATTCTTGATTAACCATAGAAATTTGTCCATTTCTTCTCCATATACATGTAGGAGTACCTATCTGTCTTATAAATTTATCGTATTCTAATAACGTCCTTTGGTAACATTGCTCCATAAAGATCATATCTTCTTCTGTTAACGTAATTGCACATGCTAGGAAATTAGGTCGAAATTCAGCTAAGGTCTTCGATATCATAATCAGTTTCTCTTTATTAAAACGATTCCTTAAATAATTAAACAAATGATGAAATCCAGGTGTATGCGAAAATGGCATATTGATTAACGAATATATTTCAATGGGTTTAGAATATCTTAATGAATGTTCCCATTGTGGATTGCTGTATGTTACAGATTCTTCTGGAGAATCACAACTCATGGCTAGTGATACCAAGTGTACTTCATTATCATCGTTATTTATCTTCCCAATATTAGCATTCTTACCTAACTGTGAAATAATTTCAGGAAATGTAGAGTTCTCATTATTTAAGTAATATTGATTCATTTTAGAGTCCCAAAACTGATGATTATCAGACGAACTCATCATATAAAGTCTATCCCCACTACTGCTAGCTAGACTTCTTTTAAAATTTAAATTTGCTTCAGATTCAACAGGTACTAACGGATAATGTCTTGAAAATAAACTTACTTTAGAAGATAATATCTGCATGGTGTTTGGACCTAATAATCTATAGTAACAACTTTGACTAGAAGAAGGGTAGGGTATTATGGGCAAATTAACAAGTTTTATAGGTGGGTATACATTTTGGCTTAATTGAATACTAGATCCCCCCGTATTACTCGATGCACCATTGTGTTAGCACCACTTTTAATCAGTAAAACTACTAGTGTTGCTATTATTGCTATTATTATCGGTTATGCTATTATTTTGAGATATGGAACATCCGCTCATTGGAAGTGAACTGATAGGTATTTTATTCATTAAATGATTAGACGTATCGGTGACGACGTTGTTTGAAATTTTATAAGTATTATTTTGATAATGCATATTTCCAATAGAATTCATGGACGCCCCACCAAATTGAGAAAGATAATTACTTCTCATAATCACGTTGAGTTCTTCATCAGGTACATTTTCTAAATATTTCTTTCTTTTCCTTGGCGCATCAATACAACTCATCTCCAGGCCTTTTGAAGAACAACGTGTACATGGCCTTTTCTCATCACACGCCAGATGAGACCTACAACAATTACTACATGCAATATTAATCTTATTTCTCTTCCTCTTCTTTATTACAGATCTACCTTTCTTCAAATCACCATTAGTATTAGTATTAGTATTAGTGTCATTGTCACCGTTGGTATCATTATCAATAATATTGTTGTTATTATCAGCTCTTTCTTCTACGGCGGAAGCATCGACAGCTGTGTTAATCAACATCATAGGACAACACAAATCTTAGCACACCAACACACACACATATACATAAATATATCACTTAAACTCCTCTTAGACCAGTTATAACTGAATATTAAATTGATAATAGTTTATACAGTTCCATTACATCATTGCTGCATTCTTTATAAATTTCAATTTGACTAAGATGGATACAACTTTTTTCAGTAAATTCGATATACTAATATCCACATTTAGGTAGCGCCGTACTAATATTTAATACCATTAATATATTGAAACTTCGAATAGTAATACCCATTTGAGTAATAATTTTGATCCAAGTTAAAGACTTGAATTATGGAACGAACGAACGAACGAATGAATGAATGAATGAATTATATTAATTTAAATATTATATAAGAATCAGATGCATTTATATTAATTAATTATTAAGATTATATGAGATATTGAGGTATTTTGTTCTTTATTTTTATTAATTGGAATATCAGATGAAACAATTGAAAATATGATAATGCCTTTAAGAGTAATTCACTTGCGGGAATGAATGATTAATTTCATATGGTGAAATAACTTGTTGAAATGCATTGTCTAACCATGTTTCTGTTAACTTTTTTGTAATAATTTTGTTTAATTGATCCATTATATCTTGTAGTGTACACAAGGGGAGACCATTAAGTTGACAAGTTGTCGAGGTTTTATCTAGTAAATGATAACAGTAATTTAAAATTTTTTGATTCTCAATATTGTGTATGATAAAATTCATCAATGGGAACATTGATGGCGATAATACTGGAATTTTGGATAACCAATATTGTAAAATATCGCCGAAAATTTCAATAACATTAACGTCATCATCATTGTTATATAGAATCACCATAATTGTGAATGCTATGCTATTGCATTCAAAGTCATCAAATTGAATTGATTCAATTTCTTCCTTTGTCAAATTTATATTCTTCTTATTTTTGTTTCCAATCCAATTTTTTAATAAAGCATATAATTTTTGATTCTCTTTTAATTTTAATTTGAGGAAGTCAGAAAACCAATTTGAATAATCCAAACGACATAAAATCATATTCGTCTTACAATTCAACCAAATCAATTCAAATAACTCATTTTCAACAAATGTATCAATATTTTGAAATTCGATCAATTTTTCATCAATTAAACTATTAGGTATTTCATTCTTAATAATTAAAGTGCTATCGCTACTATTATCACTTTTATGAAATGATACAAATGGTCCCTTTTTAACAAATTTTTTATTCAAACTGATATCATGCTCTAAATCATCTAATAATGTATTCAGTTTTTTATTTATTCTCTTCTGATCAAAAACTTTATTTGGACCTTTACCATAAACTGAGTTGATTGTGTTATCATAAACTTTCAATCTTCGTACGCTAATTGTAAATGATTCATCGATATCACTTTCATCGTTATCGTGTCCTGTCGTACTATCCGTTATTGTAGAGGTATTCAGTTCGTTGACATCATCACTAGTAGGAGATGGATAACAAGAGTTATACTCATAATTTCTGAAATTTGTCATTTTTTTAAATTCCAATTTCGATATCTTACCATGAGACATATAATTACGATCTTTTGATCTAATGTCTTTTGATCTATTAATAAATTCTTGCTTACAATTGATCTTGTATATATTATCATCTGACCAAATCAATCTAATATCATATGAGCAACAATCGCCATGTCTGACACATAAAGAACACGAAGGTTTCAATTCGTCACATTTACGTTTTTTAAATCGACATGCCCAACAACCAGTAAAGTTTCTTGAATAACGATTATCTACACCTGCCATATTTCTTTAATTACCTCTACTATATTCCCTTTTATATAAGATGGTGTAGTAAAATAAATGTCAAGTTATCAACATATTCAAGATTTCGAGTGGAATTATAATATAAAACATAGTTCCATTTATATATGAATATATACGCTAGTGTAATAAAAGTAGCAATTAATCTTGATTAACTGATTAAACACGGTTTGAATAATACCAAACTCGGTATTAATCAATTATTCGAGTCAAAATTTTGAATAATTAATTCGCTAACCAAATCATCTCAAATATTACAATCAATGAATATATCTTTAATCCACTACTGTTAAAAACCTTGTATACCTAAATATTTAATAGTTCCCATTCCTTCTTTTAGAAAACATTCACAGACACCACATAAACAGCCACACAAAATAATTTTGATCAACTGCTATCAATTGATTGATTGTATGACAAACCTCAAATTACAATTTATGTATTTTGTAAACCATTATTATCAATGCTAGTACTCGAATTGTTCAACCCTGATAACATAACCAAATATCATATTTATGGCCTAAACTTCAGTTTCAACACAAAAAATGTCAAGATTCATGCAATTAACCATCCTTTCAAAATAATCATATACAAGATTTAATGAAATATGCAAATAAAGCAGTAATATTGAATTCCATCGCTACTATTGTAGCACCAGAACAAAATAGTTTAGCTCAAACGCCATTGGCATAGTAACAGTCAATCCAATCTTCTGAGCTAGCAGCGTACGGTTTCGAATTTGAAAAAGGACTCGTTCTCACTAAGTAACGAAACAAAACGAGTTGAAAAAGTTGATATAAAAGGAAAACTGACGTAAGTGAAGATAAAAAGCCAAGTGGTGATATTGATTTCAATTTCAAAAGAACAACAAACGTTTTTGAAAGAATAGTAGTTCCTTCATTAATTGCTTTATTGATTTGTCAAATTGCATTTTAGTTTAATAAATAAATGTTTCTGATGTATTATTGATGTTAATATTAATGCTCGGAAGCCTTTTATTCACTTCATTCTAAATTAGTTAGCCACTCTTCTCATAATTGGATTATGAATTTTGTACCTTCATCGGAAATGACAATATTATAACCTAAAGGGTTCAATATTCATGTTTTAGACATATACTGCTATCTCTTCTGAAATCTGTGTAGCTATTTTTAACTCCTTCTCAATTGATTGTGTGATTAAATGGATCCAATCTCATTGCCCTTTGTATTGTAATTGTAATTGTAATTGTAATTGTAATTGTAATTGTAGTTATTTTTTTTATTTCTTTATTCTTTTCTGCTTTTTTTTGGAATTTATGTTAAAACAAGTTAAATTCATTTATTAAATATTCAACTAGTTCATATTTTTATTTCCTTTTTTCAGTACAAAAAAAAGTTTCTCATTACATCAAATTTATTGTAATTTTTTAACATTACTGTAATATCGATTTTAATAATCCGACCAAACTTGTGTGTAGCTCGATTTACCTCTCGTTTCTGGAACTCTTTTAAGAATATAAAATGTGAAAACTGTACCAAATACACCAAATATTGTATACACATAACCTCCTAATAAATCATGTAAAACAGGGAAACAGTATGCTACTACAAAAGTGGCTAACCAATTACAAATAGTACCATAACTTTGTGCAATTACTGAATCATTAGGACTTGATAATTCACTTATAATTAAAAATGGAATTGGTCCTAAACCAAATGCAAATGCCGCAATGTAGACAAATAACGATATAACTAGCAATGATACTATATCTTGTGTAATACTGACACTTATCAAGAATGCAGATATAGATAATATCGACGTAGATATCAACAATAATGGTTTACGTCCCTTTTTGTCAATTACGAATGATGAGACTACCGTCATTATAACATTTAATATTGATATAGCAAAATTAATTTGCAATGCCCAGTTTGGTGTCAAATTACTAATAACTTTAACACCATAAAATATTATCGAATTAATACCACAGAACTGTTGACCCATTAATATCATTGTAATGGCATTTCTTGGTTTTTTAAAAGTCGAACTTGTTACATATTCCCATAGAGATGGAGAAGAATTTGTCATATTTGAAGAATTAGCCTCTAATGTGTCGTAACCATCAATTAACTGTTCATTATTCAAATCTTTTTGAATTTCACTTAATTCATCTTTGACTATATCTGATCTTAAACGTAAAGAAAATAACGATAATTCTGCATTAGTTAAATCATGATTCTGCACCAACCATTTTGGTGATTCACGAATATAAACCAACAAAACCATATTGCAGATACTAACGATGAATGCAACAAATAAAATCCATCTCCATTGATATGCATTTGCAAAGAATAAAGCACAGAATTGTGTCAAGATAATCCCTAGATTGATTGAAACTTGATTCATAGATCCCATCAACCCTTTTAATGATAGTGGTGTCACTTCACTAATGAACAAAGGTGCATTCACGATGAAAATACCACTACCCAAACCAACAATTAATCTACCAATGATCAATGAAGTATAACTATTGCTTGCAAATAAAATATAAGAACCTATGGCATTGATAATATTTGCAATAAATGCAGTCTTCTTTCTACCATAACTTTTCGAAATAGAACTAGCAAAATAAGAGCCAAATAATCCACCGATTGTGAACATTGAAGTAACTGTACCGATTTGTGAGTTATCTAAGGGAATACATTGTGTAAAATTATGTCTTCCTAACCAAGTATCTGAAAAGGGGATACCTTCATTGTTAATTTTATTCGAAAATTCAGAGCAGGACATAACCTGCTGTGGAGCATTTAATTCAGCAATATGATACCCAAACTGTAAACATCCCAAACATATAACAGCAATAGTGATAACCAAAGGTTTAGTCAAGAGATCTGGATATTCGTTACCACTTCCACTACCACTAGTAGCAGCCCTATTCTTTTTATTAATACGACTCATTATTTAAACTAACAAAGCTTTAACTTGAACAAATAACGAAAATAAAACTTGAAATCAATAAAATAGATACCAGTTCCAATAATCCTAGCCTTCTCTAGTCAACCAACTGCAATTACTTTTGATTCAATAGTTTCAATTAAGTTTAAGCCAGTTGGCTGTTATATCGTTTTTATATGTCAATCTGTTATACGTAAAGGGTTATAATGTAATGTTGATATATATAAGGGCCATGACGTAATTAGCCACGTATAGTAGTCATTAGTTCAAGATTTATTTTATTTTGCTTTGTTTTATTACAATTATCAACGATCTATTTAAGAGTTGTATGCAATTTAGTCGTCTATCTATTTTATTTTACTTTATCTTATTTTATTTTATATTGTTTTGTTTTGTTTTAATTAATTAGTTTAAATCGAACGTCAGAATTAGAGATTAATTTATATTAATGATGAAAAATATTAAAATGTTGATGGTTGCTTAAAAAGCTGTAATTGGACGCAGGTTATCAGTACCAAATAATAATGTTCCTATCAAATGTCTTGTTAATATTGCTATGATTCCTATTATGAAATTAATCATCAATATTTTATTGCATAATTTATCTTCTCTCATAGGACCGAACCAAACTAAGGTTAAATTTATTAATGTCATATTAGTACAACTTTTGATTGTGTCTTTCTTTCCATTATCGACGTATTCCAATCTAATCAAGTTCAATGATCCTAATAGCTTTAGTATTGGGATGAAGAATTTCTTTGGTGGGTTTTCAACTAAATCTGCAGTTGATGGGTATAATAATCCATCCTTTTCATTGAAACGTGGTAATCTATGTCTTGGACAAAATACTATATGGAATAATTGTGGACATGAATATAAGAAGTTGATAATTTGTGGGACAAAGATTAATAGCATAGTCTTTGAGAAATGGCCCAATATACCAACGACAGCAAAAACCATACCAGCAAAATAACAATAAGTATCACCAACGAAAACTTTTGCTGGCCAACGGTTCCATTTCCAAAGAGCGTAAGAAACACCGATAAATGGGGCAATGATAATTATTGATAGCTTATGGGATTCATGGGATACTTCTGGACCAAATAATAGATATAGGGCATCATTAAAGACCGCTAATATACCAAGTACAATACTTTCACCAACTTCTAACCCGTTCACACCCGCAAGGATATTAATTGAATGTGGACAGAAAATACTCATTGCTGCCATGTAGACGTAATATAAGGATCCTAAATTAACGGTGGTTCTACCGTTCACCCATTTTTGTAAGAAATTTGGCACTAAAACATAAGTTACACCGAAATCAACATAGTAAACAATCAACAATGGAATTGCAGCAATTGCTGGTAAAAAAACCTTATGTCTCCATCTTAAATCAAATAAATCATCAGCGATACCTATCATAGTAGTGGTCTGTAAACAAAGTACTGCACTTAAGAATTCTGATAACTTATTATGAGGGAAGAAAGATCCATTAGAGGTACCATTTTCAGTGATAGAAATATCACGGTGTCCTCCACCAGAAGTTGTAACAACCATATCCTTATAGAAAATAAAAGGAATACAAAACAACATTGTAAATATATAAACAGTTGCTGTAACTGCACCAATCGTTTCCGGTATTATAGGTTTGCCTGGTTTACTCAAATCCTTACCAAAAAGACCAATCTTAATAAAAGAATCACCAACTCTAGGAATTAACCAATCTGAAAATACATATCCAATCAAACCAAATCCAACGGAAGCCCAAACAGCAGAGCTGTTCCTAGATACGTAAACCAATATCAAAGCAACTAAAAGCACAATCTTATTTATCATCTTTTTTATCCCCCCACAGAAATTACCCAATTCCTATCCAATTTTCTTCAGAGAAAGCTCAATTACAACAAATAACCAATTATAAAACCAGTTTAACCAAATAAAACCACTGTTAACCTACAAATCTGTCTTGTAACTCAGACATATCTCCTTATTTCTTAATCATTAATTCGAACAAATTTTATTTTTAGTGAACCTTTTCTTCATATTTCAATTATACCGAATATCAGATATCTAAAAAATATTTGATATTTAAACAGTACAAATTATAACTTGATGATGAACTAAAGGTTTAAGATTATGTTTCAGTTGAGTTTATGGAAGTTAAGACTTAGTTCAGCAGATTATAGGATACTTAGAGGTTATAATTGGATTCAATTGTTCAATTTGGAGTTAGGTGTTTTTGAGATTTAGTATTTGTTGGAAGAGAATTGGATAAAGATTGAATTATCTTTAATAGAAGAAGCTTACAAATACACTACACTACAGGATATAATAACTACAGTTAACGGAACGATAAATTACTATTAAGAATGAGACCTTTTGATACAGGACACGAAGATTTGGTTCATGATGTTTCATATGATTTTTATGGTAGATATGTTGCTACTTGTTCGTCAGATCAACATGTTAAAGTGTTTCGATTAGATAAAGATAGTAATGAATGGATATTAAGTGATTCTTGGAGAGCTCATGATAGCAGTATTGTTTCAGTCGATTGGGCTAGTCCAGAATATGGTAGAATTATTGCCACTGCCTCATACGACAAGTCTGTTAAAATATGGGAGGAGGATCCAGATCAAGATGAATGTTCAGGACGTCGTTGGACTAAGTTATGCACTTTGAATGATTCTAAAGGTTCTTTGTATAGCGCCAAATTTGCTCCATCTCATTTAGGTTTGAAATTAGCTTGTATTGGGAATGATGGTATTTTAAGAATTTATGAGGCTTTAGACCCTTCTGATTTAAGATCATGGACTTTAACTACTACTGCAAAGGTTCTAAATGTCCCACCAGCTAGTCATTTACAAAGTGACTTTTGCATTTCATGGTGCCCATCACGATTTCAAACTGAAAGAATTGCTGTTTGTGTACTAGATCAAGCAATTATATACCAAAAGAATACCCAAGATAGTAAGTTCTATATCGCAGGTAAATTAGAAGGACATAATGGACTAATAAGAAGTGTTTGTTGGGCTCCATCGATCGGAAGAGCTTACCAACTAATTGCTACTGGCTGTAAAGATGGTAAAGTTCGAATTTATAAAGTTACTGAAGATTTGAATAACTCAGGAGTAAGTGGCACTGTTTCTAATTCTGCAACCACTACAAATAGCAATGGCAGTGATATATCTACGAGATCTATTAGTAATGATAATACAACCGATGGTGCCAGTAATCAACGTGAAGATACACCATCATCAAACAACTCTTTAAAGCGTACTAATAATAGTTTATTGCATATGCCATTGAATATTGAGTTGTTGAGTGCACATGATGACCACGGTGGTCAAGAAGTTTGGTCAGTTTCATGGAATTTAACTGGTACAATTTTAAGCAGTGCAGGGGGTGATGGTAAAGTGCGTTTGTGGAAAGCTACGTATTCGAATGAATTCAAATGTATGAGCGTAATAACTGCACAACAGACATAAAATAATATTACGAAATTGCATCAGTCTCTGATTTCCATTTTTCTTATTGTTTTGTTTTGTTGCATCTTGTGCCAATGTATTTTATTCGACCTCTCCTCCCGTAACGCCCCATTTGGGGTGACATTTCAAAGAAATGCTTAGCATTAATTAATTATAGTTCAGTACCCCCTCCCACTCTATGCCAGATTATTCTATTTTGTATGGCTTTCTGTACTACCTAGTACTCCTCCAAGGTACATCAAGATTTGAATAAAAATAAAAATAGAAATCGAAACAGAAATATAGAAACCCCCTTACGCAAACTTCATTAATTACTTAATATTTTTCACAAAGAGGAATTATCAGATATTAAAACTTGAGGAAGCTAAATCTGGATATAGTGAATTATTCGAAGGAACGATCTAAAATGCAAGTAAGAAAGAGAGGGCTATGAATATTTTTCACATAGCAAGTCAAAATATTTTTCAGATCAACAATTTGTTAAAAAAATAAAAAACAATCTTCTTCAACTTTAGAAATTTTGACAGTATTTTATTAACTGAAAGGCTTCTCCTGTTTCCTTATCCGGGAATACACTCAAAAACTTTTTGTATGAGGTATACAGGAGAAGTATTTTGACAAGAAATTATTTAACCCAATATACCAAAATCAATTTTACTGCTTTTACAAATTCCGACTGTCTGGAATTATTGAGGGGGGGGGGGGGGGAGAAATACCCTCTGTAATGAACAAGGTACTCTTAATCATTCGAAGTATCCATAAAGCACTAACATTTTTCAAATAACGAGTTGTACAACACATTTTTGGCTAAGTATAAGAATACCTTTTTCATAAAACTTGGACTGCTACTACGGTGGTTTGTCAAATACAAATAAATTGTTGTATTTCGAAATTATCAACGTACCATTTATTATGCAATAGGCTTTCTTTTTTTTTTTTATTTCAGCCTAATACTGTGAATTATATCTCATTAATTGGTGTGCTGAGAACTTCATAAGTCCAGAAAGTATTTCTACCTTGCATTAACAGAAGCAATACTGTTGGTCCAATACTTTTTCTATTTTTTTTTTTTTTGATGTAATTTTTAACATGCTACTGACAAACATCTGTAGGCCTTCAGAAGAGGCATTTCGATTAATAGCATAAGCAATGAAATTTTTTTTTTTCAACTATTAATTATTACATTAATTATCCATAGAGGGAGAAGTAGACTTACTAAAACTAAGAACTGTTCATTACACCAGTATAAGCTTAAAATAAGTTTAATTACCAGCTTTTAACAGTTATCAGAAGAAAAGTTAGATGGTCCTACGTAAGCATCGTTCCGAAATTGCATTAAGGTTGAGTTTTGTTAATAGTTAAGATAATACGAAAATTTAGTAGGAAGAGGTTATTGCAGGAATTTCCAATCAATTATGGACATTTGGGTATTGTTAAAGTAATAAATTTAGATTTTTCATCTGCACAAATCAGCGTTATCCAATAATTAAATTTATCTGTCATATCCGGAATATTCTTTGACCATATTTAGTTAACGTTACACACTAATTTGGTTAACAGAAATGCCTGCAGATCAAAAGGTATGCCAATAGCAATATTAGCATATTAATTTAAGACAAATATATTATTAATGTAAATTTAATATGAATCAGTTTTTTTTAGAATTTTATTTTATTTCAATTATTTTATTTTTAGATTTAAGCAATCTCAACAATAGTAATATATAAATAGACGAGTATTCATAAACTGAATGATCCAAAACTATTGGACTGGATTTCACACTTCTGTAACTTTCATATAGATCAATCTGTCATCAGTCGCCTCATAAAAATCCACTCCAAAGAAATTATTAATAGCAGTGATGACCTCAAAATTTTATGATCATAAACCATTGGACAGTGATGGCAATGTTTATTCATTTGAAGAACATTTAAAGGGTAAAGTTGTATTGATAGTCAACGTTGCATCGAAGTGTGGTTTCACTCCACAGTATAAAGATTTAGAAAATCTGTACAGAGAATATCACGAAAAGGGATTTGTGATTCTAGCATTCCCATGTAATCAGTTTGGCCATCAAGAACCTGGTACTGATGAAGAAATTGGTAGGTTCTGTGCATTAAATTTTGGTGTTTCATTCCCAATCATGAAGAAGATTGATGTTAATGGTGTCAACACTGATCCAGTCTATGAATATTTAAAAAATGAGAAAGTTGGTAGTCTAGGATTGAAAGGTGTTAAATGGAATTTTGAAAAATTCTTGGTTGACAGAAATGGTACTGTCACTAACCGTTTCTCATCATTAGTTGGTCCAACAAGTATTGAACAAAATATTATAGAATTATTAAAGGAATAATTGTAACTTTTTATTTTCTAATTTACAAATATGCATGATACATTATTAGTTAGTAGATCTAATCAAAGTATTAACAATTGTAGCAATTCACGAATAAATCATTATCTATAAATTCATCTACTTCACATTCAGCATAAAATATTTAATTGTTTATTTCCTCTAGATTAATTTACAAATATCAATGACAAGTTTCACTACTTTTGTATACATTATTAAAATCGCATAAGAAGGTTTCCATTTATATTACATATCAATCAACATACACGGACATAAACCTATATAGATTAAACGAAGTTTAAAGTTATAACATATTCATTAAGTTACGATGCAATTGCTTCAGTTTTGACTGTCATTTTAATTTTGTGATGAAAGGTACATTAAAGATCCTGGCCCTCAGCAAGTGCCTGAATGGGTTATATCCAAGATTTCATCAGGTACAACGATTAATTCATTTTAGAAACTATTTAAACCAGAATTATAAAAATTATATTTTGCTTTTAATTACAAAGGTCATGACATAAAAGTTTATAATCACCCATGATATATATACAAACTATTTTAGAAGTGTAAATATTTATAGATATATCAATAAACTCTATTACTAACAGGAAAATGGTGCTTTCATCTCGAACATATTAAATGAAACATATAGGAATACAAACATGTTAATCATTCATCTTCGATGGCAATCTATTTTAATATCACAATATTATTAAATTTATAAACCCAATCCCTTATAGATTAAAATTAAAGCACTATCACTTTCACCACCACCAGCAAGAGCTTCAATCTTTTCTCTTTCGACAACACTTACCTTATCGTCATTGAATTTGTACCATTTATTTTCGTCTTTTTCATCTCTTATGAAAGATTGGTAGTGTCCTGATTCAGAGTTTGCACCTTGATGGGTGATAACACCAATTAGATCATAGACACATGATGGGTTTTCACCAGGTCTTAAATCAGTTGGGAAATGTTTCTTATATTCTTGTAACCAATGTTCTCTGCGGCTATCTTCTAGAGCTTCTTCCGTTTCTTGCTTTTCTCTTGGTGTCATTGTTGTACCATCGGAATCAGAATCATTAACCTTACGCCTTTTCAATTCTCTTTCATCATCAGATTTTTCCTTTTCGATTTTCCTTAATTCTTCACGAATTTTAATCTTTTCTTGCGCATATTCTGGTGTTAGCATGTCTGCAACATCAAGTTGGAATGGGAATTGGACTTTACGTAAAATTTTAGATTTTTTATTTGTAGACCTTTTCCAGAAAAATCTAACATATTGTACTGTTAAATATTTTGGTAATTTTGTGATTTGCTTATCCACTAGATAAGTAGAATTGACACCAGTATGCTCAGATCTTTTCTCTATTTCTTCATGCAAGGATTCTATTAACCCATTTTTCATAAAGTTGGTGGTACCAGAAATATGACATTTTAACTTCGAATCAATTTCGTTTTCTTTGATTGTAACATCATCTTCATTGTTACTGTCTTTGATTGTTGTTCTGAATTGAACCTCAAAATCATCTGTAAACTTTTCACCGAATACAATGTTTAAAGAACTGAAGAGTTGTGTGAACAATTCTTCAGCATCTTGTTGTTTAAAAATACCATTTGCGTTATCTACTTCAGCAAATTGCGGATAACATTTTCTTAATAAATTCAAGAATACAACTGGCATTACGGATTCATAGCTCTTCTTTTGCAAGTTTTCGAAACAACGTTTCAATTCTGAAATCAATTTATAATGAAGTTCATCACCTGGTTGCACATTAGCCTGTTCCTTATATTTCAAAACCATATCTCTCAAACCATCGACTCTGTATAAAGCTTGTAAAGTAGAGTTCATATAACAAGTGTTACCCATATTTAATAGACCGATTGGCATTTGATTAAATTTTTGTCTTTGATGTTCTGGGGCAAGATCTTCGATAAATTTATTAGATTCCTTTGGTTTACTGATCATATCAGCATCTGGAGTACCAAGCAACATAACAGTAGACCCGGGTTTAATAACAGATGACAAATTAGAAATAGTATTATCAGTTAAACCACCTTTAACCATGTATTTTTGACGTTCCATTGGAACCATTGTCAAACCTTGAACCTCATTCTTCAATTCTTCAACAGTTGAACCATTAGACAAGGTAATTGGGTATAGTTTACCAGCATGTTTAATTGTAACTATAATCAAATTTGTTAGTAATCAATGTAGCTTCAAAATAAAAGGTTTTGCCAAGTACTTCGTTTCGTACCTAAATTTTCAAACCAAATGAAAATTCACCCTTTCCAAACCAAACCAAAAATTACACATACATTCAAATTTATCAGAACTCATTTCAATAGAATATTTGTTCCTGAGTCTAATTACCTTTTGATATATTTAAATCTTTGACCTTATAGAAGGTTTTAATGTGGCAAATATATCTCTGTTTATATAATTGATACTTTAAAATAAAGGGAATCAAACATTTAAATATTTTAAATACGACCCGTGTATAATGATACATATTTAGTACAACCCATTTAATTTATACACGTGATCAATTATTGATCACGTGTATCGGTTTATTCTAAAATATGTAGTAGCAAGAGACTGACATACCAAGTCAAAGATATAAAACAGTAAGATTATACAAATTGATATAGTCAAATAAGGTTTAGATCAAGACTTAGAGGAGTTAAAAGATATCCTCAAACTATTATCTTCTTTTTCTCATACCTCTTGCTATTACTTTTAACAGACGACGCTAAAATCCTTCGTAATTGTCGGTAACTATAGATATTGTTTCGAATTCTGATTACTTTGGCTTTAAACACAGACTTATACCAAGTTTTTTTGAATTATATGATCATTAAGAAGTTTTATTTGTTTACTTCATCTAAAATCTTTCAGTTCATAATACATACTGGCTCTACTAGTGACAAGCATACTCAAACTTAATGTATGGGTGAAAATAAAATATATATTAAATATTTTAAAAGTTACTGATTTATATTAGATATTAATAGTAGTTCATTAAAAATTGTTTTACATAAATTATTGCAATCCATTAAGGATTATTATGCTATACCAAATAGGTGTGTGATTGGTGTGATTGGTGTGATTAATGCAATTATTCGAAAATTTAAATTTTATTTTTTTCATTTCCTGTTTCCTGTATGATCTTTATGACCCACCACCTATTGAACTGAGATGGGATGTCACTATACAAATTTGGGAAGAGAAAACAAAACTACCACGATATAAAAATACTCGTTGGATAAATGCTCATTTTTAAATTAATCTTATTGCCTCTGCCGGTATTGGTCAGACTGTTCTCAAATTTATAGATACAAGACTCAACACCAAACATGGAATTGTCTGACATACCATGGTTTTGATGCAAGATACATTTTCTTTTCATGAATTTCCTGTTTAATGATTTCAATATCAACATTTTTACGATCTGTGTCCAGATCGATATCTTTTAATGCAATATATTCCCACCAATGACCAGTAGTGACTCTATAATAAATTTTATGACCGATGAATAAAACTATTAAGATCAATGCACATAAATAGTTTTGGAAAAACTTTTTAGCTCTGGTACCACTATCGGTCCAACCTCCAATTGGCCATAATGCAATATAAAATTGAGCCACCAAGATCAATGCATTTACGATACCCGAATAAACCGAACCCCAGATACCAACTGCACTGACGAATTCCAACTCATCTAAAGTCCTATTTTGAGCCTTCATAGCCAAACGGAATCTAACGTGACAGATGTTTATACTTAACCAAACGATACAAGTCGCCAAACCAGCAATAGCCATTAACCAGTCGAAGACTTCAGTAACAGAACTTGACTTGACTAAGAAAGCTAATAAACCAAAAAGTGAGTTAATAATAATACCAGTTAAAGGTCTACCTGCACGATCAATATATCCGAACCACCATGGAATTAAATGTTGATGAGCCATTGAACATAGAGTTCTGCTAGAGGCAAAAATGCATGAATTACCTACACTTAAAATACTGACCAAGATGACAGCATTGACAATTGAAGGTAAAACTTTAATATTATGGATTTTGATAGCAATAACAAAAGGCGAATTATCAACGGAGGAACCACCTAACAAGTTTGGGTTAGTGTAAGGTACCAAAAATCCAACTAAGGTTAAAGAAACTAAGAAGAAGAATAAAATTCTCCAAAACACTTGTTTGATAGCACTTGGCAATTCTTTTGGATCCGTTTCACCTGAAGCCAAACAAGTCATTTCAGTACCACCTAAGGAATATGATGCCACCACCAAGACTGATAGAACACCTTTAAACCCATGCGCCAGACTACCAGGATTATGCCAGTATTTGGCCCCAATATACTCATGATCTGGACCACCACCTGCGATTAAAACAATGCATAAGATAATGAACCCGCAAATTGTGATGATTTTTACAGTTGAGAAAATGAACTCAGCTTCACCAAAACCACGAGCACCAAATAAGTTTATCGATACTATGACACAGTAGAAGATAGCTACGAATACAACGGGATCGATCGAATCATTCCAATATTGAACTGTGATAGCAGAGGCGATAATTTCTAAAGGCAAGACGAAAAACCATTGTAACACATAAATAGTAGAAACGACAAAACTAATACTTGGATCCAAGAATCTTGTAGTGTAACTGGCAAATGCTCCCACGACAGGGAATCTCACAGTAATTTCACCTAAACCATGGATGGTACCTACGATTTGAGAACCCGCGACAGCCCATCCGATGATTACAGCTAGTGGACCACCAGTTGCTAAAGCTTGACCAGACCCAATGAATAAACCGGTACCTATCGAGCCACCTATAGCGATCATGATAAGATGTCTTGATTTCAATGATTTTTTCAAATTACCAGTATGGAAAGAACCATCTTCTGGAGGTTTAAAAGAATCAATTATACGTCTATAAATGGGCGGTTTTTTCTCCTTCCTTGAAATGGTGCTGAGTGTATCATGAGGTATGAAATTATCGTCTATATTCTTATTGTCGCTTTCTATAATTGTAATGAATTCATTTTTGCTTGATTTATATTTGATATCACTGCTGACATCTTGAGTGCTTAGTGAAAATTCCTCCATAATATTTTGACATATATGGATGGTATGGGTAGTATATGTTGGTCTATTGGAGGGTTGGAAAGATGAAAATTTAATAGTATTAATACAAGAATGTCTTTATAAATGTATATGAATATGAGTATGTATATCAAATAAATCGAAATCTTGAAAAATTCTTTTGAAAAAAAAAGCGGTTACGAACGGGGATCGATCGTACGTTATATTGCGATTTCTGGGAAGGACACCGTAGTGAGGATTGAAAACGATTGTTTTCGAATTTGGCAAGAGACAATGATGAAATATAGTAAATGGTACGGTTTGTACGTTAATGAGATATTACAGTTCTTGGATCGAGTCAAAGTGTATGTGTATGTGTATATATGTATGTGAGATATCCATCTGTGTATGATACATTTCGATGGATGAATATCTTCATTCGTTCTGTATCAAACTTGTCATCAGTATATACATGAACAAACTAATTCTTCTTGTGATTAATATCTATCACGTGACTATATCACTAATGTACGGTCAGGTGATACTCACCTGACCGTACATCCATTCCTTGTTGTGCCCTTTTTCCAAAGCAACAGCAAAAATCATCAACGGCAACGGCAACAGCAACAAACACCAATACACCGCACAGACAGTTTTCCATTGTTTTAGGGTTTCCTTTTTTCTTTTTTGATACAGGACAAATCATTCGCCACGGCTCTATACGAGACTATCACTATCGATATCACTATATACGTGCAGATGACCTCAAACACAAACAAACAAACCAAAAAAAATAAGGATCCAGAGATTCATACGCAGCACGGTTCCTGTTTCCAATTCTCCTGCGTATGTTTCTTCGGTCGACAAATTAAATTCCCAAAAAAAGTGAGCGTTTCTTTTTTTATCCCTCGTTTGACCAATCTATCGGTATCACGTGCTACGATCCTATCCGATGTCTTCCTTTTACAGCAATAACAACAACAAACAAGAACTGCATCCCATCCCATCTCATCTCATCTCATCCCATCAGCTATCTGATAATATCAACTACCAAATGTCAAATACCAACTATCACATACCAAGTACCAAATATCAAATCTCAAATGTCAAATCTCAAATGTCAAATACCAAATACTAAATGCCAAGCTCGATAGCAACACCAATAGCAATCTACACTTACCAGCAGTAATATCACAATATCACAATATCACAATATCTGCTAAGATCTTTTAGCTCGAAGTCATCACTTGAATTCCATCGATATAAATACATCTAGAAGTATACCAATCACTCTCATCACTACTCTTTTGCAACTGGACACTGATTTATAACGTTTATTGGTATTCCCTCTCTCTCTCTTGCATTGTCCATTACCTAACTTCTAAAATTGTCCCTCATCCCCCAACTCAACAGACTACCAATATTATAAATAGCACTCATCGCTACCATCCTACCATTTACAAACAAATCCTTCTGTTCAAACCATGACTGAGGAAGATTGTTTAATATCGAAATTTAAATCTATCAATCTACTCGATCTGAGTCAGATCGATTTAGATCTGATAGACGACATCGTCATACAGAATTCCATCACTTTGAATAATAATGAATCAATTCATTTAGATAATTTGAAAAATTTAACCATCGAAATAAACACATTGATTTCTAATCTAAATGATTTATCTTATTCCAATAAAAAATATGATTTTGCTATATCTCAATTAGAAATTTTGAAAAATTACCATCATTGTATATATTCAAATATTTTAAAAGATCTCAATAGTGCAAGAGATTACATCATTTTAACTACTGGCAACGGTTCTAACTTATCCTTACTACTAAACGATTCTATTACTTTACTATTGGAATTTTGGAAAATTCTAACTAAAAAAATTAACTATTTGAATCTGATAATCATAAGTTATTTCATCTACTATAAGTTATTGATCATAAATTATGAATTGACTCAATTGAATAATCACATTTTATCGATTTTGAATCTACCCAATTTTGATAACTTCGATAACGTCTATTCTAGTCTACAAAAAATTTTAAACTTATTGAATTCATTTAAAGTATTGACAAATGATCTAATAGAAAATTTAATTACTTATCTATTCGAAACAAATTTCAACAAAATAAATGAAACTTTATCCGAGACATTATCATCATTCATAAATTTAAATGATCTTTACAATTTGTCGAATTTCAACCTATTACTATTAGAAATTCAATCAATTACCGATGTAGATTCAAAATCTTCTTCTTCAACTGAAAATCACAATGGAGATGAATCTGAAATGGATCATTCCTTACAATTGATATCTTCAATGCAATCATCAACACCAACTACAAGTGTTTACGACGACCATCTATTCGATTCGTCACTAAGAAGATTATCTATTTCGGAATTTACTGACGTTTCTTCATTGCCTCCTACTAACTTAGGAAGAACCACATTACAAAGAGAATTACCAAATTTATTAGCTGCATTCAATGTAACTAAAAGATTGGAGAATGAATTGGAAAACGTACTAAATGCAAAGGCAAATGTGGATTCAAATTCAAATTCAAATACAAGTTCAAGTTCAAGTCCACAACCTGAAAATTTAAATCCAAATGCAACTGGAAGAATCCCCATGGGTGCTTTAAGTCCATTGTTCAATCAATCAATGTTTAACCAATATTCAAATATGAATAAAAGACATAATCAAATTTACAATAATTCAATGAAATTGAAGAAAACAACTTTGAATCTCCCAAAAGATGATTAAGAATAATCCTCTTACCACACCTTCAAACTCCATTGCATAATGATATATCGATTCAATCTATTGATTTCAATTGAATATATTATATATTCTTTTTTGCCTTAAACATTAAAAACATTTTCTGTAAGCTGACATAGCTAATAACATTTAAACATTAAAACATTTCACGATTTATCAACATTTTTTTTTTATCTCACTATTAACATTTCATGATTCATATTCTTTAATTCTATATATTATAACTTTAATGATCTATTCTATTATTTATCTTCATCCTACTATATGCCACATATCATCATCTTTATCGTATGTGTCGCCTACTTGCTGTCTTGGGAAGCTTGTTGTGGAACCTGCTGGTAGTTGTAAAGTTTCCGTAACAACTTTTGAAACCTTTCCAAATGTCCAATGGAACAATACTACCCTGCACTCCATCTTATGATTGACAATTACATTGTAAAATAACGAATCGACATCATATTGGTCTAATAGCCAGACTAAATCAATGGCATCCTTGGGAATTAAATTTTTAAATCGACCAATTTGCAAAACATTGATCACTAATTTAGTTATCAGTTTAGCAATCTCTTCATCTGTATTAATGGTTTTCTCTTTAATTTCATCACCTTTGTATAATAATGGGAATGATATTATTTGACTATAAATTTCCAAAAATTGAAACATTTTATGTAATGAAGATATTGTCACAGCTTTTGGTAATTTATGGAAATTTTTTAATGATACAACTGGTAAAAATACTAATGTATATGGTATTTCATATGAATTTCTTTTCCTCAGTATAAACCAATCCACCAAAGACTGGCATTCTAATTCTTGTTCTCTTTTAACAACTTCATTTAATTGAAGATATTTAGTTCTAATCTCTTCAATTTCCTTTTTGTTGGCATTGGAAACTTTAGCAACATCAGTAGTTGTAATTTGTAACCTCAATGATTGCAACCTCTGCTGTTTGTTCTCTATCCTTTTAGTCAACTGGCTTATCCTATATCGAACTCGATTATTTCTCTTCGTTCTCTTTAACACTTCGAGTTTATGTAATCGATCAGCTAATATTATACCTTCAGTATCATTATCAGAACTTTTCCAATTCTTATCTAATGCATGACTAAGTATATCCTCAACTTTACCCTTCAACACCTTATTCTTTTGTTGAACCATGAGCAATTGCATTCTTAAAGGGTGAAGCAAATTAGGAGATGTATTGATACAATGTGCACAATACATAGATTGAACATGGTTCCTGCAAACTGAACATTGTATAGTCATTTCTGCTCCATCTCTTGGAGTCTCTATTGTCAAAAACCCTTTCTTAACCCTACCAATGTCTTCTTTGATCACTTTTTGTAGACTTTAGCTTATATTCTTATAATTTCAAAATTAAGGCTATCTTTAAGTCGATGGGATGGCTTTAAATATAACCATCAATTTACAAAGACCTATAATGAGGTATAAGCTAAATAAAACTATCAATGTGTAATAAGTATTAGAGAATAATGGATCGAATATAATTTGTATCGTAATTTATTGTTTATCCTTCTTAGTAAGAAGTTTCACTATAGTGAGTTGTTGTTATAGGGTATCGTTGTTTTATAAAGTCTTACAAGAATAACTAATAGAATAAAATTATATAAGTTAGACTAGATAAATGCTTGTAATTTATGGGGATATTGAGAATTAAATTTCATTGATGATACAGGAAGGATAAAATTTGATAATACATTTCCATAAATTAGATGTTGACTTGTGCTTCTCTTTGCAATAAGAGAGGACTTAAAAGAAAACAACATTGAATTTAAATTCAGAGCAAAAAATATCAAATTAATTGCCATGGAACATCATGCTATTTCTCTTTTTACGATGCATTGGATTGTGTGAAACTGAGGAAACTCTAGAACCAGGCAATTGTATGTTAGAATTGTTGTGTTGAGATGGATTAGAATTTGAATTTGAAGCTTGATTTTGATTCTGGCCAAATTTATTCGTTCCATTTAATGAAGGTGAAGATGGTGAAGAAAATGGTTCTGTGTTAGTAGAAGGAAGTCTACTACTTGGTTTTCGTAGTGAACCACTTCTTTTAACACCTGGTAAAGTACCAGGAATACCCGAATTTGATGAAGATAATGATTTTGTACCACCATAAAAACTACTTCTCTTTATATGGCTAGGCAATGAAGATCCAGAATTATTAAAACTGTTTGGTGATACAGTTCTCAATTTAACCATTCTTAATGGTTCTTCGTTACCAGAGCTTTGGTTATGGCTATTGTTATTGTTATTATTGAATTGTTGTCTATTTTCAGAAGATGATTGCGACGACATTGAAGTGGATCTTGATTCCAAAATTTCCAAAGTTCTGTCTCTAACTAGTTCCTTGAAATTATTAGGAATCTCTAAATTCATCTGTTGAGCATAATCTATAACTAAAATTTTTGATTCTTTGTATAAATTGACCCAATTTGGTAAATCTAATTCTTGTATTGCACTTTCACATTTAGTGATAATAATATTGTTCAACGATTCATTGATTTCTTTTAATTGGTTAAAACTATTGTTATAATTATCAATTTTTTCTTCTACCAATTTATTGTTTTCATTAGTGCGCTTTAGATAATTTTCTTGTTCTGTGGTTAAATCTTCCAATGATCTCTTTAACTGATTGATTTCCTGTAAATACTTATCTTTATAATATTCATGTGAATCAATCAAAGAATTGTATTGATTCTCGATCATTGACATCTCTTCTTTCAGTTTAGTTTCACTAGCACTAGTTTTATTTAAATCATCATCTAATACTTTCTTTTCAGTGGTAATTTTATCAAATTTCTCCTTTAACTCCTCTAATTCCAGTTCGGTGTCTTTCAATTTTCTTGTCTTCCTATTTAGCATTGTACTCAAATTATCATTTTCATGTCTTAGAGAAGCAATATTTTCCATAAACTTACCTTCACGTTGTTGAGAATTTTCTAATTTCTCTAGTAACCCTTGTGATTGTACAGTTAACTTCAAATTAGTGTTAGTCAACGCATCGATTTGTTCATGCAATGCCTCAATAACTTTAGTACTACTGATGCTACCACTATTGTTATTGTTATTACTGCTATTATTATTATTATTTGAATTAGGACCAGAACCTATTTGAGAAGAACCACTAACGGAACCATTAACAGAACCACCACTCACACTGGACGGCCTCATAATTTTCTGAGGTGAGCCATTCATACTAGCCATAAATACGCCATGACTGGACACAACCTTGTTTGGAGGTAATAATTCACTATCATCCTCATTGCTGATCCTGCTATCTTCTAGACTCATGATGAGAATCAATCTTTAAAACTTACTCGTTTCAAAAAGTAATAAATGTAAAAATGATAGTAAAAGAACAAAAATACAAAAGAAAAAAAAATAAAATGCAATACCAGAAAACAATACCTTTTTTAACGTACCAAGTTGAACCTTCTTGCAATTAATTCTATAACCTTTTTGTTATTATTTATTAAAAAATCCTTCAGTATAGATTTTGATCTGATCTAAAATCTTAGCTATGCAATATCTCCCAATTGTAAGACCTCTGGAAATCTAAAACAAGCTCAATACCAATCCACTAATAGCCACTGAATGATAGCAATATCCTGGCCTCCTATCGATAGTTTTACTCCAACAATAACCCAAAAATCAACACTTGATCTTATACTCATCTCAGTGTATTCTAGATCAATCTTTGCCATTAACATTTTTTTGATCTTTAAAACTTCAAAACAAAATACCTTTAAAATTATCATTTAGCACGTAAACTGCTAAAAGGCGGGTAATAAAGAGTCATGCTTGTTCGTGGTTGATGATGGAAATAACGTGATAATCATGTGTTGTGATATATTGGTAGCGACGTGAAATTGACACTTTTATGGTATAGTTTATAGTATACTGTCTGTACTATATTGTCCTATTGTATTGTTGTATGATCTATATTCATAGTATCTGTCAGTTTCTACAAACTCTCTATATCTCTTCTCATATCAAGTTTAAGATGATTTAGGTTGAGTAATAATTAAATCATGATGTCACATAAAACAATCTTTATTTTAAATTTAAATACACTAACTATAATGGATATCAATCGGAACAAAATTTATATACCTACACACAAATATATATGCGTCTATAAATTCATTGAACCAATTTTATGAATTACAGTATTACTATCCTATTGCTCAACGAAGGTTGAAATGGACAGATTTAGTTTGTAAATATGATTCAACACCGGTTGCCCCCAGTTCTCTTCCAATCCCGCTCATCTTAAATCCTCCAAATGGCATCCCAATACACTCATCATTAGAACTATTGATCCACACTGTCCCAGCTTCAACTTCCTTAGTGAATTGATGGGCTAACCGATAGTCCTCGGTGAATGCTGCTGCTGCCAAACCATATCTACTGTCATTAACTAGTTTTACCACTTCGTCATATGTAGTAAACTTAGATATCGTCAAGACAGGACCAAATATCTCATTTTGAATCAGAACTGAAGTTTGTGGAACATCTGTGAATATGACAGGGTTGATATAGTTGCCCTTGCATTCTCCAAGTTCTTTAAAAATATCAATACGGTTCAATTTCTCTATGTGAGAACCTACATGAATAAAATCTGTGACTCTGTCATATTGGGTATTATTTATGATTGGACCCAGAGTCCCATCGTCATCGAATGGGTCAAATGTAGAACTTATTTTCCAATTCTGTTTGATCTCTTCTACAATCTTGCTTATCAACTCGTTATAGATATTTTTATCAGCATAAACTCTTGATGTCGCAGTACAATTTTGGCCACTGTTGTAACATATCCCAGTTGCTATCCAGGAGGCAGCGTTATCTAGATTAGCATCCCGGAAGACTACAGCTGGTGATTTCCCTCCACACTCCAAGGTGACATCTTTCATATTGCTCTGGCCTGACATTTCCATCATTAACTTACCAACTCTTGTGCTGCCAGTAAATGATAGTTTTTGAAGTTTATCACTCATAGCTATAGCTCTCCCAGTAATTTCACCATATCCAGGTATTATATTTACAACACCAGGAGGTAATCCTGCCTCTACAAGTAACTTGCCATAGTATAGCAATGACAGTGAGGTGTGTTCTGATGGTTTAATTACAACTGTATTCCCTGCAGCTAGACATCCAAACAGTTTCCAGGCTGCCATTGCCAAAGGATAATTCCATGGTACTATTAAACCAACTACGCCATATGGTTGTTTAACAGTATAACGATGGTAATTATTTTCAGTAATAAACGTTTCACCTGTAGTTAATTTATCACAACTTCCTGAATAATATCTAATTACTTCTAAAATTTGATCAATGTCATTTAAGCTATTAGAATGAAAAGGTTTGCCAGTATCTAATGTTTCAATTGTACCTAGAAGTTCTCGATTCTTCTTTGTCAAATGATACAACTTGTCCAAGAGCTCAGAACGTTCATTTGGTGTCGTATTTGACCAGCTGCTACAATATGCTCTCTCTGCAACATCAATTGCAAGATTTGTATCTTTCTCAGAAGCTGCATAGAATGAAACAATGTATTCACCATTACTTGGATTAAAAGTTTTAATCTTCTCTTGGTCTGAGGACTTTACGAATTCATTATTAATGAATAAACCCAGAGGTTGATTATATTCGACTGAGACGCCGTGAATATTAGAAACTTTGGTTACTGTCGACATCACTAAAAACTATGAAATTGATTACATACTTTGCATTGATCGATGGAATTATTTTAGATTGGTGAGTTTTACTTTAACTTGGTTACTTTCAATGTTTTATACTAAAATTTAATATTTAGGGGTATTTAAACAGCAAATGTTCAAATCAACTGACTGAAAAGCAAAACCTCAAATTTGACAGAATCATGCATTGCTAAAAAAAATTTGTGAGACGGTAATGCATGACGTACAATTTTAATCGGTTCAGTTGTGCCATTCATTCTTTAGCAAGACTATCAAAAAACATCAGAAATATAAACATATCATGCTCTTACTTCTATATATACCTCTAAATATTCTAAAACAGAAAAACCTTTATATACAGAAGATGAAATATTGGATCGTAATGTAGCCTCTTGTCCTAATATAATGCTTGACTACATTCATGCTGACTGTTTCAATTATGATAGATCAAACCTTGCACCAGAATTAATTGCATATAATAACTTCTCTTTCATAACTTTTTTATCTTTATAATCTGGCAATTTCAACAAATTTACACAGGTAGAAGCAGTTGGTAATCGATCTGAATCTGACCCTGAATTTCTTATGCCAAACTTTGGATTTAATGAGCCAAACCCTTGTAATGGTCCTCTTGGCACCGACGTTACAAATTTAATAAAATTCAAACGTTCTTCAGGTTCAAATTCCTTTAGAATTTCCCAAAAGTTTTTAACTGTAACATCACCTTCTTCAAATCCACCATATACTGTATTTTGTTTTAAATCATTTAAATCAATATCTCTATCACCCCCTGATATCAGCATTTGTAATTCAACAGAATTGAACATCTCCATCCAGTGTGGTGCAATTATCATACTCATCCCACCATGGAAATAAGAGACTTGTCTGAATTGGCTTTTGTTTAGTTTAAAATCTGAAATTAGGAATATATATTGTAAGACATTACCCTTGTTAACTTTAATTGATGACCCGTTTGGTAATAATTCGACTACCTTTGATACATCAGATTCATCTGTTAATTCAAATGTCAAATCCAGATCTTCAATTTCTGCAGCTGACATAGTTAATAATTTGACCAAATTCTGATATAGTGAAGAGTCTAAACTAGATAAATCATCAAATGACGATGAGAAATGATTTGAATAATTTAGTAATTTTTTAACGAAGAAGTCAGTAAATTTAACGTCAATAAGTACTCTGTCATATAAACACTTCCCAACTATTTTCCCCAAGAACCATAAATATTTCAATTGTACTGGATTTAAATTCAAGTTAGGATATAGTTCATGTTTATCATTTGTCAAAAATAATTTATATTTCTCATTCTTGAACCCTTCTTCTGAGACACTTGTCAAAAATTCTTTGGTTATACCACCGCCATCAATACCAGCTTCAGGACCGAATTCATTAACAAATGTCACAGAAAGCTTGGATTTGATTCTTTCACCAATTTGATTAAATGATTCATATGCATCTTCTAATACATGTTCTCTCGATATTGTGATTGATGATCTGGGCTGGGCTGATTCTGAAATCATGAACGAAAAAGGATCAAGCATGCTGTTATCACTGTCGAGACTTAAACGATGTTTATCAATAGCAATAAATGTATAAAATAAATCAACACGCTGGTCAAATGGTATAAAAAATGGGGCCTTGATAAGAATTTCGAACTTTTTGAATTGTCTTGTACTATAAGAAGTTGTATTTGAATTCTTAAATTTTTGAAAGATCTTGATTTTATCAGAAATAGTATTATTAGAATTAAATGAAATTGAATCATCGATGTCTAATTTTTTATCTGCATATTCTCTGTATAATTTTTCATAATCGTCTAGATATTTGAAGACATTGACACTTAAGAATGAATCATCTTCACTAACCCAAAACTGTGGATTTTCCTTTGAAGTACAGAAATGTAGTCTTGAATCTTTAAAATAAATTCTTCTTAATAGAGACAATGCTGTGATCATGACCTCTTCTTTCACTGTTGTGGCACTCCATAACTGATCAAATACAAACTTTTTCAGCATCGAGGAAAACTCTATCAAGTTACCAATTGAAAAAGTAGAAGAGTTGTTCAACAATTCGTGATCTGTAGTCACCAATAAATAAGTTTCCAACAAATGTATAAAGAATAATAAATCCTTTACATTTTCATCATTGTATTCCTCCAGATGAGAATTTTGTAGAGTATTATATATAGTCCCCAAAAAGTTTGGTCTTGATAAAAGCTTAATGACAATTGAATCCTTTTTACCAAACAGCACCGAACAATCGACAAATGACACCAAGGTGGAAACATTAATATCATCATAAGTTTTATCCTCCACTAGCGTCACTAGTCTGTCACAAAAATCCCCGTCAAATAATGTTTTAGTATAATTTTTGGTTACTTCATTGACTTTTTCATATTTAACGATATGAAAGCACCTTGCTACCAATAATATAATTTCTTTAAGATCTTTAGAACTCTGATATGCAATTGAAAGGTTCTCTAAAAATAGAGAACTATTACTAGGGTTCCCAGGAATTATATTTCTTGATCCCAGTGCTGTGAAAAATTGTATTACTAAATCTGATGATTCTGCCAAACCTAAATCTATTTCGTAGAGATCAACAACAATATCCATTTCATAATGGCACCATTTCTGAATCACATCACAGATGATTGTACAAGATTCCTGGGAAAGAGAAGTGGTGCTTAAGATAAATCTCTTCAAACTTTGAATTAAAAGCGACGGTAATGGTATGGATAAGTTAAAACAACTGATAATATCTTGAAATATATTATCATCTGCTAAACCTGATAAAAGAGATAACATTTGAGAATTCCCAAATCCATTCGAATAACTACTAATATAAGGCTGTGACACCTGCAAACATCTCTTCAATTCCTCTTGTTTAACATATTTCAACAGTCTATTACCAAAAGTAAGTAATAGATGCTGCAAAACATCAATCTCTCCAAGTCTAGAAACACAATCACCACAGATCTCACGATTGGACAACTCCCTTCTAATAACACTCTGAATAAACGTTATCGAATCATTCTCTAACCTTTCAACAGCTCTTCTTTCCCTTTCTTGTTGGGCTTTTAGTAATATGTCCCTTTTAGAGGCTCTAGATGATGTACCCAAATTGACATTTCGTCTCTTCGTCTGACCTGTAAAGTTAAACATCTACAAACTGAACTCAAACAAATCTATCAACGACCTAATCAAACCTATCCCTTAACTTATTTGAACCTATATAGATACTATTATTCAAAGTTCTTGATTCTTTTATACCTTTAAATTATTATCGATATCAGTTTTATAGCAAACTAATGCCGATTAGCCTACGTTGAAAGGTTTGAGCTTCACTTATAAAAGAGATGAGATGAGATGAGATAAGATGAGATAAAATGAGACGAATTTAAGGTTAAAATAAGACCATATCAGTTCTACTTTGATGCCAGACTTGTTGTTGATTGTGTTGTTAAGATTTGCTAATGCTTGCTTAACGAGAACTTTTTTCCAAGCTGATGAGTTTTGGCAATCTTTGGAGCCAGCTCATGTAATGGCATTTGGATATGGTGAATTAACTTGGGAATGGAAGTTTGGTCTTAGAAGTTATGCATTTCCTTTACTATTCGAAATATTGTATCGTTTTATTCTGCTGATTATCAGGCTATATCCTATTTTTGTTGGCGTTTTATTGAAGGTTTTGGGTTGGCTTCCCTTAACACAGGAAACATTGATATCTTGGGGAACTTTCTTCAATTCTGAGTCTACTATAAGCAGAATTGAATACCTTGGTGTAATTTACGGTCCAAAGTTGTTGATGTCTGTCATTAGTGGACTGGGTGAATATTACACTTTATTATTCGTTCAAAAGTTATATTTGTTAACATTTGTTAAAGAAAATGATAATAAACCAAGTCATTTGAAAAATAATGTGTATATTATAGCAAAAGTGCTAACATTATCAAACTTATTTAATTGTTTTTGTATTTCAAGAACTTTTATCAATTCTTTTGAAATGTCATTGACTGCAATTTCATTATACTATTGGGATTGGACTCAAGGTAATAATATAAATTCAAAAGATTTCAAAATATCATTATTCATTGCAATATCCACTTGCCTGCAAAGACCAAGTAATGGGCTGATATGGCTAGTGTTGGGTGGGACTCTATTGTTAAATCTTTCCATGAATCGTAGATATAAGGACATTTTTATGCTTCTAAGAAAAATCATTGAAATGTTCTTACTGGCCTTTGCTCTAAACACTTCAATAGATTATTATTTTTACAAAGAGTTGACTTTTCCAATCTTTAGATTCATTAAATTCAATTTCACAAGTCCATTGTCAAGATTTTATGGAGTAGCGCCATGGAATTTCCATCTATTTCAAAGTTTACCAATTTTATTGGGTTATAGTTTACCATTTTTCATATATGGATTATGTGTGAGAATCCCTACAAGAGAGGATAAGTCAAGTATTTGGAATCCAATTGTTACTGTAAAATTATCCATCGTTATAAATATTATAATCTTTTCAGTTTTATCACACAAAGAGTTTAGATTTATTTATCAATTACAACCATTGTTTATCCTGATAAGCACAATGGCAATATCGAAATTGAATCTCAGTGAATATCTGACATTGAAGAGATTATCATTTTTGAAATATCTAGTTCCTTTGGTTTCTGTTTTGATATCACTGACCCTCTGTTACTGCCATGAATCTGGTTCCATCGCAGTTATGAAATATTTGCATAATAAAAAAACAATTGATAGTTTAGGATTTATCATGCCATGTCATTCAACGCCATGGCAGTCATACCTACATAGGAATGATATCAAGAGTCTTTGGGCAATTACTTGTGATCCACCTTTACATCTCTTGGAAGATAAAGATGCTATTGAAAAATTGCAATACTATATGGATGAAAGTGATTATTTATATGATAACATACCCAAATTCATGTCAGATTACTTCCCATCCTTGACCATTAACAATGATGGAAAGAATAAAGAATATGAGTGGCCAGAATATTTGGTCATTTTTGAACATTTAGATGATGAATATATGAATACTTATTTACAGGACTCTATATACACTGAAGAAATAAGATTTTTCAATTCTTTGGTACATTGGGATCACAGAAGGGCTGGTGATTTAATAGTCTATCATAAATCTCAAGGATGATGTTTCAATTGTGCGTCACAAATAAGTAATTACAAGTTCCATCTGTTGTTGTCGTCGTTAGTCAAAGGTTTTGTAGTTTCTACATCGGTTTTGATAGTTTCAGCATCGGCTTTGATAATTTCAACATCCTTTTTCGTAGTGTCAGAATCTGTTACAGGTATTTTCAATTTTTTGATGCTTGATTCACGACTAGCCAAGAAAATATCAATTAATGGTTTATGATCGAAATTAACTTCCTTCAGTTTTTCTAAACTTTTAATACATAAAATTGCAGATTTTGTATCCTTTAACTTTAGACAACAGTCAAAAAATCCAAAATAACATTCCACATCGTACAATTCCATACCTAATTTAAACCATTCATAAGCCTTGTCATTACTATTATAATAATTCATTTCCAGATATCCTAGTGATCTAAATGCTTCTTTGAAACCCTGTGTTGCACATAATTCCAACAAAGTTCTAGCTAGTTGTGGATACGAATTCATGTTAATTTGTGCTAAGTAATAATATGATCGTACTGATAAATCCATTGGAGTCAACTTGACACTTTTCTTAAAATGTTCTTCTGCTTTAAATACATTTGCCCTTCTAAAATAAAGTTCACCAAGTTGGCCATAAACTTCACCTGCCAATACAGTATCATCTTCTAATTCTAAGAACTTTTTGTAATATTTCTCAGCTTCAACGTCGTTATGTTGCCTCAAAGATAAATCACCGATAAATTTGATAGTCATAGGATGCTGACTCTTATATAATTGTTTAGTTAACATTCGAGCATAATCTATATCCTCATCTGTGCTGTTTTTAGGATCTTTAAGCACATCGAAGCTTAAAATTGCAATAGCATCTTGATTACCCACATCTGCCGCTTTATCAAGTATACTATTCTCCAATACCAATAGATGTTTGTTAGTTGCTTTAGTCTTACGTCTAGTCCTTTCTAACACTTTTTTCATCAACATTAAATCATCTCCTGTGATACCTTTCCATAGTTTATTTGCAGTTATTTCAACCTCATCATTATCCATGTTCTCATAAAAATATTTGAACAAAGGTTGAAGTTTAGAATAAGTAAGTCTACTATCTAAATCAAACAATATCTTCTTGATAAACTTCTGTTTAGGGAATACAGTCTCGAATAGAGGTCTATTGATACTAGAAACGTTTGAATATTGCCTAACCCATTTAATTTGAAACCTAAGCATCTTGAAGTCAAATTAAATCCAACTAACTCAATCAACACCTAAAAGAACACTATATAGTGATGCAATCTGTTATCAATACCATAACTCAATTGGACCTTTGTATTAAATCTATTAACTTATCTATAACTACTTCCATAGTAAAGTGAACTGTTGTTATATAGATGATGGATGGTACCCGAATTCTTCAAAGCTTGATGGATATCAATATTTTAGAGACATAATAATAATCTTATGTGAGATGTTTAAAACAAGAATTCAATATATCATTCTATATACTATATTAAATTATATTATATTGTACACTTTATTCTTAATGCAAAATGGCAAATTGTCTTTCTTTTCAACTTTTTATCTTAATTGAAGAAGGATCAGATGGTGGTGGAATTTCTTTAAAATATTCACTCTCTAAACATTGAGCAGCAGTCCATCTCTTTACAGGATTCATTGTCAACATGTTACACATGAAATTCAATGCATTTTCACTTGCAGCAATGAATCTTTTTCTCAATTCATCTCTTGAAGGAGGTGGGTAAATTTGTAATTTATTATACAATGAAAATGTCGAAACCTCTGGCCAGTCTCTGTCTGTAGGTGTTCCTAAGGCTCTGAAAGTAACATCCATTTGTTCCAGATCGTTTTGTCCTGGTAGATATGGAATTCTTAACATAAGTTCTGCAAAAATGATCCCTACTGACCAAATATCAATGGCTGAAGTATAATGGTTAGCGCCAAATAATAATTCTGGGGCTCTATACCATCGAGTAACAACGTTACTAGTCAATGATTCATGGGGAGAAGGGACAGCTCTGGCTAAACCAAAATCCGCCACTTTAATCTGACCATCGGGAGATAACAACAAGTTATTTGGTTTCAAATCTCTATGCATAATAAAATTTCTATGACAATGATAAACACCTCTCAAAGTCATCAACATCCATGATTTGATATCAGCTGGAGTGAAAAGGATATTCTTATCCTTAATGATAACTTCCAGATCCGTAGGCAAAAACTCCAAAACCAAGTTCAAATTGTCATAAGCCATAAATATATCAACCAATTCAATTACATTGACGTGTTGGATCTCTTGAAGGTATTTAACTTCCCTTATAGCAGACATATCCAACCCATCCTTAAATTCAGACGTCTTGATCTCTTTTATAGCGATCTTACGACCTGTAGATTGCTTAGTACCTAAATAAACAACAGCATAAGTACCTTCACCAACTTTTTTCTCTAAATACAATCAATTTAAATCAAAAAGTGTAACCATCATTGTTCAGTTTTTGATTATTCAATTTAACCTGTTAGTCAACAACTATTCTCTGAAATATCTCTCTTAAAAACGAGGTTCAAATTAAAACATACCTTTAGTATACTCTGATACTATCACTGTACCATCAATATCATTGTTAGCCATCTTGAGACAACTATTTAATGCCGTTCTTAGTCTTGAAACCTTCTTCTTATTGAATGGTTGATAATTCTTCAACATCTTAAATAGCCTTCTCTTTATAAAAGTAAAAAATTATTTCGATATCAGTAGTGATGGGATCCATTTTGGATTAAGACAAAGTTGTTTTACATGAGATCAAGAGTCTATGTGTGTGTGGGGGGTATATCAGTAAGGTTATTGGTTGTTGAATGATGGTATTTCGAGTTAATCCTTTTATTCCTCGTTTGTTCCAGGTCTCTAGGTTAACGGCAAGACGATTTCAAAGTACTTTAGATGCTTCATTAGTACAATTGAAAGAGCTTCATCCATCTTTATTGCAGAAAGCTGAGAGTTATTGTGATGAATTGGATAAGTTGAAGAAAGATATGTTTGATGGGAATGCCTTTGATGTTGAACAACAGAAGAAGTATGCAAGGTTTTCTACAATTGCCGATGCCTTTCATGAATATAAATCACAATTAGATGATTATAAAGGGTTAAACGAGATGATAAAGTCAGATCCTGCATTGAAAGATGAAGCTTCTCAAGAATTGGAACAACTTATACCACTGCTGAATCGTAGTTCTTCGGTTTTGTTGGATAAATTGTTACCACCGCATGAGTTTGCTGATAAACCTTGTATCATCGAGTTGAGACCTGGTGTTGGTGGTATAGAGGCAATGATATTTGCTCAAGACTTATTGAATATGTACATTGGATATGCCACCAGCAAGAAATGGAAACATGAGATCATCTCCAGAAATGAGAATGAAAGTGGTTCCGGGATCGTTGATGCCATTTTAAGTATCAACGAACCAGGCGCTTATGATAGAATGCGACTAGAAGTCGGTGTCCATAGAGTCCAAAGGGTTCCAGCAACAGAAACCAAGGGCAGAACACATACATCGACAGCAGCAGTTGTGGTTCTCCCACAGCTTGGGAATGGATCGGAGAGAGAAGCAGAGGCTTACGAAAGAACTTTTAAACCTGATGAAATTCGTATTGACGTGATGAGAGCTAGAGGGAAAGGTGGACAACATGTCAATACTACTGATTCGGCAGTCAGATTGACACATTTCCCATCTGGTATTGTGATATCTATGCAAGACGAGAGATCTCAACATAAGAACAAAGCAAAAGCTTTTGCAATTTTGAAATCAAAATTAGCTGAAATTGAACGTTTAGAGAAGGAAGAGAAAGAAAGGTCAGCACGTAAAGAACAAGTCAGCACAACAGACAGGTCAGATAAGATAAGAACATACAATTATCCACAGAATCGAATCACTGACCATCGTTGTGGATTAACATTATACGCATTAAACGAAGTCATCACAGGGGAAAGATTGGATGAAGTCATGGACGTGGTTAAAGCACACGACACAGATGAAAGATCCCAAAGACTACTCAATGAGCAACCAAATTAAAAGAAACACCTCTTGTAAATATATATCTAAACATTCAAACATTTTCATAAATAATCATATTTTATATTTAATCACATTTTGAATATTCTATCTCATCACATTGTCCCCCTCCTGCTCCTCCTTCTCCTCCTAGCCTTAACTTCATCAATTTTGGTCAGAACAAAATGATCCAACCACCAAATCAAAACTACAAGTAAAACCAAATATAAATAACCACTCCAATGGCTTCCATCATGACTACTTCATGGTCAAAACCAGACACCTGTCCTTTCATTATTATGTCATCCTCTATACGAATCTAAAGCCAAAATTTGAAAAGACCTTTAAATTTAAAGGTCAAAAATCTAAAAACGATATTTAAAAGACAGAAGATGATGATGAAGATGATGATTGATTAGAAGATGATTATAATGGTAGTTTAAGGTTTATATTTTTTAGTTATATGATCGATGAGTTGGTATTGAAGAAAGTCACATTAATCTGATGGGTAATTTCTGGTACTATGACAGATGACAAGAAGAGTGATACATTATTCTTTTATAAATCAGCAGTCAAGATCGGTGAATTGGAGAGATATGTCATTACTTATAACTTGTATGAGGGAGATACAATACCGGATGACTTGAGTTTAGATTTATTATGGATACAGATTAAAAATATTGAGAGTTTATCTTATCGAGCTGCCTATTTAGTTGGGCCTTTTACTCTTTATTGTGATGTCAAGACAGGTGATTATCATCATTCGCAAAAGATAATATCAAGTTTAGATCAACCTAAATTTGAGGCTAATTTACAAGCACAGCAAACTTTTCAAGCTGAATTATCTCTTCACACTATTAAGAAACAATATGTATGGATTGTTGATATTATGAGTCAGATTGTTTTCACTACAAATACTCAAACAGCATTTGAAATTAAGATTACTAGGTCCAGGCAATCCCTGTTTAATAATAATTCAATTGATTCAGAGATGGGGTCTCATTCGCCAAGTTTAACAGTTTCAAGAATGAATACGTTGGATATTTGGAATTTACCAAAATCTTTGTGTAATGCTAAAAAGAAGAAGCATTTGGTTATATTGACACATGGGCTACATTCAAACGTTACTGCAGATATGGAATATACCATGGAACAAATTTATAAAGCACAGGGGAAATTTCCTAATGAAGAGTTAATAGTTCAAGGTTACACTGGTAATGTATGTCAGACCGAAAAAGGTGTGAAATATCTTGGATCGAATCTAGCCAAATATATTGTTAAAGAATTATACGATGAATCAATAGTTAAAATCTCATTTATTGGCCATTCTTTGGGTGGGTTAGTACAGACATTTGCCTTAGCATTCATTTCTGTTAAATATTCATGGTTTTTCGAGAAAGTTGAACCAGTTAATTTTATCACTATAGCCTCTCCATTGTTAGGATTGGTAACAAATAACCCAACGTATGTCAATATGCTATTATCAATGGGTGTCATTGGAAGAACTGGCCAAGATATTAGTTTAGAAGCATATGGGAAGGAAGCCGAACCTCTCCTATTTAAACTACCGGGTGATCCTGTTAAAGATGTATTAAAGAAATTTAAAAGAAGGACGATATACGCAAATGCAATTAATGACGGTATTGTACCATTATACTCATCGTCTTTATTGTTTTTGGACTACAATGATGTTTTAAACAATTTAAAAAAATTATCAGATTTTAAAAACCTTGATATCGATAGTAGTGACATAGAGTCAATTTTCCAATCTGAAGAATTGAATCAAGTAGATCTAACGCATACAATTAAAAAATCATTTGTATCTCCGTTTACAAAAATATTAAATAGTTGGACTCCTCATAATTATCATTCTGCTGGACATTCCAAAATCCCCAAATTATCAATGTTTGAATCCGCAACATCTGTATTGATGCCACCTTTACCTGACAAAAATTATATTTTAGATCCTAATTCAAGAGAACCAATTATAGTTCACGATAAAATTTACACAGAGGCTGACTTGCCTGATCCTAATTCGTCAAATAAAGATGATCTGCTACATAGTGATAACATCCTTCTTAAGACATTGACTATAGCAAGAGGTGATAATATTAGAGGTCAAACATTGGAAGAAAGTATTGCAAGAAAATGGCATGAAGGTCTCTCTTGGAGGAAAGTCATAGTTGCATTGAAACCAGATGCACATAATAATATTATTGTGAGAAGGAGATTCGCAAACGCACATGGTTGGTTAGTAGTTGACCATTTAATAGATACACATTTTTCTGGAGATGACGATATTACAAGGAATGATACTAACCCAATGGATATAACCACGAAAGACATAAAAACAGCCAATTCATTGGATAATTCTACAGTAGAGCCCAATAAGAAATATGCATGGATCACAAGAGTAGATAATTCAAGCGTATTTGACGAAGGTCCCACTGGTATGATATCCACTGTAAGCGAGATGTTCGATGTATTTACAAAACGTAAGATAATAATCACAAATGAAAACAATTCAACAACAGCAGCGACATCGACTAACACTACTACAACTACCTCGACATCTACATATACTAGCACGACAAATATCGAAGAAAGAAGAAATTCATTTGAAGCCTTTAATAGCGATTTTTTACTATAATGAACCATGGTATCATATTAAGAAAACATAAGTTCAGCCAAGTGACATCAAACACATAGTCTCTAAGACAAATCCATATATTATTTTGATTTTATTTTTCAATAATTATTTATTATTTTGCATAAATTGGAACCAATTATCTAGTTCAGTTCGTAATTTTTTTATAAAACCATATCTTATTATGCTTTTTAAGACCAATCAACTTAAATACAACTGGATCAAACTAAAATCGAAATGACACAGCTTCATTCACTTAATTGCAATTGCATTGAGAATATTATCGCTGTTAACATGGAATCTCCTTGGCAAATATGTATGGTTCCTGACACTTTTAATATCAAGAAACTCATCGGGTTTATTAAAATTGACAACATTTAACTTTAAAAGGTAAACATGTATCAGGGGTTAAAAGTATATAAACAAGAGATTTAAAACAGTAGCAACTTTCGACAAGAACTACTTGTAAGTATATATAGTTGTATCTATTGGTGTATATAGCTGTTAGGTCCCAACTTTTATTTTGAACAAAGGCTTTCGAATTTGATATTAAGAAACAACCAAAGATGACAAGTGCAAGTGGGGTTAGAAGACCTATAATTATTGAAGAGTTTAGAACTGCTATTAGAGATATGGGAACTGATGAATTGAACACAATTAGAGCTGAGATTGAGAATAGTGTCAGACATTTGGAAAGATCCAATAAACGGTTGGAAATGTACGTGGCAAAATTAATGGGGGAACCTCATGAAGTAGACAACGAATATTTGGATGAGAATGAAAACATCAATATGGATGATTTGAAGCTGTTCCAAGAATCTATTAGGGAAAACAACATTGTCTTGTCCAACCATAGAGATAGATTAGAAGCTTTAAACCAAGAAACTATATACAGAGTATCTGGTACCTCCAAGAACATTAATGGTGTAGTAAATAATAATGGGAAAATGGATATTGATTCAGAGATGGAAAAGAGTGCTCCTAGCAGCATCTATTTATAAAAATACATGATCATATCCTAAGTTGCATTTCTACTCAACTGGTTAATGAAATTTTTAATGTATCCTTACGACTATATGCTTGATGAAAATATTTTAAACGTAATGTATGTAGATAGGTTATTGTTATATACAAATAGCAGTAGATCTCTAGATGTATATATCCACACAAACACATATATACCTGTTTAATCGATTGTAATCTGAAATGGATTGATATAGTTTAACTATTATTTGCAATGCAATGTCATACATAGCCTTGACAAGATAGCTTCTGTCGAATAATGACACAAATAAAAGTGATGTGATTCTTTTAGTATAACCGAATTATATTGAAAATACTATTACTTTAAGCTCAAACTTAGATATAAAGGGTCAAGATTACCCATCAATTTAATTTTGCTATAGATGAAACATAGTTATTTTATATTAGATATAACCATACTTTTAGTGCTATTATGTTCTATAAAGGCCAGCTGTGAAGATGGACAAGACACTAGAAATATCATCAAGAAGGGCTTATCATCCGGGATACTGAACTTCAAATTATTGCCATTTAAAAAGAGTATAGATTCATTAACAAGTTATCAAATGGGAGATCCGATTGATGACAGTATATTTTGTATTGACTTTAAAATTGATGATACAAGAATAAGCCCATCGGTGATTCATATAAAGGTAACAGACCACTTGCCTTTCAAATTTAGTAGGAGACTGTTTGATGAAAATTTAGATTCATACAGCTGTAAGCAGAATTTGGAAATGATGATTAGGGCAAAGAAGGAAAACAGTATCATAAGATACTGTAATAGTTTGCCAACTGGCAACAATTTCATTCAATTTAATTCACCAAAAACTGCAGAATATCAAATTTGTTTCCGTAATATAATTAGGGACTTCTCATGGACCAGAAGGAACTTTGAGAAACTGATATCAATAGAAATAACTGACAGATATAATTATCTAAATAGAAATTATAGAGAATTAGAAGAAAATGTTATTCCTCGAACGAAAAAGGCAATTACTCAATCAATTTCAGATATTTTTGATATAAATACACAATCAAGTGAATATAATTTCCGACATTTATTAAAATTAGAAGAAGAACGTCGAAATTTGAACGAATTGACATATACTGGTCTATTATTTATTGTCATTACATTGATTATTTCAACCATTTGTATCAATTCATTAATAGTTATCTTAGTCTCAAGAAATTCAAACTCTCCAAAATATGTATAACTGGACTACAAATAACGAAATCTATCGATCCTAATGCATCTTAAGTAACCATTACAACAGAAACCATTTCATTATTAACACCTTTTAAACAGTTATTGTCACTTTTAATTTTACTGTCGTTGTCATCTCATCGATTTCTAAATAATTTTTCACTAGTGAAAAATTTAATCAAATTTATATATAAGAAGTAGTTGTATATATATATCAAGATAGATAATGAAATAGTGAAGTTATAGATGTACTGAGAGGGTGTTTGAACTCTGTAAGTAGTGATTGTTGGTGCTAATGTCTCTTTCTGTTGCTGAAAAGTCATATCTTTATGATTCGTTATCTGCGTTCCCGGCTATCAGACCAGATGGTAGGAAGCCATATCAATTTAGGCCAATTGAAATATCTACTGATTTTTTACCAAATTCTAATGGTTCATCCAGAATAATTGCTAGTGATGGTAGTGAATGTATCGTTAGTGTTAAATCTAAGGTCATTGATCATACTATTGACAATGATGATTTGATTAAAGTTGAAGTTGACATTGCTGGTCAAAGAGATGATTCTGCTGTTGTTGAAAGCATCAATTCTTTACTTTCAAAAGTTTTAAAACCCAATGCTGATACTTTGGATACATCCAAATTACAATTGACTAAAAAATATAGTTTTAAGTTATACGTTGATGTTTTAGTTTTATCATCCTATTCAAATCCAATTTCATTGATTTCATTTGCCATTTATTCTGCATTAAGTACAACTACTTTACCAAAATTAGTATCAGGTTTCGACGATTTAGAAGTTGAAGAACTCCCTACGTTCCACGACTATGATTTAGTAAATTTAGAATTAAAATCACCATTGGTATTTCTATTGGCTTTGGTTGGTGATAATTTATTAATAGACCCTGCTTCCAACGAATATGAAGTTGCTAATAACGGGTTAATAGTAACTTGGTGTAATGGCAAAGTTACCGGTCCAATTAGAACAATTTCTTTGAATAATTTCTATTCTAAAGGGTTCGATGCATCTCTATTGGGAAAAGGTATAAAGTTAGTTGAAGAGCATGCCAACGATGTTCTTCAGGCATTAGAAAGTTGATAGATCCATAATAAGTAGAAATATAACCATACAAATAATAATAGTAACAAATCAAAAAAAAAAAAAAAAAACATATATGTGTATATATATATATATATAAAATTAAATACAAATTTATAAAATGCTGCAATATACGTAACGATTCTATTATAGAAGAATTTATTAAAAAATCAATTATTTGAATCTGTACTTTTAATAAGAAATTATTATTATGAAAAGATACCACTATCTATTATCAAATGAAGGTGAAACAGAAGAATTATACCAGAGTGATAATGATATGGGCAAAACAACAACAAAAAAAGAATATAATTAAATTAATTCCAAAAGAGTGCAATCACAAAACCAAAAGTTAATTAAACGTTGGTGACTTGATTCATACGACTTAATTTCTTCAATATCTCGACGTAAGGCCATTCTAATTTTTTGAATAATGGGATTATATTAGCGTAATAAGGAGCAAGTATTACATCTGGACCATTTTGTTCCAATGCATGAGTAATTTGTTCTGCTAATTGAGTTGGATTAATGTCAGGAGCTATAATTTTTGAAGGGGTGATAATTTTTTCAAACATTGAGGTTTTGATTTTACCAGGACAGACTAACAACGTTTTGATATTACCTAGATTTGGAGTGGAACATTTTTTTCTAATCAAGTAATCTTTTAAAGATTCATGTAATAGGATGACACCTGCTTTCGAAGACCCATAAGGACACAGTCTAGCGGGAGTGATGATACCCAATATCGATGAGATGTTAACTATAGCACCGTATTGATTTTTCATAATATCTGGTAAAAAAATTTGTGTCATCATATAAGCGCCAATTAGGTTAATTTTAATAACTTTTTCAATTTGTTCATTTTCAGTTTCCCTTAATAAAGCAATAGAAGTTATACCTGCATTGTTGATTAAAATAGAAACATAACCAAAATCGTTAATTATTTGATCTCTTAAATTTTTAATATCTTTTAAACTTGAAATGTCACATTTATAGAAATGAATATGTTCATCCATATCATCCATAAATCTTGGACGTAATAAATCAACTATAATTACGTTTACTTTTTTCTTTGCTAAACTCAACGCAATAGGGTAGCCTAGACCTCCTGATCCTCCTGTAATCAGTACTAAAGTATTCTCGTTGTACATTCTCTCTGGATTGTTCGAAGGTCCTTTGATATACCCTGGTACAAATCCCTTTAGGGACTTGTAGATTGCACTTTTCGTAAAACTTAAATTTGTTAAAGTTGTATCTGCATCCATAATTGAACATCCAATGATTACAGTTTGATCAATTGAAATAACACAAGTTTACTTTCCTAAGTTCCAAAAATGTCTCAAGTGGTTACACACTAAAATAGGATTTTCAAAGAGTAGTGTCACTCTAAGTACACGTCAGTGAGCCTTTAAATATGTGTCTTTCTTCAAAACCAAATCAAACCAAAAAAAAACAAAACTAGAACTTAAAACTGAAGCTGAAACCAAAATGAATAACAACAATACCAGCAAATGAACACACTTTTTTCCAAACAATTGAATTTCCAATAAGAAGGAAACCAAATATAAACAAAATCCTTTAATTTCCTAATCCCCAAAACTCTTCCAATGATTGATTAATCTTAGTGTCATTACAAATAATCAACCATTAATTAAATAATTGATCGAACATTAAAATATATTAATCTACTTTATATACTTGAAAGGTGTTTTGGTTTAACTTTGACTATATATTTTAAGATTACAGAGAGTTCAGATAGATTGAAGTGAATTGATACGATGAGATGAGATGGGAGAGGGTTAAGAGTAATTTTAAGAGATTAGAAGTTTTGATATGATAGTTGTGGAAAGCATTTGTTGAATTTGGGTTTGGGTTTTATATTAGACCATGTTTTAATGCCAATAATATCTAGATAGGGATAAAGAGGAAGTAGAAGTGGAAGTTATGGATCCTTGATCGTATTTACCGTCATATCTTGTATGTGTATGTGTGTGTGTATTCTTTAATAATCTGGTTTTAAGCCATCGATTTTGATATACAGATAGAGTAAGATCTGAATGGTAGCGCTGCAGCAGTGATGAGTTTTCAACAAAATGTAAATCAGGGTAAGTTACATGTATATGTGTATGTTGGTCACGTGATGGTACATTGGTAGTGTATTTTATCCAACTGTCTCCGGCTACCAAACGGGCAGAATTGAAATATTACGACATGAGCATACAGCGAACTATAAAGAAATGACAACCTCATCTCATCTCATCTCATCTCATCTCTTCTTATCGCTTCTCTTCTTATTGGAGGGAAGGACATCAGATAAGAGATTTCAATTAGATTGATCTTGTTGTGAACTTGGATTCTTGATACTATCCTGATTCTGCTCTTCTGTTCCCGATAGCAACGTTCTCATTCATATATGAGTGATAATCCTGAATTTATTAAAGTGAAGAAACTGAAAAATGAAGAATCTGTAGTGGCTTTACTGGGTAAATGAAGAAAATATCAAAGTCAAAAAAGGAAGGTTCATCTTATAAAAAACAGAAACGTAGAATTACAAAAGTATATCGATGGCCCTGAGGGTATACCCACACCTCCATTGTAAAAATAAAGTGGAACAACTGATGAAAATACTGATAAGCATTTTGTATTAGAGAGAACCAGCAATAATAAGAGGAAAAGAGATACAGATGAAGATGAAAATGGACATGAACACAAACATGAGTCCACAACTGATAATTTACCGCCTGAGATTAATCAGATGCTAGCAAAATATTTACAATTGAACAACGACGATAGTGTCGTTGAAGAATCAAGGAAAAAGCCTAGCAGGAAACATTTCAAAGGTGATGCAGCTAGAATCGCAACGTTGCCAAGTCTGGACTATGTGTATGATATCTATCGTTTGGAAAACATGAAAGATGAAGACGAACAGCTGAATAGATTGAAAATTGGCCGTGTTAAAATAGTCAACATAGATACAGAACTGGTACACGATGAAGAGTCCGACGACAACGGTCTGAATGTACTGGAAGATGACGATTCAAATGATGAGAATTATTATAGAAATGATTATCCAGAAGATGAAGACGATGACAGATCTATACTGTTTGGAAGTGATGGTGAGGAAGCCATCGCTGAAGAGGAAACGTGGATAGCTCGTCAATACGAAGAGCAACGGCGAATTCAGCAACAGAATGAAACTGGTCATGGTGATTCTGTAACCGATGATTACCAGAGCCAGGACGGCAGCAAACCCTTTAATCCACAAGAATACTCTGGGTTATTTGCGAAATTCAACGGTAGTGTCGATATCTTGAAGTCTATAAACAGTAGTAATTTCATCGATATGGATGGACAACTCAGTAACAATAACGATAATATTGATGACGATGACGATTACGATGATGATGATGATGATGACGATGTATATGATGCTAGCGATTATGAATACCATGTGGAGTCGGATTCAAATTCAAACGAGGAACAGGAACAAGATCAAGATCAACTTAAAAGAAATGAATTCTTCTCCACAGACCAAGACGATCCTCTGGCGATCCATAGAGATAAAATATTCGGTAAATTACAAAGAATGATTGATGAACGTTGAAACGGTCCGTTTCATCATTGTTATCTGCTCTTCTCTCACAATCCTACTTCTAGATCTACATAACCTTAGTTTAGAGACAATCAAAAGTTGAAATATTGCATTTATATCTAATGCATCCTATTCGTTTTGTACCGTAAAAGGAAGTGTATATATGTATACATTAGATATATATATATAAATAGAAGTTATCAGCTGCCGTTGCTAGGCTTACACTGAGATTAAATTGGGCAGTTTGGTAGCGAAACCATTTTGGGACTTCAGGTCAATCAATTAATTTCCCAAAATATTCAAACCAACAGAGCATGTCAATCAATCTCTCAATTTATTCACACTCAAAATGGTTTATCAATGCAATATGTGATTATGATGTTTACAATTACTTAATTATTTAATTATTATGATTCTTTTGCATATATATAGTCTTTTATATAATTCAAACACATGTCCATTCTGCAAATGTACACCATCCAACGTTAGAATCACCAATGACCATACCTTTCCAAACACCAGGTTCTTTAATTGGTACTTTCTTCTTCCATGTACCATACGGTAGATTATAATCCATTTTCTCTAATTCGTACTTCTTACCACTAGGTGACTTAATAACGATTGGTTTGATTACGTTCTTGCTCAACGATGCATTGTTATAGATTACACCATCGTAAGGATGTTGAACTATTTCAAACGTGTACTCGTTGTTTTGGAATAGATATTTGTTCTGTGGTTCAACAATGTATTCCTCTACTTTCTTGGAGTTTTCTGATGGTTGACGTACTACAAATTCAAAGTTCATTGTTTGTCCCTTGTGTGTCAATGGGATTATAGCAGATAATGGATGCACGTTAACTATCGATGTTTGTAATCCTCTAACACCTGAATGGATATATAGATCACCACTGGATACCTCAGGAGGTAATACTGCTTTAATAATAACAATTTTAGTACCATTCTCGGTTTTCAATTTCTTTAATTGAACCAATGCAAGGTCCATGTTGTTGTATATTTTGGATTTTTCAGTATCACCAGTGTTTGGTACAACTACTGAAGCAAATAATTCGATGTCTAATGGAACTTCAAGAGAACATTCGTATATTTCCATATCTTGTAAGTACGATAATGCTGTACTAAATTTGTACAGTTTGATATCGTTATTGAAAAATGATGGGAATACTAATGGTAAATATAATGCTGATAATTGATCGATACTTGGTACTATATGTTGTTCGTAATCTCTAGGTGGGATATGTGTATAAATAAATCTTAGTGGTTCGACCAAGAAATAATTATTATCTGCATGAATAATGTTTTGCTTATTTACAAATTCATGGATTGGATTTGTGATGTTACCCAAGATGACATCAATAAATCTCCATTCTTGATTTATTAAAACTCTTAGCCAACAATGATTATATTTAAATTCTGAATTGTTTGCTGATGGTGTCTTCAAAAACCCAATTACAACTTCACATTGGATTCCTAATAAATTGGAAATTTTCTTAAAAATCCATGTTAGTTCATATGGAGTACAATGGTTTTCAAATATTAGTTTATTTAAATTGCTGGGTTCCTTAGTGAAATCGGTTTGACCATTGTCGTCAACTAGATTGAATAATTCAGTACAAAAGATATAAATACCTCTCAACTTTTCAATTGGAGAAGAATATCTTGCAGAAAATGTAGTTTGAACCCAAGTTTCGAAATGAATTGATTTATTTTTAATACATCTTTTCCTTGTAATCTTATCGATATATTCAAAATTCAATTCGGAAAGTTGAATATTTGTTAATCCTGCTCTTCCATTTCCCTTCACTTCGTTGGTATTTAATCCATTGTATATTGAATCTTGAGGATGTAGTACTAATTCCCTATTTTCTTCTAAGGCCCTCATGTATCTTGGATGCTTTTCATATTTGGTCAACGTTCTTGATCTATTCAGATGAGTTTTCACGGTTAGCCAATCTCTGGCATCATCATGCGATCTTGAAATATTTAGGTTGCCGATATCTGGTAATTTAGGTAATTCATAAAGTTGAGAATCCAGATTTGTGGAACTATTGTTATTGCTTCCACCAGAAGCATTGGAGTTGGCGCTTCGTAAGATAAATTTACTTAATAAGCCGCCAACTTTGCCACTATATGAGTCGTTACCATTCGAAATGGCTGAATTATAAGGAGATGGGCCTCCAATATTCTGCGAGTCATTTCCTCTTGGGTCAGTTTTTGATCTTTCTGAAGAATTGTTAAAAGATTGTGCATATCTGTGTCTTGCAAAACTTCCGGCACTTGTTGCACTGAAATCAGACATCAGAGCAAAGCTATCCTCACTACTTGTTAAAGAGGAATCCAAATATTTTGAGTTTGAGAAAAGATCTGAAGATGATAACGATGGGTTGTAATCGTAGGACAGAGTGGAATTTGTTTTCATCTTTGAATTTGAATTTGAAGTTTGTTTTGAGACATTATTGGTGCTTGGATAGAAACCGTCGTAAAAGTTCTGGTTCTCTTTATAATAACTATAGTCTCTTGAATGAGGTACACCTATATCATTTAGTGAATGTGATTTGATTAGAACGGCATGAGGATTGTGATTAGTAGTTGAAGATTTGGTAGATACTTTAGGAATTGGAGGCAAAGGTGGTAAAGAGTTGTTGTTGTTGTTACCGTTATATTTCTGTCTCATGTAATTTTGTAAGTTTGGGGTTGAATGGTATGGATAATTTTTTTGATCCTGGTTTTGAATATTTTTATTGTTATTTTCTGAGCGGGAAGGGATTGGGGGTAATTTGATTGAATCTACGGGAAGTTGTGGTCTGTTGCTAGCAGAAGTAGGAGTCTGTGGTTGGGACTGGGACTGGGACTGGGACTGGGATTGAGAGCGTGACTGGGATTGTGATTGTGATGGAATTAAATTTACAAAATTCTTTGGGAAATATCCGGAACATTTTTTATTTCTTAATAGAGTACCGTAGAACCAGTCACCAGTAATTTTTTTAACCTCCATAACATCACCTTCTAAGAAACCTAGATCACCTTTTGTTTGGCCTGACCAACCGTACCTTGCCCTTACTTTAAATGGAGGGTTTATTTGTGACATACCGATATATGAATAGATATTATGTTAAAATTGATGGATGGGGATGAGAAATATGATATAATAATGCTGTGAGTGTGAGTGTGTGTATTATTTTTTTAAAATTAGATATTAATGGTGAATGAACAGATGCCAGGAAAATGATGATGCTAAAATGAATTAATTAAAATATGCCAAAAAAAAAAAAAAAATGAAAATCTGAGTTACAATTGAATTGGTGAATATTTTAAAGAATGAGAGAATTGGTAGTAACAACTAGTATGATGTAAATGAATGCAATGCCGACATATACAGTATTTCAGCTTTGGTGGGACAAAATATATGTGATCTATGAAACCGGAATAGTATAAAACAGTCAGGAACACAGCAAGATCTCTCTGGCAGACTAAAAAAAAACAATACAATCAAGTGAGATGGAGAAATCAATTGTCCAGCCAGAAGAGCATGAATACACAGATACGTATATACTCGAGTGTGTATCTCTACATATCAATGGATCAATCTATATCTTTATATATATACATTTGTTCGATGTGGATGAAATGCCAACCTTTAAATGATCTGGATGGATATAAGAACAACTACGTAATGAAAATTTTCGAATGGGAAGTGAGTGGTTTTACCGTACGAAGGAAGAGAAGAAACTGGAATAAATAAGCCAGTTGGTTCCGAGTGAGAGAAGTAGCGAGAAGGATGATGAGCCAAGGGAAAAGGGAAAGATGCAAGCAGTTTTGATTGAGATGGGTTGGGTTGGGTTGGCTAGTTGGTTATGGTTGATCGAGAGAGGGAGAATGATGAGGTGGATAGAGAAATTTTTGAGATGGCTGGTTCGGTTGGGTTTCTCAGTTTTTATGGTTCAGTTCAGCAAGCGGAAGTGGAAGTGGTATTGTATTAGAGCTTTGAAGAGTGGTGAAACAAGTAATGTGTGTCAGGAAATAGACTATCGAGTAAGAAACGTAATGTGTTGCGTTTGTCGTAATGATATTGGTAATGGTAATGGTAAGGGGAAGGGGGCATGCCATATTGTATTGAAATTATGGTATTAATAGAAGTTGTTGGCTTGAGGAGATGTAGCAAGAGTGAGATGAGATGAGATGAGATGAGATGAGATTATATCGATGTTAAGCGGTGTGCTGTTGTTGATGGACCTATGTATGTGTGCATTTATGTATTTTTTGCTGTAACATATATATAATTACAAAGAAGGGTTCAAGATTGTATATATAGATTGAGATTAACAGACACAAAACAGTTGCCACTCTCTGTATATAAACTTCATATCGAACTGTCGCATAGTCATTACACATATTCTGGGGCACTTTACAAATATAAACTTATACTCAAACACTCTGGATTATGTCATTCTTCTTCTTATAACGTCTCAATTCGACATACAAGTCACAACTTAAAGAAACCTTTCTTGTGTTTCCCTTCATACAAACTTGCATTACATACAATACTTACATCCCATAAGAAAACGACAACTTCAAGTGACAAGAGTAGCTTAGCTTAGCTTACCTTACCTTACCTTATGCTAGTTGTGATTTTTGGGAAGCTTTGTTTGGTCTGTCTTGTCTGTTCCTTGAAAAGAGACCACCACAACCGACAACGTGAAGAAGCAAACAAAGAAAAATCGTTCTTGTTCTTGTTCTTGTTCTTGTCGTTGTCGTTGTTGTGTTTTTCTCTTAATGAAAATTTTGTTACGGTAAAGGCTTGTTGAAGCAAATGGTATAGTGAAAGTAAAGGAACCGAAAGGAAACAAAACTAACGTCTATCTAACGTAAAACTACCTAAAGACAAAGGCAAAGGCAAAGGGAAAAGAGAAAACGAAAACGAAAACGAAGAGGAAAAAAAAATTCAGTCCATTCTTATGGCCTTATAGAATTTGTGAAACTTTGTATTGATTGCTTGATTACAACATTTTGTAACTTAATTTAGTCTAGTTTACTTTACTTTACTTTGATTTGATTTGGTCTTTTTGTTTTTTACCCTCTACCATCTATCAAATATCAAACAAATACACTTCTTGGTCTCTACATTTCTCTGTTTTATACACAAGAGAGAGAAAAATTTTTAATTCCATTTATTTCAAGAATTTTTCATTAGTGTATATTGTTTTTGGAACTATCCATCACTTTCAAAGAGTTGAATTAATTAGATACTTTATCACTGACTGTGTTCATATACAAATATTCATATACTCACACACACATATATACATATATATGTCTGTGGAAAAATAACCTTCATCTAGACTACGAATATATACTTATATTTGTACATTAATTCCCCTATATTAAACCTGCACTATAGGGAATCAATATAGAATACTTATACATTACATTAAACTACACTACACTGCACTACACTACAAAAATATTCTAGTGCACCATGTCATTGGCAAAATTATTGAATAATGATGATGATGATAACAACATAAATTTACCAAATATTAATGTTAATAATACCAACACTAATGACACTTCATCATCCATTGTCACAAATACACATACCACCAACACTACAACAAATCTGCAAAAGGAAAAATTCCTCAACAAATTAAACAACGATTTTAATCTATTGAATAAAAGAGATAATTTAGAACTCAATTATCAAGATTGGAAATTCTTAAATTATCAGGAATTCGAACTACTAAACGAATGGAACCAACAATCAAAAGAATGGAATAATTCAATTAAAAATTTCGAATATTTATATTCTCTAATGAAAAAATATAAATCAGAATGGGAAAACTATCTAACTCTAAAATCATCAGATAAGTATTTGAAGAATGTCGTCAACGACTGTCTCATTAATAGCAACACTAACAACCTAAAATCAAAGTCAAAACTGAAAACTGATACAAAGACTAAGGCAAAATCAAAATCAAAATCAAAACTGAAATTGAAATCAAATTCAGATGCAAAAGTAAAATCAAAGTCATCAAATGCAAAGGCAAAGGCAAAGACAAAATCAGTATCTACACAACAAAAGAGAAAACGCACTACAAGTATCAAAAACCTACTAGAAAAGGAAGATTCTGCTTTAACCTCATTAGACGATATGGATGAAATCGATGATGTTAATGAAATATTAAATAATGACAATAATGATGAAATCACTCAAAATTCAAAGGATCTCTCAACCACCACTGCAACTGAAAAGAAATTAAATACTAAAACATCTCCTTCAAAGAAACGTAAAGATGAAGTACGTGTTGCTATGAAAAAACCAATGACTTCGACACCAAACGTTAAAACGGAAAACAAATCTAAACAAAAATCCAATAAAAAGAATATTGATGCCGACGATAACACTTATGATGACAATAACTTAATAAATGGGAAAGATACAGAAGAACTGGATGATATAGAGAAAGCTAAAGATCTAGAAGATAATACAGATATAGAAATTGAAGGAACTAATGAAAATGAAGATGAAGATGAAGATGAAGATGAAGACGAAGATGAAGACGAAGAAGACGAGGAGGAAGGTGAAGAAGAAGAAGAAGAAGAAGAAGACGAAGAAGGAGTGATAAATATGATAGAAAATGAAGATGATGAAGACTATTTCGCACCAGGGAAAAAGTCAGGAAGACAAAATGCATCTAAAGTAGCTGGTGAACCAGCTGCTCCAGTTCCAAAAACTCCAACTACAATTCACAGTGATAGAGAAAGAATAGTAAGGGAATTGATTAAAATGTGCAATAAAAATAAGAACAAAAAATCTAGGAAAAGGAGATTCACAAATTCTATTGTTACAGATTATAACCCTGAAGAAAATAAGCTAATAGTGAAAGTTACTTTAAAACAATACCATGTAAGAAAATTAAAAAAATTAATCAATGATGCAAAGAAGTTAAGAGAAGAAGAAGAGATGAAATTGAAAAAGAGTCTAATGAAAGAAGCAGAAAATGCAGAAGAATTAGAAGGTCCTTCTTCTAAGAAGAAGAAGTTGAATAGCGGAACCGCTCAAAATGAAAATGGGGGTGAACAAAATTCAGAGTTCATTCAAAATACTCATGACTTACCAACCTACGGTATGCAAATGACTTTGAAAGAAGCAAAGGCCATCAAAAGACATTATGATAATACATTCTTCACGATTTTAAAAGATTTGGCTCGTAAAGATTCTGCTAAAATGGCAAGATTAGTACAACAAATTCAATCTATAAGGGCAACTAATTTCAAGAAAAATTCATCTGTCTGTGCAAGAGAAGCTAGAAAGTGGCAACAGAGAAACTTCAAGCAAGTTAAAGATTTCCAAACTAGAGCAAGAAGAGGTATTAGAGAAATGTTGAATTATTGGAAGAAAAATGAAAGAGAAGAAAGGGATTTAAAGAAAAAGGCAGAAAAAGTTGCAATGGAACAAGCAAGAAAAGAAGAAGAAGATAGAGAAAATGTAAGGCAAGCTAAAAAATTGAATTTCTTGTTAACACAAACAGAACTGTACTCACATTTCATTGGTAGTAAGATTAAAACAAATGAACTAGAAGGCAATATGAAGGATGATGAATTTGATGAAAATGAAGATAATTTGATGAATAACATCGATCTTGATAGTACAAGTTCAGTTAAAACAGATTTTAAAACAATTGATTTTGATAATGAAGATGATGATGAACTAAGAAGAAAAGCTGCTCAAAATGCCTCAAACGTATTACAAAAATCTAGAGAAAAGACAAAGAAATTTGATAACGATACCAGTAATGGTGAGGAATTGAATTTCCAAAATCCAACTTCTTTGGGTGAGGTTGTTATTGAACAACCTTCGATTTTAGCATGTACACTAAAGGAATACCAGTTAAAGGGTTTAAATTGGTTAGCAAATTTATACGATCAAGGTATTAATGGTATCTTGGCAGATGAAATGGGTTTAGGTAAAACTGTCCAATCCATTTCTGTGCTGGCTCATTTAGCAGAAAAGTATAATATTTGGGGTCCATTTTTGGTCGTTACTCCAGCTTCAACATTACACAATTGGGTAAATGAAATTTCTAAATTTGTTCCACAATTCAAAATTTTGCCTTACTGGGGTAACTCGAATGATCGTAAAATTCTAAGAAGATTCTGGGATAGAAAAAATTTAAGATATAATAAAGATTCTCCATTCCATGTCATGATCACTTCTTATCAGATGGTTGTTTCAGATACAAGTTATTTACAAAAGATGAAATGGCAATACATGATTTTAGATGAAGCTCAAGCCATTAAATCGTCGCAATCATCTCGTTGGAGGAACTTATTAAGTTTCCATTGTCGTAATAGATTGCTATTAACAGGTACTCCAATTCAAAATAACATGCAAGAATTGTGGGCCTTGTTACATTTTATTATGCCTTCTTTGTTCGATTCGCATGATGAATTTAATGACTGGTTTTCAAAAGATATTGAATCACACGCAGAAGCCAATACAAAGCTAAATCAACAACAATTACGTCGTTTACATATGATCTTGAAACCCTTCATGTTAAGACGTGTGAAGAAGAACGTTCAATCAGAACTAGGTGATAAGATTGAAATTGATGTCATGTGTGATCTAACTCAAAGACAAGCTAAATTGTATCAAATTTTGAAATCTCAGATGTCTACAAATTACGATGTAATTGAAAATGCAGCTGGTGACGATGATACAGGCTCGGACCAAAATATGATCAATGCAGTAATGCAATTTAGAAAGGTCTGTAATCATCCAGATCTATTTGAAAGAGCGGATGTGGATTCTCCATTCTCTTTCTCCATTTTTGGTAAATCTAGTTCGTTATCTAGGGATAATGAGCCTCTAGTTGATATATTGTATTCAACAAGAAATCCAATTACATATCACTTGCCAAGATTAATCTATAATGATCTAATCTTACCAAATTATGAGAATGATTTGGGCCTCAAGAATAAATTATTAAATTATACATTTAGTATATTTAATAATGAAAGTACATGCAAAGAAATCTCTCGGGTTACAGGGTTAACTTATGGTGAAATAAAGCGTGTTGTGCATAGAGATTTACTGATGAATGCTATTCACTTGAAGGAGCCTTATTCGAGACAAACATTCCTGGAAAAAATTTCAGTTATCGAGGATAATGACAAAACATTCTCTGATATGAATTTCAAATCAAATTTAAAATTAATTGAAAGATCTGCCAAACTTGATGCATTAAGCAGAGTAACTTCAACTGGTGTATTAAATTCATTGTTAAACATAAAGGAGCAAGTATTTGATAACGAATACTATAATGCTATCAGTCGTAGCTATCATCCAAATGTATCATCATCTCCCGTTTCAATTCAAGTTTTAGGTAATCGCCACTTTTCTATTCAACAAGAAGAAGAATTGTTCAAGCCTGTAATCTCTAAAGCATTAAGTGAGATTCCAGCCTCAACTCAATATAATATGGCTGTGGAAAAGAAAATACCATTGCATGATTTCCCAGTGTCTGGATTATATCCATCACCATTAAATAAAAGTTTCTCTTCTTATATTTCAATGCCATCGATGGACAGATTCATAACAGAATCTGCTAAGTTAAAGAAATTGGATGAATTATTAGTTGAACTGAAAAAAGGTGATCATCGTGTTTTGATTTATTTCCAAATGACAAAAATGATGGATCTAATGGAAGAATATTTGACATATCGTCAATATAGTCATATTCGTCTGGATGGTTCTTCCAAGTTAGAAGATCGTCGTGATTTAGTTCATGATTGGCAGACAAGACCGGATATATTCATTTTCTTGTTAAGTACCAGAGCAGGTGGTTTAGGTATTAATTTAACAGCAGCTGATACTGTTATATTTTATGATTCCGATTGGAATCCTACCATTGATTCACAAGCTATGGATAGAGCGCATAGATTGGGACAAACAAGACAAGTTACTGTTTACAGACTATTGATCCGTGGTACTATTGAAGAAAGAATGAGAGATAGGGCAAAACAAAAGGAACATGTTCAACAAGTTGTTATGGAAGGTAAAACTTTGCAAAAGGATGTGAAAACTATAGAATCAGGGGGTGATGTTAAAGCGGCAGCAGCAGCATCTACAGCACTTACCACCAATTAATAGACAATCTTAATTAATGAACACGGGTGATTTTCGTTAATTTTACCACCTGTGTCTTGTATCTAGTATTAAATAGTAATTATAATAAATGCATTTATCATACCATTTTTAAATAGTCATTGCAATAAATTAATTTCTTACATTTGGTGGATTTCCCATTAAATTACAAATTTAGTTTTATTTAAATGATAGATTATCATGTCTATATATGCTTTGTTGGTTAGAAGGCACAAGTTCGCAGTAATCCCAAGTATTTTTGATGATATTTACAACCTTTTTCATATTCTTCTTTTGTGATGTCACCTGAAACTAGACCGGCATCAAGTAAATATTTAGTGTCTTGTAGTACGGTTGCAAAGCTATTCTTCTTTAGAACTGCTATGTTATTTAAATTTTGGCATGTTTCAATATCAACGATCATTGCATCTTCTTCATCAGTTCCCTGCATACTAGTTTCATTTTCACCGAACAACATATCAAAATCGTCATCAGGTAAAGATTGTTGTTCTGCTTTGTTTGGTATCTTAGTCTTACTAGTTGATGTTTCTGCGGAGTTATCAGCATCTTTTAAGGTCTTGTCCATCCACATAATCATTTCGGATGCTTCTTGCTGTGAATTTACATCATGTAAAACCATGAAATAAAATAAATAATCTATAACATGTTCTGCGTCAACATCTCTGATTTTATTACGAACATTTGGAACACCGTAAGCAGATAATTTATAATCTAAAGTTTTCATTACATCAATGAAAAATTTCTTTGGAGTAATGATATCGATTAGCTTTTTTAGATAATCGATATTATAGTAGGTACTACTATGCAAACTCCAAAAGGAGTTTATTTGATTTGAAAGTATTTTATCTAAAGGTTGTTCACTTAAAATCAAAAAATTTCGGTAACCAAATTGTTTCTGAGAGTATGAATTATCAGAAACTGATACTCTAGGGTCAATGTTATAAACCGGAGAAATGTTCATAACAAGGACAAGCTTGGAAATTAAGCTTTCAACAACAGGTGGTCCCTGAGCTTCTGAGGAATAGATACCATAATTCTGCTGAGTTTGTATTCTAAATGAACGCACTGCCTTTAGCAGGTTAGGTGCGTTTAATCTTAACACCGATTCGTGGTATGCTCTTGAATCACTATTAAGTGACACTTCTGCTAATAAGGAATTGACTACTGATAGGATCTTTTGTATTATGTCGTCGGCTATACCATTGGCTTTTAAACTTTCCAAATAATCTTCCAACCAGTAAACTATTCTAATTAGACCAATAATCATTGATGGTTGTAAGAAATATTCAAACCCATTGATTACTCGTGACATATCGGTTATAACACCGTTTTCAATTCCTAACATCACTTGTTTAAATATATATGGGACTAAATCAATCAATTTTTTAACATCGACATTTTGAATTAGAGAGTCTGATAAGGAGCCATTGACAAACAGATCTTGAAACCATTTACGCATTTCTTGAGAATCTTCGTCATTATCAGTTTTCCCACCTTTGGATAATGTAAAACTGTCAGGGATATCATATATTTTCGAAACTGCTTGAATTGCAAATGAATCTTTGGAGACAAGAAATGATGAATTTAGAGCAATATCTACCAATGATATTTCGTAAGATTTAGAAATTGTGGTTAAAAGCAATGTGACCCAGCCAAAAGCTAAATAACTAGAGGTCAATTCATAGTCTGTCTCCATAGATGATGACTTAGATACGACAAACTGATCCCAAGATATATCAGTGAATTTCATTAAAAGCTCTAAAATAGTAGTTGGCTTAACAAATAACATAATAGTTGTTAATGAATGGCCAAAATTATAGCAAAGCAGAGCACATATCTTTGAAAGTCTTTGGAAGTTTAATTGATCCACAGAATCTTTTATTACCGACACAATCGCATTTGAGATTTCCCTTTGTTTAGTTGGTGAAACTGTTTCAAAATTAATGAATACTTGTTTTAAACCATTATTAGTAACATCAGATGAATTATTTATATTCTCTAATTCCATGGAATCTAATGTTTGTAGCACAAAGGTGTTAACATCTCTAATAACTTCTAAGACTCCTTGAATATTAGTAATAACTAGAGCATCAGATGAGGTCAATGTCCTTGGATCCAGGCTTTGATCTTCCCTTAAATAGTCGTTAATCAGCGAAGGAGGTTGTAAACCTAGCATTACTAAGCTTTTAATAAAATCGTGTCTGATATCTAAACCTGAAGAAGGTGAATCATCAAATAAATCTTCATTTCTATTTCTCTGGTCATTTTTTTCTGCGTAATAAGATTTAATCGCTTTAATGATTTTGTCGTCCATCCTTTCCAATGCCCTTGTTACTACAGTTGGATTACCTGTTGAATTTTCTAATATCAGAAGGGGTAGTTGTTTAGAGATGTAAATTATCCATAATTTTTCTAATAAATTGAAAGTTGCATTAGTTTGATGGTATTGGCTATTACTTACAAATTGAGCAAAACAAGTAAATGATGTTTCTATAAGATCAGTAAGTAGTTCATCGGTTGTCAATCTTGAAGAGGTTTGGAATTGAAATAAGCCTGTAACAATTGAAGAAAAAGTTGATAAAAAATCCGGATTAGTACATTCCCAGTTAAATATTTTATTGTTCAGCCAAACATTTTTGTAATAACGTAATAATTTCATATCTTTGTATTTCATTGAAGCTTCAGCTGAAGGTCCCTGTTTTGAAGGGACCATAGGGCTTGGGATGAACTGAGGTGAGCTTATTGAAGGCGAATTTATAAAAGGAGTGGTTGCAGTGGTTGCAAATAATGGCTTAGAGTCCTTGAATATCATTTTGGACTCTAAAGTTTGTGAGAATTTTCGATGAATTAACTTATTAATCTGTGACAATCTTCTTATTAATAAATACAGATGATCCTTATCTGTTTCAGAGGCTAAAACAATTGGTTTTGGTAAAAAATTCAATATCAATTGTAAAAACTTGGAAACTGAAATCACTAATTCATTTGTCATGATATTGATATCCATTGCGAATACACCAGGTATAATTGAACGAGAGATATCTTTAACCAATTGGTCTACAATCAATTTATCTGATAATTTTGCAAAGTATGAACATGATTTTGAGAAAAAATGAACTAACATGAACTCATTGCTAACAGAATATAGTTTTGGCAATAATGCTTGCACCAAATCAGAATTATAATTAACAAACAGTAATTGAACAACGTAGTCTGCCAATAGCAACCGGTTTCCTGAATTCAATAACTTTATCACATCAGAGGAAATAGATTCAGAAATCTCAACAACCTTGGACTGGTTCTCTTCATTATTTTCATTCTCAATCTTTGTTGCAAATTTCTCATTGTAAAATTCGTTATACAAATTTAAGAAATCAGATGCTAAGATCTGTCTCTCCGCACAATTCAACAGCAAATTGTAAACTGTCTCAGACGACATAATGACCCAATTATATTCTGGTCTCCTTGAAGGCTAATAAAGAAATACAGTCCTTTCTTAAACATTAACCAAATTTATACATATCTATATATATATTAACATTTGGTAAGACCTTTTAAATTATTTTGATATCGCCTTTAAGTTATTTCGAAAATACTGCTGTAAAATTGATCACGTGCTCTGAATATGAGACTATATACCTTTAGAGATTATTGATAATGTACTATTAATAAGTAATAAGTATATAAACAATCAACGAAATATATTAATCCCTAATACTGCATTATAAATTATATAAAATCACTATTCCAGAGGACAGTTATAATTAATCTCTGAGTAATAATTGAACTTCATCTGACGCTGTCACACCAAGAGCATTAAGGATACGGAAATGTTAGCAATAAATTGGTTACCAAAGAAAAGTGTGTTGAAATCGTAAATGGATATGTTCTTCTTTGCAGTTCTATGTACTTTATATAATTTTAAATTCGTTTTTAGTTTTAGTTATGATATTATCGATTTGTAATAACAAAAATATGTTTTATGAACTCAACGTTAAAATGCAAAAACTATTAATAATCATAGAATTATTGTTAGAATTTGTTAAAAATTGTGCAGAACACAGCATAAATATACATAATTCAGTACATAATTTGAATATAGATACATGAATAATTGACGACTGATCTTGAACTTATAGATAAACTGCAAAATGAAGCGTGTTAAAACCTGTCATCTGGAGAGTAGTAAATGGCAAAGAAAAAACAACATAATAATAAAATAATGCACATATACAGGAAGACAATAACTTTTTACTATAGGACATGATTGTAAGTTAGTGGTCTATTCACCAACTTTTTCATTCTCACCTGTTGTCCCATTTTCTTCTGCTTCTGCTGTTTCAACTGTAGTTTGCCAATCTGGGATATCTGTAGTACTTAATGCATTCTTCTGCCATTCAGGAATTGAATTATCAATTTGGGCTTGCTCCTTGTTCTTCATCCAAGCAGGGACATTCTTATCAGCATCTTTATTACCCAACTTAATTTTTGCCAAAACTTCTGAGGCACTTGGAATAGTATCTATCCCTGGTACTGAAGAACCGGAGAAAGAAGTTGCTTTACCATTACCGTTTGACTCAGAATTTTCATCATTTTTAGCAATGGAACCTGATATTTTAATCAAATTCTTCAATGAATCAATCTCCTTTAAAATAGATTCCAAATCCCTTGAACTGCTATCAGTAGAAATAAATTTATCTACTGCTGATTGAAGAGATCCAACTTGTGACTTGATATTTTCGAGTTCATATTCCATTTTGGCTCTTGTCTTCGACGTTTCATCCAATGCAGTTTGTAATTGAGACATAGTGTGATCCAATTCATTCATTTTCTCCTCTTCTTTTGACTTAAAGGCATTATGCTCTTGTTCGATAGCATTTAATAATGAATCAACTTTCTCTAACTGTAGTTTGATTTCCTCTTTATCTTGTTCAAGCTTAGTCTTAGATTCAGGTAACACATTAGGCAATACATATCTTTTTGTAACTTCATAAACACCATAGAACAAACCCGCTGTTGCTGTTGCCATTATGAAATAATCACGCCAATCACGAGCAGGCAATGGAGGAGGAAGTGATTCATAAACAAACTCATCTCTATCGATCTTTGGTTCCGACTTAGAAACGACTACACTTTGAGATGGAGTATCAGTAGCAACTTTAAGAGCTTGTTCAATCTCTTGTTCACTCAAACCTTTGCTCTTTAAAAACTCAATCTTTTTCTCAAGGGGAGCATTAGCTACACTTGGCTCATTCAAAAATGACACTGCAGAGTCTAATAGTTCCTTTCGGTTACTTTGAATAACACTTTCTGACATAACAAATCAAATAAAACTATGGACAGCCTCTTATTTCCCACCAAAACCGTTAACTACACCACTTCTTGCAATACAAAACTTTGATTCATGATTCATTTTCTTCAAAAGTTTCATTTTATATAAATATTAATTCCGGAACTTGAGAGATGCCTTTGAATCTTCGCTTCTACCTTCTAACTTTAGTAGTAATCAAGAAGATTTATATACATATATGTAGACTAAGCTATTTATTTTGCATTTATCTATATAATCAATATATTGGTGAATTGATAACTACCTAATATGATCCATTGTGTTTATTAAAGCGTTTTCTTTTCTTTTCGAAATTATCCTGAATTATTTAGGAATTCTTGTAATGATGAAATTGGCATGCATAATGGTCCATCAAGAGTTCCGTCTATCAATTTTAATGCTGCTATTCCTAGATATGTATGATATATATCTGGGTCATCCTCATCTGTTTTAGAAAATCCTCCAATTATTGTATTTTGAGTTTGATCTAATAAGTATGAATTAACCAAATCTGTATCACATAATCCTTTCCAATCTGGTGTTAAGATACTTAATGAATTCAGACACCAGAAACAATAGCACGTATCTGCAAACTTATTTTCTCTACCTTGGAACCCACCGTTGTCTGTTTCATCATATGTAGCATTTTTATCGTCTTGTAATATCATACATCCTTCATTTGAGACTTGTCTTTGTAATAACCAGCATAATGTCTTCTCCTTGAATTCATTTGTTATAAATTCTGTACAGTTCAAGAGTGACAAGGTTGCAAGTGCACATGAGGTATAACCAGAATGTGGTTCGTCAAATTTACCATATCCACCTACTGTACATTCTTGCTCTTTAATATATTTCAGTAAATTCTTAACATCAATGAACTTTTCAAAATCATCCATAGTTCTACATCCAGTTAAATATAAGATAGCCACTGCAATGTAGCAAAATCGAAGATCATCAGAATCCACAGGAGATGGTAGTCCAGTGACAGGATCTAAACTGGACTTGAAAGATCCATTAATAGTTTGACAACTTGAAACAAATCTTGAAATGCTATCATGATCCAAAATTGTGGTAAAAAAATCATAATCCTTTAAAGTAATCAATACAATTAACCCAAATAATGTGTTTGACAAACTGAATGTATTCAAACCTGGGATATCTACCAATGGGCTACCTACAAATCCTGATATATATTCTTTAGATTCTGGAATCTTCATTTTTTGATATCTTCTTCGTATCCAAGGTAAATGAACCTTATATCCATCAATTTTATCATATTCTAATGCTGAAAGACCCAAGATAGAATAGAATACTAGTGCTAATCTATTTGGATCTTGCTTTTGATGTGACGATGGGAGAAGATTTAGGTGTCTCTTTAAAAATTTCCAATGCTTCTCTTTCTTTAACTTAGAATCCATCTTAGTATCTTTATTAATTCAGCTTATATGAATATCAATTCAGCTTATATGAATATCAATTCCATTTGTTTACAGAGACTATCAATTGATCTGGAATCCATCCCAATCTGTAACTCTATCTGTTCAAGAAGTGCTATTCTTCTTTAAATAACCTTTATGTTTTAGATATTGATCAATTAATGCCTGTATTTACCGGCTTAACAATTATCACGTGATAGACATCAATTCTTAAGTCAGGGATAGCATTAATAATAAATTTCATTAAAAACGTGTCTAAAATGTATATTATAGTGCTCGAAACATATACATAAGTAAATAAGGCTTAATAATATCCATTATATATTCCATTTGTCAAATAATAGATCAAATTATACCACGACAACTCGTTGTCGTGGTACTTCTTATTAACCAATATTGAAATCAAATGAACAAAAAAAAATAAAATAGATGGTGAAACATAAATTAAATCTTGAAGTATCCATTATTCATATGAATCAGAAGTATATCTTATAAGACGCAATTTCAAATGCTCTCAAATTAGCAGATATTTCAATACCAGATGAAGTTTTGTTGAAAGAGACTTCTTCTCCATCTGTTTCCAAGTTATTAACTTTCATGACTTTTGTTACTGGTAATGAAGTAGTCAACACACAATTGGATTCACCACCCAAAGATTCATATAATCTGACAACAATACTCTTGACATTTTCTGGTTTAATAGCATAGTTGGATTGGATGTCAGCATCATCTTCACCTCTCTTGATGTTAGAAAGTATAATATTATCATCACCAGATATTTGAATAACAGAATCAAGTGATTTTTCCAAATTAGATGGTATTTCATATCTATGATTATAATTGAATTCATGAGCTAATTTAACAGTCTTACTGCCAAGACCACCTCTGTGTGGATAGATAGCATAATTAATAACATGGGAGCCCATGTCTGCGTTAGCGTCTGGCGCCTTTGGAGAACGTAATAACGATAACCTCATTAAGTTACCATGTGTAGAAAACCCGAACTTACAATCATTCAAAATGGAAACACCTTTATGATATTCTGAATAATCAGCAAACTTGTGACTACAAACTTCAAACTTGGCAACGTCCCATGATGTGTTATAATGAGTAGGTCTTCTAGTCACACCAAATTGAGTCTCATATGAGGCGAAATCGCTGCGTACATTGACTGGGAATTCTACTTTCAAAAATTTATTTGCAGCATTCCAGTTATCTACTTCAGTATGAATGTCGATGAAACTTTCATCTTTGGTGGAATCAGTTGTAGAATTCAAAGAGATGACAGTCTTCAACTTACATCCAGAGATAACAGGAACAACGATTTCAACAGAACACCTGCTCTTTGATTTGGATGTAATTGATATTGATTCAATTTCAGTCAAGTAAGTGTATTGATTAACTGAGTATAACTCTGTATCCCAGGCTGGCCAGGACAATGGCTTATCATCGAAGATTACAAATTGATTTGCACCTAATCTATTTCTCCCGTTATTGATATCTAAATATTCTGTGTTTGTATCCAAATCAACAATACTCTTAATCACACCTTCTTTCTTGCTAATTGCGACCTTCAGTTTACCATTTTCCATAATAATAGTTTTGGAATCCTCTGAAATATAGGTCTGGTATTTAGAATTATCGACTGTTGAGATTAAGGTATAATCATCATCCCAAGCTAAGGTCTTAATCTTAGCCAACTTGGATGTATCCTCCTTCCTTAAGACTTCCAAAGCTTTAGTTATCAAGGCATCACATTTTTCAATAACCACCTGTAACATAGGGATTGCTTCATATTTGTAAACCATTTCAATACAGGAACCTGGTAAAACATCATGGAAATGACATAAACAGATATTTTCATATAAATCATTGATTTCCTTCGATGGATATTTATAGACATCTGGATACAAAACAGATACCTTTGTTGCAATCCATTCTAAATCGTGTATCTTGATTTCTGAAAATCTTATCAAACGTTTAGTATTTGCTTGACTGGTGTAAGTACCTCTATGGAATTCAAAGTACAATTCACCTGTCCAAGTTGGCAAGTCGTTACCTTGATTAGTTTTCTCAAAGATGTCATCGTAAAACTCATCAATTGATGTACCCACTTCTAACTTAGGGATAACATTACCGTTACGGTTATTCATAGATCTAATACGTCTCATTTTTTCTAACATTTGACGGGTTGGACCACCACCACCATCACCTTTACCATACAACATTAATCCTGAACCATAAAATTCAGCTGTCTTATTCTGCTTGGCTGAGCGTAAAACATCACCAAAGTGGGAGTCTGCAGTATAGGTGTTGCCTGGTGGCATATGAGTTAATAATTGGGAACCATCAATACCAGCCCAAATAAAAGTAGAATGAGGGAAATTATTAATATTGTTCCAAGATAATTTTTGGGTCAAAAATCTATCCATCCCTGACAACTGACACAGTTGAGGAACTTGAGATGAATAACCAAAAGTATCAGGTAACCAGTAAATAGAGGACTTGCTGCCAAAATATTTCAAGAAAAATCTTTGGCCATAAAAGAATTGTCTAGCTAATGCTTCACTACCTGGCAGATTTGTGTCGTTTTCGACCCAAGAACCACCAATTGGAATAAATTGATTATGTTGAAATTTTGGAATCAAACATTTACTGAAAAATTCAGGGTGATCTTCTAATAACCATTTAAATTGTTGAGCTTGAGAAGCAACAAATTGATATTCAGGATATTCATTCATCAAGGTACATTGTGAGGCCCACGATCTTACAATTTTTCTTCTTGTTTCAGCAAAAGGCCACAACCAAGCAGTATCAATATGACAATTACCCATACCATAGACATTGGTTAAAATATCCTTTTCACCTTTATTGTATACCTCAGCACTGTCAATAAATTCGTCGAAATATTCTTTCTTCAATAGTTCACGACATTCTGCTACGCTTGAACGACGCTCAGGATCAAACAAATCCATTACCATGTTTGATACTTGTCTGGCTCTATGTTTTTGCCATGAATCATCAGGTAATTCTCTGGCGGCATCAGTAATCATCCAGAAATCAATAAATAAAGCACGAGCTTCCCAATCAGGCCAGACGATGTCTGCTTTTACCAAATTGAAAAACCTATGGTTATCAGGGGGACTAATATCTGAACCGTCACCACAACCAAACATACCATTATTACCAGTTTCAATGTAAAAGAAATATTTACCAGTATCATTCTTTGGTAATAGGTATTCAGTTCTTTCTGCTCCTGAGAAAGCAGTTGCAGGAATTAAAGTCTCTGGATCAATGACAACACCTTCATTTGAACAATCCCAATCAAAGACTAATTGCTCACCAGTTTCAACCCATTCTGAAGGCAAGTTAAGTTCCACTTTAAACCAGGTAGTTGACCAACTAGGACCAAAAGGTTGACCAATTGATGCATCTCTAAATTCTAAAACACCCTTAGAGTCACTTTCAATAATATCTTTCCAAGGAGGACGTTTGTCAGGGGAAACAGGGGAAGTTCCTTCTTCAAATGGTACTTGATACCATTGAACCTTAACCCTATCTTGATCTAGCCTGATTCTTTGATGGTCATAAAATTTTGGCAAATTTAAATCTTTGTAATCACCACCATTATTAATAAACTGTCTTAATCTATTTTCATATATGCTTTTAACAGGTTTGAACTGTGGGTCATAATTAACTTGTTGAAATGACATCTTACCAAAAAATAATCAAATTTTTTAGAATAAAACTAATATTTCTTGTCAATTCCCAAATTATCTATATTACTAGCACCAGCCTGGTCTGTTGGACCAATTGAAAAATACTCAAAACTGTATAGTTTAATGGAATAAGTTCGAAATGTTTTAAAGCATCTTGTTAAATATTTGACAGCCCCTGTTGTATAAATTTAGGGTTCACTTCACTATAAACGTACTATTAGGGTTTAGAAGCTTAAGTATGTAAATGCAACGGGAAAAGTAGTCATACATTACCCTAGGGTTCAACATTCTCGTATATATGTCTATTTGATGTAGATATAAATAGAAACAGTTACCTAGCCTCTTTAAGGTAATCGACCATGCCATATTGGTTAATGAACAACAAACAAGGCCAGAGTTTCCATTTCTAGAATATATAGATTGATCATTTTATTATTCCCTTAATTATGCAATTTCTTCTGTATTTCTTAACAAAACAATTGGATTCAAGAAAATGTCTTATAAGTTAAATTAAATCTGTAAAACAATGATATTAAAGACTATATTATTTTATTAATAAAACAAACATATGAAATAGATAAACATTTTGATTAAAATTAAAAAATGGTAAATTACTTATGAAAAAAAAACAATTATTTAATAATAGTTATGTAGTCATTACGTGCCCATAATAGGTGACATTAATTCATCTTGAAAAAAAATCAATGCTAGCCTATGCTAAAGAATTTCGAAACTAAGGAAAAAGTGACATTAAAATAGCAATTAACCATCTTATTTACTAGACTTTCCTGTATTTTCTACCTTTTCTTCTGCCTTTGCAATCCATTTCTTGTTCTGTTCAACAAACTTCTCGATATGTAGGTGGGCTGGCAATGAAATTGTAAATTTACCAAAGGTTGCCATATCACCATACATTTCACCACCAAAATCTTTTACACCTTTAGAGAATTTAGAGGCACTGAAATCTGGTATATCTGGTTTCAAGCTGACAGAATAGACTTTATTGTGGTCAACTTCCTTCTTACCCATTTTTAATAATATTTAATAAATTTGTTGTTGTTGTTGTAATTGTAATATGTAATTAAGTAACTATCCAAAAAATATGATATAGATATCCTATGTTGAATTTTTACTCTTGTTGTATTTCTGAAACAAATGAAATAAAGTAAATAAAATTAGAAAGAATAATACAAAGACCAAGATTTTTATTAAAATTATATAATTTTAATTCCTCGTTTATATATGAAAGTAAAATTAAAATATTGTACAAATATTTATTTAATTCATAACCTGAGCCGACCAACTCCCTTTTCAACAACTTCGAGAACTATCCCATTAATCAAATTGAACTATATTTTCTCTCAAATAACACCCCTTCCATGTCATCCATTTTCTTCTAATCCCCCATTTCCCTTCCAAATACTCGAAGAACCTAAAGAAATAAAGCTCTTTGAATAAGATTAGAGGTACGGTTTCGAATCAGAGAGACACTTAGACAATTTTTACTAAGAAAACTTACAAAAATGCTACCTCATCAGTCTCAATATCAAGCCCATTACTTCAATGAGTTTAATTACCAAGTAGCAATCCCCTTTATCACTCAGCCAAATTATATCCTCTCTCCTTCCTACCTGTAACCATTAATACAAGTCTTAAAGTAAGTACAAGCACTGTGAACCATCTTGCATCTAGCTAAAAGAAATACATCAAACAGTTTTCGACCAGTAATCTGAACTTCACCAATAACTCAGTAACAACAAGATAAGATTACTGAACCGTTAAGAGAAACGAATACGACCTCAAGTTTAGAGAGAGGGGGGGAGGGAATGGAAGGGAGGGAGGATTTAACAACGACAGGTTTAGCAAGATTCCCGATACGAATTTTCATCATCAAGAAATAAAACTACAAAAAAAACTTGATCAATACCATATGTTCATCTAAATCTACACAGTTCATCACTGTCTGTCTTGTTACATATTAATTATTAATTTATTTTTCAACAACTTCAAGGTTATTTTTAAGGAGAAAACTTGTCAATTAATTAATGATATGATAAAACTCTTTATCCCTTATTTCAAGGGTGAATGAATTTATAATTATAATTATATTATTAATTAATATAGTGCCCTTGAAGTTGATTCCCAGCAAAGAAACCAAGCAAATTTACCAATTCTTAATGGACAGCTAGCTAGAACTTTGATATACGTTTCTTGTCATTAATAACAAATTATTACTTGTTTTAAATAGTGATTTTAACCGGTCACCCCTGGTTGCCAAGAAAGCAAAGTTTTCTTTCTACAGTTAGAATCCTAAGCGAAAGGAGATCCTGGAGATATACATATCACCGAATGATCCCATAAAAGAAATATATTTAATTTTTAATTGCTTTGAAAGTTAATTCAAAAGTTGGCCCCTAATTTAGGGGGGTTCTTATTAAGGAAGAACTTCTGTCTTGGTCGAATCCAAATTTTTCACAAATTTGCCCTAGTTTCATTTTTTCTGAAAGGAAAAAAAGGTCGTAAATATTTAATTTCGAAGTTAGAGTGCCTAAAAATGACAAATTGGAGAACTCGAAAAATTAAAAGAACGAAACTTCTATTTCTCTTGGAGTTAAGTGGATATGATGGAGGGAATTGTTTTTAAGGTACCTGCTCAAAAAATCTATTAGGTGACCACTCAATTTGGAGGGAAATACCTATACCAAGGTACTTTTAACATACTATCTCTGGGAAGCATGTAAGATGGCAAAGAGAGTGAACAACAGATAGGCTGAGAGAATATAGACTGAAACTGAATAGTATGGTACGGTGCCTGTGTTAGCGATTTTGAGAACGAGACAAAATAAATAGAAGAAAATTTGTGGGGAATGGCTTCTCAGAGTGAGAAGA